ATGAATCACAGTCATAGTCATTGTCATCAACCTAACCTCACTCAACCATGAATCACATGCCTAGTCATAGTCATCAACCTAACCTAAGTGAACTATGAATCACAGATATATTCAAAGTTGACAATTTTTCCTCTTTATCTCTAAAAACACCAATTTGTTCAAAATTTGATTTTTTTTGTGCGAACTATCTCGATGCGGCATATACGTTTGGTGCGACTTATACGCCATGCCATACAGTTTCATTATGGACGAGAAATAAAGGTATACCTAAAAAACTTGCTTGCTTGGTTGATTGATGACAAGAAAAGTTCATTGTCATTAAAACCAACCAACCAGTTCTGCAATCAATCGAGAAGGCATAATTTGATCAAATGGTTCTCTCAATGTAACACAGATTAGTGGCCAGTCAGCCAGCCAACCTCGTTTCTTTCTGATGGAATCTGGAGAATGTTTTCAAGAAACTTATAAATAAACTAACCAAACACAAAACACATTTGATTCTTTGAATACCAAGTGAATAAAATTCTTTTTAGTTTTATGATTAGACTGAGTTAAATAGGTAAAAATCATTAAAATAATCATTGAGCAAACGGTACCTTTTATTTTTCCAATCAGGTAATGATGCAAATTCTGATTTTGAATAAAGACGAAAAGAAGAATATTTTAGGCATGCAAATGATGAGGCACACACACTGAAATCAACTGAGCACAATATTAACAATGAAAACAAAAATCAATGTTTTTTGTTTTGTTTTGCAATGAAAAATCAAATCAAAATCATTGTTCGGCCAAACACAAACGACAATGAAGAATCGAACGAATCGAATAAATCGAGAGGGTCGTCGAATATGATTGCAAAGACCAATAACACTTGTTGGTTATCATGATGGTGGTAGTTGTGGTGGCACTATTCAATGTTAGGGTCATTTCGGGGGGTAACCAAGAACTAGTTTTTTTCGGGCTACATGTAGTTACGAATCACTTGAAGCCAGATATGAAGAGAATGGTGTTATCATCGTGTTCAATTGATATATGTGCGTCTAGCTTGTCCATGATCAATCAACCATGGTTTTGTTCTGGTCGGTTGAATCAACATTTTTTTGGTTTGGCTCGATTCAACCACTTAGAAAAATGGGGGAGGGGGTGAAAGACATTCTGTTTCGCTTATCATTGCTTCCGCTTATTTTTAGCTTCCAAGCTACAATGAAATAAAATCAATTCATTTTGGCCAACCAAAATTGTATCAATGGTGTTATGATCAACATGACACGCAAGCACGGACCCATGAGAAAATCGTTATGAATTTCCGGTTAAAAAGTTGATAGTTTAGTGAGTCAGTCTGGCGAAAAGATCATTATCGTGGCGTCATGATTGAATCCGGAATGCATTAGGTTGGACACACACATGTTAATCGATTAAATCGAATAGAAAAAAGACCGGAAAACATTGAAAATATGGAAAAATGAATGAAATGATTTCAGTTAAATTGATCGTGAAAAATGGCTAAATAAACACATCACAGAACATAACATGATTGATTGATTGATGGATGCATGTTTGGCTGCTGCTGCTGCAACCAACAACACAAATTCAATTTCAATCATTCATGGCTTGATGATGATGATAATGGCCTTCATGGCTCAGCAATGATGACAGCAGCAGCATTTTTATCAATGAAATGCGACAAGAAACAAAACTGTCAAAGAAAATCATCATAATCGTGGATGATGAGGAAACAAAGTTTTTTTTGTAACGAAATGCGAAGAGCAGAGGCAGAATTGATCCGAATTCCAATGGCATTCCACTTCCACACTTCTGTTTTCATTCAATATCTTTGCTCTCTGTTGCTGTTTTGAATTTTATATCAGAGTTCAGTCGAACGACGACGACCCGAAAATGTTTTCTCCTAATGCAAGAAAATATCTGTTACATTACTGGGTTACTGAGCCAATATAGCAGTAGCATCACAACCAACAACCGAAATCAGTGCGTAGGAATATAGCAGTGTGTTCCAGGAATTTGTTTCAAAACATATACCAACCATGTTGAACCAGCTGCTTATCCCTTACATAGAGCAAAAATAATTGATTTCAATTCGCTCCATATACCTTTTTTCTTACCTTGTAATTGTCATCACCATTTTTTCAAAACTTGGTGATACGCTTCATGAGTCAGTCGTTGAGTTCCTTTCGGCTTCATCATTCCAAACAGACATTAAATTTACTGGAATAATTTTAATGGAAAAACTTATCAAAGGGAGATCCATCCACACAACACTATATTCAATGTTATTATCATGGAAACTGAGTAAATTTGGTTTTACAGATGAAAGAATTGTTTTGTCAACCTTTTCCACGGAGATTAATCAGGATAATTTGGCTGCAAATGTTGTTGTTTCGCGAAAATAAATCATTTTGAACACTTTTTTCATAACAATCAATCAATCGAATGCGATCGCCATCTAGTGTTCTGGATTCAATTTTGTTCAAAAATGGTTCGAATTATTTTATTTTTATTTCGAAAATCAAAAAAAAGCAATCATAAAACATTGAAAGATAAACATGAACAAAGATTTAATCTTTATCTTTATTACCACCAGCAGCACTCAGTTCCTCTTCTTGTTTTCGGAAACATTCACCAACAGGGAAAAAATCCCATGTGCGTTTTTGATATAATTCCCAAACATAAGTTTCCTGGCCTGTATAATCAGTATCCGGTTTATTAATCAAATGCATCAAAAAGAACATATAATTCGCCAGGTTATGTTCTTTAGCAACATGCGTATCGAAACCATGTGGTACTGAATCAAAATAATCTTTTCCGATACCACAGATAAAACAATTGGATTCCATATCATCGGAAACTGATTGCAGTTGGTCACGTAACTCACCAAATGCATCGATGATAAGACCTAGAAGTAAGTAAGTAAGTAAATATTCAATCAGTCAATATTCAAAGAGAACTTACCCTGTAGAATGGCCAATAAAATAACGATAACAAAAAAGAAGAATGTAATATCAAATATAATACGATAAACTTCATATTCATCACCATCAGGTGGTTCAATTTCATCACCGATGCCACCACCAGCACGAACACCTTTATACAGGTGAAATACAAAACAAGTGAGCATATTATGGCATTTTCTATCCACCTGATCGTCTTCTTCTTGCACATAGAATTTACGGAAAAAATTGAATGCAATAACCGTATAAATGTAGACAACAATGATCAACAACATTACAGTCAACACTAATTGTTTGCCATTGTGTGTGACCGATTGCAAAATGGTTTTCAATGTTGGAATTACAACGGCTATATCGAGCAAATGAGCGGCGAAAAAAAAGTAACTAAAATTTCCCATCAACGAAAGAATAAAATAGCCAAGATTGTACAGGAATACCTGAGTGAAAACAACGATAATCAATCGAAAAATTGAACCGAGTGAATGAAACTTACATTGTCCATAAATGTAACACCGACTTTCCAGATTTGATATTGCCAATCACAATGGGTTATGAAGGATATCCACCCTGAACCGCTACCCGCATTTTGTCCGGATTCATCCACATTCGAATTTTTCGATATTCCCAACAATTTACTCAGAGCATCATAATCATATTGTTCAGCATATTTAGCCAGTACACGTTTTTTAACAAATTTATCCCAATAGTTTACCGGGAATGAACCAGTCGATATGACCAATTTATCCCAATAAGCACGATAATTATCTTCAGCTTGTTCGGTAATATACAATCCTTCAAATTCCAAATTTCTGGCGATTTCCTTTTCACGTTTAAATATGATTAATGGAACTTTAAGATTATAATATGCGATTAGCATAAAGAACGATAACAATGAATGTAACATTGCCAATCCTTTCAACAGCGGTTCCAGATAATACCAACTTTCTTCAATTTTTATGAATTCTATTACATCATCTTCTTCGCCACTTCCACTGCCACCACTTTCACCGCTTTGTTGTTCACCTGATCCGATGATATCTTGTTCACCGCTTATGGCCGAAGCAATGGCATCATCATCAGGAATATAACTGCTAACTTTATAGAATAATAACATCAAATTTATAACGAAAGCCATGGCCAGGGCAATCTTTTTGATTGTATAAAGATTTCGAGCCAAGCCGTAAACAAATCTGGATGTTAGATGACCAAAATTGAAAACATTTTTCGATCTGTCCGAATCAGATGTTCCTGAATCGGATGCACCGGTCGACGATGATGATGAAGATGCTTTATTCGAAGATGATGTTGATGTGGTGGGTAATTCCACTGAATGATCAATTAACCGATCTGAATCGGGTATGGAACCTTCTGTCATAATAGTGGTAGCATGATGATCATCCGTCATTGATGTTTCCTGATGAACACTTGATTCGTTTCGTGGTTCGTCTTCTAAGAAACATTCGAAAAAAGGCAATTTTCATCAAATTTTTCGAGCAAAATTAATGCAAAACTTACTTAAATCTTCGACGATTCCTTCGTCTATTGCTTGTTGATTATCTAGGTTGGATGTTTGTCGATGTTCATCCGTCATGGTATTGCTGCTAATAAGATGATCATTGGCACTCATCAATGCCATACGTGGTTCAACGACCATCGAAGCTTGATGATAATGAATGGTCGGTGGTTTTTCGATCGGTTCTTCTTCTTCTTCAACCAGACCATATTTACCCAGCATTAATTCAAGAATTATCTTCAATACAATTTTATTGACAAAATATATTGACCACAAACTTAGGTAGGTTCCTTTCAACATTAATTTCACCGATCCATATATTAATTCAAACCAGGTTTTTTCCAACAATGATTGCCATTGTTTTCGTAGAAAACTTGGCTTCAAATAACTAAACAGTCCACAGATTTTTAACCAAACGATTGCAAAAACATTCTTTATTGGATCGAAAAATGATGTTCGTTTTTCCTCACTGCCTGGATGTGGATATTCCTCTGTTCCATGATGACGAAAAAAACAAATCAAAATCAAATCAAACAATCAGCTAGCTGAATCACCAACCTGCTTTTTTCGGTTCATCATCTTCTTCCATGGAAATACTGGAAGCATGTTGCATTTCAAATATAGCATCCTCACAAAAATTAATGAAAGCTTCCAATTTTTCTTTATCACCACCTTCGGTAACGATTGAATAGAAAAATGCACGTTTCGATTCTTTAATCTGTGGTTTTTCCCATTGTCGGATGGTTTCTTCAGCAATTTCAAAATAAACTCTCTCGATACGTTTTGAACTGCCCATAATTTCAATACGGCCAAGATAATTTTCAAAATAACTCAGTAATGAACTTGCTGTTTCTAGAAATCGCTGTAATCGTGGATCATTAGTCATATGCTCGGATAAATTGGTCAACAATACAGCCAAATTGAAACCAATATCCTTAGCCGGGTTATGAAAACGTTCGGTAAATTCACGATAATCCAGATAACCATCATGATTTGGTTCACAACATGACATTAGAAATGCAATATCTTCATCACTATAAATTTTTTGCTGTTGTAATGCTTTACGGAAATCTTTGGCATGAATCCAACCGGTATTTCGTTTGTCATAGTCCTGTCATAAAACAAAATCAATTAATCAGTCAATAATCAATCAAATTCACTCACCTGAAACGATGAAGACGATGTAAAATCTTTAAGTTTCAAGAAAATATCGAAAAATTTCAAAATCATTTCAACATTTGCAGCCGATTCAACCAGTGTGTCGACCATTTGTTTACCAATCGTACCGTTCATAACATTACCTTCCAACATTGATAACATCAGAATGACCATTTCGGTTTGCAGATCTAACAGCATCAACAGTAACTCCAGTTGCGATGAATTTTGTGAAAGTTTTTTTTGCATATGTGCAAACAAAAACATGAATCCAACAACAGCATCCCATAAACGAGAATGGGCCAGCGCTTGTTGATTCATTGTGCACGGGCCTTGAATTGATTCGGTCAACGTACTGAACACTTGTTTGGCAACATTGATTGCTTTGCCAAAATTTTCAATACCAGATTGATCGATAACTTCTTTACTGGAATAATGCCAATAAAAATCCATAATCGATTCTTGTAGCCGAAGCAGATAATCAACAGTGGCAATAACAACATTAACCGTTGTTGTATTACCGGCTTGTGTTCTAAGGTAATTTTGAAATTCCAGATTATGACCTTCACATAATAACTGTATGAAACGGAATAAAGCACAGGTGAATTCTGCATCATGCATATTTTTTTCCCCAGTCGTTCCTTCCGAACCAACACCTAAACCTTCTGCTTTCTGTGTTCGTTCGAATGCATCCAAATCCAGTACGGAGCAAGAATTCATTAGGCCCGCAATCGATATGAAAAAACCAACATCTTTTTTCTCTTTCAAATGTTTCAACATTCGCATTTGAATATCAACATTGCCACCTTTCAGTATGGAAATACCCAATTTCAATGTTTTCAATGCCATCGGACTTGGCAGTCCACGACATGCACTAATATAAAGCAAGACCATTTCGGCAACACCACGTTTTTCCAGTCGTTGCTGTTGAAATAATAATTTTTGTTTTTCCATTTCTTGTTCATGAATAGAACTACCATCTTCTTCACCACCATTATCATCACCACCTTCTTCATCGTCATCATCGTTTTCTTCTGACCCACCACAACTTTGTGCAAAAATAAACGCATAATCCATATAAAGTCGATCCTCTTTCATTGCACCACCATGTTCAGTAGTGGCCGAACGTGAAAATGCCGTTGTTAATTGAGCAATCGGATCATGTTTTTCCGAAGTGGATCCTTCTTCGCCGGAAATTTTTTGTTCCAATTCTTCAAACGATTCGGTTGTATCTTCTATTAGCTGTTCATGACCAACATTTTCCACTTCTAACCATTGATCGGAATATGTTTTCAAAAATATATTTATTGCACGATGCCTGTGTTATGTCAATGAAAAAAATAAATTTTAAAAGGTTTATATCAGAAACAAGAGAAATTTCCAGGTAAAAATCAATGTCGGTGTGTCAAAATGGGTTTTTGTTTGTAGCAAACCTGGGCATTTTAGCCAACAATTGATTCATTAGCACTGAATTTTGTATTGCACGTCGTTTAGCAACACTTAATCGATAACGATATCGATTTCCATCGATTTTCTGTGCCGGTTTTATCTTGTCGTTTTTCGATTCGGAAATAAATATGAAGAAAAAAATTTTAAATTTCCATCAAATGACCAACATGCTTTATCGATACATTCACACAGACACACACACAACAAACACATACACATGGGAATAGGATTTTTTTTGAAAGAAATTAAAAACATTACCTTGGTAAAGAATGTAATGATGTCATGCGAAAACATGCAATAACAGCTCGTTTTCTTTGACTTGAAACACAACTACGCCATACACCTTTTTCTTTACTGGATGGATGATCAATCTGAATGAACCACCATAACAAACAATCAAATCACAACAATCAAACAAACAAATAGGGAATTAGGATTTAACAAATTCATCATATTCAAAGCCAAGCAAAACAAACATTCACAAAATGCCAAACCATTTCCAAAATCAAAAACTTACCATATGAAGACCATACAAAACTTTAGCCATTTCAATAATTCGATCAACCAATTGGTCACCGGTTATTTGCAATTCTTTTGTGGCTGCTGCTTTGTTCAACGGAATCAGATCACCACTGCCGGTAGATGGAGTGGTTTGTGTTTTGGATCCCAGTTTACTGTACAAATAATGCTGCCATGACATATCATCACTTGGATCAATTTTATCCGGTAATGTTAATTGTGTTTTAACATATTCAAATATATCACTTTCGGGCGATTTCTTCAGAAATTTTTCCTTTGTATGTTGAACTAGTTCTTGTTCACGACCGGCAAATAAATTCAATCCAACCGGTAGCAAACGTTTCAAACATGCAACAATCAAACTTGCTGCCAATTCCTTATCTTTATCACGTTTACCATCACGTTTCTTTTTCACTTTTCGTGATGATGATGATCCCGATTGACCACTATCCACTTTAACATTCGAAACTAGTCGGCCACCACGACCCGAAGATGGCATAATCAATGCCATATTATCAATGTCATTTGAAGCAATAAAATTCTGTTCTTCTCGTCGGAAAAATTGTGATTTTAGCCAAATATTGAACACTGTTGAACCACAGTAAAACAAACGTTCTGCATTGCGATTATTTTGTTTGAGCCAATGTTGTCGTTGGATATCAACATATTTTATCAACAATGGATAAAATGCATATAAATCACGAACCAATATGGCAAATTCTTCCTGAATTTGGGATTCAGCATCGGCTGTATCTTCGGTGGTTGTCGATTTGAGCAGAAAACCACCACCACGCATCATATCTTCATTATGATAGGCTTGTTCAGCACGTTGAAGAATTTTTTCCGTTAATGGCATGATTGGATCCACTAATAATGTATCCGATGAATTAATGATTATTTGGCCAGCATGACTTGCTATGGTTGTCATCCAATTTGCCTGGCGGACGCCGATATTATTTCCAATCAAATTTAAAATTGTTTTGAAAATTCCATTCAAATGTTCAGTGGTTACCATCGTTATGTAATTATCACCGGAAACATTAACATTATCCGGACCTTGTGACCACCAGAATGGCAGATATGCACAAACAATCGGTATGATAACATCGACTATATGTGGTTCTTGTTGATAACGTCCATTTTGCACAAATTTTTCAATCTGCCCAATCAATTCATCCAATGTTGGCATGGATGCACCCAATTCGGATAAAACTTCCAATGCTTCTAGCGAATGTTCTTCCGATTTGCCATGAATACAGTAACGGTTATGTTTATTCAGATGCGGTTCCAGAAATGCAACCGGAAATGTTGATGCAAATGCAGCCAAACAATTACCAATTGCAGTTCGATGACGATTCAATTCATATTTAATAAATTGTCGACCAAGATTCAGCTGTTGATGTCTTGTGCCCAAAACATAGAGAGAATTTAGCATTTTATAGCATGCAACTTGAATATCATTCACTAATAGATCGGATCCGAATTCATTTGCAGCCAAATGATCAAATAACGATGTTAGAACGGGTAATAACATTAATTGAATTGAATTCAATGATGATGAGGTTTTCATCGCTGTACCACGAATATATGGGAATTTGGCTTGTTGTAAATTTACCAAACAATTGGCCAGATCATCAGCAGCATGATTGAAAAATGTTTGCATTGATGTTTTGACAAAATCCGGTGAATATCGTACGATAGTACGGGCATCGATAGCACCGACTAAAACCTGCAAACATCGAACACAGGTTTTAACATCCGAACCAATTACGGAAAGTTTTGATCGAACAAACGATGCAAGTTTACAGAATAAACTTGCAACCAATTCTTTTTCACGAACAGTTGCAACACCTGCTGTAGCAGTTGTTGCAGCAACTGTTGCAGCTGTTTGAACATTAACCGATGCAATTGAATTCAGGAAGAATATTCTTTGTGCAGAGAAATATTTTTCCGTTAATGGCAGCACAACTTTACTGAAAAATTTAACATCACCCGAAGATTGTTTAAATGATGAACGACGGCTGAAATTAGTGGATGGTTTCAACAAACGAAGATTAATCGATGCCGTATCCATGTATTGTAGTAATTTTTCCAGCAAAGATGATGCAAAACGACATTCTTGATTCGGTTGTTGCGTTGTCGATGCTGTTGTACCGGGTGATTCCGGTGCCGCTGCTGGCGAACCGGTTGTCATTGAATTCAATCGATTGCGTTCAATATTTTTATGAACTTTATAACCTTCGAATTGGAGAAATTTCAGCAATTCTTGCGAACGTTCACGATTTTTTTTCTTCTCTCGATCGGTTAACAAATCATATGGTACCATTTGTGGATGAATTATATTAACATTTTGGCCGGCGCCAACATTTTGACCACTGGCAGCCATCATTCGACTTTGTTCGCGGACGTTTTTTGCCCAAATATCATGAGCATTTTCCGCCAAACGCTCGGCCATTGTTTGCATTTCACGATTCAACGTTAGATTAGTCATATCAACTGGTTGTGGATTATAATCCTGTATGGATGTTGCTTGATGTGACATGGTCGTTGGTTGCGATTTGCTGGTCAACGTTCCACTACCACCGGAATCTGATCGATCAATAATATAGCCTAATGCTAACAACGTTTTCAATGCATCTCGTATCGGTTCACAATATAATTGTTTTTCACGTTCATTCAGCATTGGATATGGTTTCAAACGTGGATGTGATTTTTTATATGACCATTGTTCACCATATTGCCAACCATGATCGAATTTACGTTGTGCCCATGCATCATGGTAATGTTCAGAAAATTTTTGTACTAAATTCATCAGATCCGCTGATAAATTTATCCGGGATATATCCACCGGTTCAGGTATATATGGAAATTCCCGTGCACCAATTTGTTTATGAAAATTTAAATCCTCCAATGAATTGGCTGGCATTGAATAATCAGGTGGTAATGCACTTGCAATAGCTGTCAAACATGGTAATGCTTGACCAAACAGATCTGGATCATAATCCATTTTAGCTAATGAGTCGAAAATGTTTGAAAACAAAACCATAGTCAGGCGGCGTTCTTCTTCCGATGCTGAACCATACGGTGCTTGACCACTACCGGAACCATAATAACGGCCGCAACGTTCAAAATGTAATGTTAGCAGACGATAAGCGACTGTCGTTGATTCAGATATTGTTGAAACATCGATTGATAATTTTCGCAACAATCGTAACAACATTGCAGGCATCATTTCTTTGGTTAATGCGACCAAGAAATCTGATACGATTTCTCGTTGTCCCTTGGTTAGGATTTTTACTTTTGCCAAACGATATACAGTGTGGAGTGAAGCATCCAATAAATTAGACCAATTATCCGCATCGGCAAAATAATAATGGTATTTGATTAGCAATGGTAGTACAGCATTACCAAGATAACGATTCAATGCTAATGACATTTCACTATCATTACCGCTAGCAGAATCACTGCCAGTTTCAAACATTGTTGCAGCGCGAAGATCCGGCAAAAAAGCTTCTTCTAATAATCGGAAAAATGATTCTTGACTATCGATACCGTATACACGTTCAAGGAACAAAACAATCGATTGTTTATGTGATGGTAGCAAACTATTTGGCATATCAGATTTTCCCTCTGCATTGTTGCTGTTTGCAGTCAACGTAAATCTCAACGACAAAACACCTTCCAAATCTTCAATCGGCACCAATGAACGTAGAATGGCACGTGTACGAAGACATTCATTTTTGCCCTGGGCGATTGTTGCCGCTTCTGGTGCACAACGACCAAGAACATCGACCAGTGTACAATAAAAATTCAATATAGCTGATCCCATATCGATATAATCTTCATCCTGTTCATCATCCTGGTCCTGTTGTTCCATTTCTTTCATTTGTGATTGTTGCCCTTGTCGTTGTTGTTGACGCTCTTTGGCAATTCTTTCGGACATTATTATTGCTTCTTTAATGGCAGCTAGCAAACCTTGTCCTTCACCACGTAATGCTGGCCCAAGACATTCAGGTCTTCGAATCAATAGCCGTATGACAAGATTTGCATTCTCTTCTACTGATTCTCCATTAACCCAGACACAGAAACGCAGAAAATCCAGGTAACGTTCACCTTCAACTGGATCCCATCCCACATCCGGGTAACCTTTATCAATTAATTCTTGATTTGATTGCAGACCGCAACGGGACAGGTAAATTGCAATTTTTTCCAAATAATTTTCACGCAATGCCAATGCAAGTTCAGGATTTTCCATCAACGATGAATAAGCTACATCTAACGGTGTAGTTCCGCGAAGTGATGGTCGTGAAAGTAAAATATTTGAATGTTCCAACAGAAAATCCAGATGATCAAACATGGCTTTCTGATTTTTCCTCCCGGACCGGCAAAAAAAGCAAAGAAAACGACAACAAGCAACAACCATTTCGGATATTGAATCCGAGCGATTTGATGCAGCAATAGCTGCAGCCGATAACGATGATTGTGAATCATCGGATTTTTGTTGTTTTTTCAGCGTATTCATCATAACATCCATAACATTTTCATGAACACGTAATATGCGAATCAAGTCTGGATGTTGAAAGAAAATCTTGTTATTAACCATAGTCCACAATGATTGTCGCATAACTTCTTCTTCTTCCGGACCCATTTGTACGGGCAGTAATGCACGAACAACATTCAAGTGACGCAATAAATCTTCAACATCAGCTTTAGATTGATCACTCATAACATAAGTATTGCTTAGAGCTTCCATTAGCGTTCCCACACCATTATAACAACGAAGTAGTAAGTAAAACATTTGTCTAATCAATTCATTATTCTCCAATTCAGTATCTTCAGCCCAATGAATGATTGTCGTAACAATTTTCCGAACAAGGATATCTTCGGGTGGTTCTTTTGATTTTTGGCCTCCACTACTTTCACGTTTTTTGCCGAATGATGATTTAACATTATCAACTAAATTGAATAATTTATTTGACCAGGATCGTGATGAATGATGGCCCATCATAGAATCATCGATACCAGAATCAGAATCATTTTCCGTCTCCGCATCATCCTGACAATGACGGATAACATTGATTTTATGGATAATTTTTTCATGAAAAATTGTCAGAATTTCTTTCAATTCATCACGTGTTGGACATAAATCCTGGTTTTCTTCATTATCCGGATGATTAAACGCAAGAATTGTTCGCATTTGTTCTTGTGGTTGACAACGAAATTCACGGGTTTTTTTCGCAGCAACAGCGGCTGGCATATCTTCTTGTTTGATTTCAATATAACGCCTGAGTTGATCTGCTTGTAAATCTTTGACATATGTCGAGCTAAATGCAATAATTGCTTCAACACGATGACGTAATTGTAGATCCATCAGATGATGAAGAATCAATGTCATTTGTAGTTGGACACCTTCATCCAAACTCATTTGGATCAGACCTTTCATTCGTGGAATACTTTCAAAATCATAATCAGGATCGAATGTTTCCGGATCGATTAGGATCAAAATTCGTTCTAAATCTTGATCATCAATGCAACCAATCAGCAGGAGTTTATCCGCCAATTTGATTAGCGGAACGAAGAGATTTTCATTCGAACCACCAATTGGATCTCGATTCGGTCGATTTCCTTTGCGTACTGCATCATCCAATGCTTCCATTACAAATTGTTTCAGAACGTCTACGGGGAAAAACGGACTGGCCATATCACGAATTGAATAATTTTTCTGATTCGGTTCATTCATTGACATTTTTGGCCGTATCGATACAGATTTCAATGATGACAATGAATGTATCATACGATCATCACCAATTGCGTATAAACGTCGAAGATTATCACTAACCGGCAGAATGAATTCATTTTGGGTAAGATTTCTTGCATTTGCATGGATTTCAAAATGTAAATCAATCAAAAGGTCAGCAAAACCAGTACGCAATGGACCGGACATATATTCGGATTTGATTGCAAACATGAGTTGCTTGGCATCAACATGATCGCATATAATATGTGCAGCACGATTATTACCTTGAAAACAAAGCGCACCATATAATGCAAGTGTATGTGAATGAAATTGTAGAAATCGTTCATTTTCGATCAGTTCTAAAATATCAATGCAACGATCTTCTTCCGGAACGTGAATAACTAATTGCGATACAGGATCTTCACATAACATTGACCAACCACGTATGTCGGATAATTTTAATGAATGGGGTCGAAGCGATTGATTCGGTACTCGTGACCATTGATAAGATTGAAGATATTGTACACGAAGTCGTGGTGGACATTGTGGTGCCAAATGTTTACGGCTAGTTTTCAATATAGCCGATGATAACGGTAACGTTGTTGGTGTACGACCCAATTCGAATTGAAGACATTCTTTTGATGTTGCTTCGAAAATAATGGCCGGAAACAGTTTAATACCCGGTTCGATGCGAAATTTATGTCGTAATGATCGGCCATCAGCTGTGAATGTTAAGCAACCAGTAGCCGTATCAACATGACAACCAATAAACATTCCTTGATTCGATCGTGAAGTTGATCCTTGTTGTTGTTCATCTTCATGAACTTCTGCATACATTTTGCCGGCATTCAACATATAGCAATTTTGTCGATCAAAATAATCGGAAAGCTGACCAGTTTCAGACCAAACCTGTAATGTTACTTTACGAATGCCAGAAGAATCGAATGTTTTTGTTTCGAAATGCTTGAAATTTGGTGTGACCCATCCGATCCAAACATGATTTGGATCCTGGCCAGGAAATACACGGACACCGTAAAAATATTCATCAATCAAATCCAAAACTGTATTGTCCAACAAATCATTCGTTTCATCGGGTAATGTTTCGGTTTCCATTTTAACTCGTGAACCACGTCGAGCCGAAATAGCTCCAGTTGCACCTGCAGGAGCTGCAATTGTAGATCGACGACGACCAATCGTGCTTGTTGGAAATGGTGGTTGCAGACCACGAAATGATGCATTACTAACATCGATTTGCGGTATGCCTGCTTGTAGCAATCCGGTACCGATTTCTTGTGCACGTCCAGCTTGTCGTCTTTGTTGTTGATGTTGTTGTTGTTGTTGTTGACGACGTTCTTGTTCTTGCTTATCTTCCGGTTTCCTATTGCCATAACGTAAAAATCGAAACGGCGATTTACTACGAATTTTCGGATCAACAATTTCCGTCGAATGTTGTTGTGATTTATTCGCAGCACGATTCAGTGCTTCAACACTTGTTGATCGTTTTGATCTAGCCGATGCGTTTGTTGTCATTGTTGCCATCATAACCTGTGCTTCATGTACGGTTGGTACTTTCAGTTCATTTTCAAATGATTTTGTTTTGACCAATGCACTTTGTTTGCGTTTCATCCATGACATTTGTGATTGCTGTGGTTGCGGTGTATTAATCGCATTTTCATCCGTTTCATTTCCTCCAACACCGACACCACCGCTTCCGCCAGCAGCCGCAGCAGCAGTAGTATCTGAATATGCTCGATTTAATTCTTTGACATCGGAAATTGAGAAGCCAGATTTTAACATATGTTGTTCCAAACGAGCAGGATGCATAAATTCTGCACTACGATTACGTTGAATTCGGCGTCGGATTTCATCCCATCTGGAAGATTTTTCCAAATCATCGATAAGAAAATCATTAATCTGGACAGGTAATGATAATCGTAAAAATTCCCAACTTGCTTTTTCTTGTGTTTCGAATAGTTTATGTGATAATTTCAATGCAGGTGAGGAATCTGAACCTGATGGTATTCGTATAACTTCAATATTAGAATTATCATCCAGATCACCAAATATTGGTTCATCTTTATTGTACCAAAAAGTCATCGAACGATTCATATTAACACAAAATGGTTGATAACCTTCTTGCAGTCCACATTGAGTGAAAAATTTCAGTTGATTTACATCTTGGCCACAAATCAGACGAATCTTCTGGTGAACACCAAGAGTAAATGCCGGAACAAAACCACCACCACCATCAGCAGTGGAAATAGTCGATGATAATTCTGAGCTGAATGCAGCTTCACTGCCTAATGAATCCAACAACAGTTCCCCATTCAAACTGAATGATATGATTCGATCATTCAGATCGAGCATACAACCAACAACATCACCAACTTGTACTGGTTTTCCAAATGTTTCATTACTATTTGCATAACATTTTTTGGCACGCAAACAATCATAACCAAATGAACAATCATCATTACCAAGTTCGAAATTTGGCGAAAATGATGTTCGTGCCCAACCCAATCGTATTGGACCTTCGGTAAGAATTTCTACTTCATAATACCATTTTCCATTATGAACGGAATAAGTTTTCTCTGCTCGATATGAACGAAAATCATATTGACGATTTTTTGTTGATGAATCTTTTCGACCAAAAATATTTGCTACTGATTCGGCTGCAGAATCACCACTTGGCGGTTCTAGATTATAGCCATATGCCAGTAATGTTTTTACTGTTTCAGTTGCTGTATCACGATTCGCTTTTTTGATTACATCATCAACCAACCGGTAAGGAACTAAATGCGGACTACGACGCATTAGATGATCTTCTAGTCGGCCATAAGTCCAACCTTGTGCAATTCTTTCTCTTGCCCATACGTTATGTGTATTTTCCGCCAACAGATCAACCAATTCGATCATTTTTGCATTCAATTCAATTTGTGATAGATCCATTGGTGCTGGCTTATAACCATTCGATTGCAAATATGGATCATTAGGCAAACGTATGGATTTAATACGTGCCGGTGTTTTATCCACTGTAATACGATAACCAATCGCTAGGATTGTTTTCAATGTTTGTAAAGCTAAAGTTGTGTCGTATTTCTTTTCATTCAATGGCAATCGTTCGAATGATGTCAAACATGGATGTGTGCGAGCAATATCATCACGTTGTTCGGAATAAATCCAACCTTGTTCAATTTTATTCATTGACCATACTTCATGAGTATTTTCCGCCAATTTATCCCGAACTGATTCAATATATGAAGGCAAACTTATTTCATTCGTTTCCACTGGTCTAGGGACAAATGCTGCATCATCGTATAGTTCAACGTTTGGCCCATAAATAATTCCTTTAACCAAATCTCCAAATTGAAAGCAAGGTTCTATGTTCAATTCTTGTGCAGGCAATAATGTCTGTATGATTGGTGAATGTCCTTGTGGTGGCCCGAATCGCAATCGGCCATGATCACCACCGAATAAAAACCGGCACGAATATTTCGCACCGAAACTTATGACCGGATAAAACATGCCATCAGTGTTGAAATTTTTGAAACAACCGCGAATCGGAATCCCATTCACAGTAAACGTTATCAACGGGATATTCAGGTCTAAAATACAACCGATAACTGTATTTTTCTGCACGGGAAATTGCTCAGTCATCGTTCCTCCGGGAACATTTCCCGTGGGAATATTCCTGACCAAATTTGCTCGGCCACAAGTCCAAATATATTGGCCATCGAATCCATATGAATAAAGATCATCACCAACACCATTACCACCCCACTTACAACCACCACTTGGATATGGAACATAACCCTGGGTGTTTGCCCAACCACAACGAAAATGTGGTTCCAAATGTGTAACCATTTCAATATGATCGATTATAACTTCGAAATACCATTTACGATACATTGCTGAATTTTCCACCTTGCCAACATAGAAATTTGGTCGCATTGAGGCCACACGATCAATCAGTTTGGTTTGTAAAAGAAGATTTTTACTTGGCAATAAATTATCGCAAATATTATTCTGTGATGATCGAACTGCAACACCATTACCAACACAAAGTGAGCAAAGAACATCCAGAACTTTAGGATCACGACCATGTTTTTCCAATAACGATATAATAACTTTGATATGATTTTCTTGCATCATATTCAATGCTTCGGGTGAATCAATTAGGACGCAGTGTAAAACATCGAGCATTCCGGTTCCTTCACTTGCTTGTTGTGATGAAAGTGATGCAAACAGCCAATCTAAACGATGTGATTGTGCAAAATGAGCACAATTAGTATGATTACCTTTTATGATTGCAGCCAGCAATTGATAAAGATAATTTGTAATGGTATCCCAATTCGAATTACTTTCATCACCAAGCAGAGCGGTTAGTAAACCTTGCGTTGTTATAATATTCATTTTATCAACAGCTTCCAGGATCAGATTGAGAATTCCTTCCTCTTGGAAAAGATCCTGACGATTACGCAGTGCTTTCAGGCGATTTTGTCGTTCTTCATGATCACATTCGGCATCTGGTTGTGCAAAATAATTTATCAGATCTTCCAAACACATAATCATTCCTTGTTGATCTTGATCGGTGAACAATGGAGATGCGTTTGGTGTTGCTGCGGGTGCCATAGTGGTAGAAGAAACAGTTCCCGCAGGCGATGGTGATGGTGAACGTGAAAGACGATGTCCACGTTGTGTCGTTCTCGATGAATGTAATGAATTCAGAATCCAAACAAACCGGTTAAATTGTTGTTCACATTTGCGAATGACCCGTGCAGTTTTTCCTTCTTCTTCTTGCGACCGAGAGAATTCCAGTCCATCATCCATTTTACCTTCTTCGGACATGATTGCCTGCTTTTCCTCGACTTTACCAACACCTCGTTTTTTTGTTTCATATGTTTTATATGATAACCATAGGCCAGTTTCGCAATGTTGTACATATACGGTAGTATCACCAAATTTTATCAATGGTAACCCTATGATTTCTTCATCTTTTTCATCTAAATCACGTTTATCATCTTTATTTTTTTCTTTATTTGGTTTTAGACAGAATGCTGCCCGTTCTATGGTTGCTTCTTCTCGTGACAGTAAACAAATATCATTGGCATCATTAATACCCAAATAACGACCGGTTGTAATATGATGTATACGCAATGGATGACCCCAGTTGATAAATCCACCAGACCATTTCGTACGGGCTAAATCTAAACGCCATAAACTTCGTGCCTGGTTAAATACAGCGCCACCTTCATAAACAACCGTATTTTGTTCACCGCCACCACCAGCAGAATCGGATGACCAATTTGTCGGCACAGTCAGACATTCATCACCACCATGGAAAAAACGTAGGACTTCACCGCCGAAGACAAATCCAACATTTTTAGCACGTGATGTACCGGTTCCGAATGGTGCAATAGACCAATGTGTTTGATGAAACGAAGCGTTTACAACATAACTTCCAGCTTCCAATGCGGTATGCAGATAACGTTCAGTTGCAACGGAAACCAAAATCAAATCATCACCAACACGAACTTTTTCACCTTCGGATCGTTGTTTCGATGCAGGATGAATTGTCCACCAACATGCTTCACCTTGAGAATTTTCTCGCAAGCCAACATCGAATGATAATTTATCTTTGGATGAACTTGTTGATAAACATGCCAGATACATATTTGAATGACCATGACGCAAAAGGACTGCATGACCATAAAGCAGAGTTCGATGGCCACCTGCAGCATTAGATTTACCACTGCTGCTGCCGCTTCCGCTGCCTTCATTATCATTGTTTTGATTTTCTGCTTGTTCTGCGGTAACCATTTCTTGTAATGCACGAACTGACAATGCTTGTTCGATGACAAAAACACATGATGATATTTCAGGTGGTTGGTTTTTATCGGCAATATTTTCCAAATAACAATGACGATTACCAAAACCTTCAGCAGCCAAACAAACACGGTTATTTGTGGCACCATGTTGTAAACATACCATATCATCCTATAAAATGAATTGTCATTATTATTATCATCAAAATGTGACCACCAACAAATCAAATGAACAAATACCGTTCGTAAGAATGAAATATCATCTTGTTCGGAACCTTCGTCCGCCATCTTGAAATTTTAGAATTTGACCAAAACACTTTCAATGAAAAATTGTCTATTTCACTAGCAATGATGACAGATGATATTTTGGGTGAAAAACATTTTTTATGCAAAAGAAAGTTTATTGGATGCCAACAACAACAAAAACACCACACTACACTCAAATCACCATAAACATTACCAATGAATAAATTTTTTGTCAATAAAATGATGTCAGTCACTCTTTTTACCGAATCGATTGATCGATCGAATCGTTGGATGATTTGTTTGTTGATTTAATTTTGTTTTCTGTTTGATTTCAGTTTTTTTCTTGTAAATCAAATCAAATTGATGATCAGAATCAGAAAAATTCATTCCATCGGTAAACTTTTACATTACCGGCATCATTATTATTATTACCATATGGATTTTTAGTTCATTTGGTTTTTCGGTCGCTGGAATTTCTTCTTCTTGGTATTTTGTCGTTGAATTCCTTGTTGCACTGTATTGTACTGTACTGTGTAATGTGTGACTGTGTGACCTAAACTAAGAACGAATGTTGTTGGTGAAAAAAAACAACAATTCAAATATGAAGAATATTCTTACATTCACGTACATGTACACTGTATATTCTTCTTGTTGTTGTCTATGTTTATTGTTCTTACTCCACTCGAACTGAACTGATGTTTGAACTAAAATGAAAAGTTAATTTTAGACATTTTTCACCCAAAAAGAAAATTCTTTTCGATTATGGATGTTTTATAACATTATCCAAGTGAGAACGCACAGCCAGCAATCAAATTTTAAAAAAGCAACGCAAAGCAAAAAACAAAACAACCATATGGAATGGCAGCGATTCGCATCGACATTGTTTGGTTTTTTATTAATTTTTTGTGTTTGTTAATTTCCGATTAAAATGATCAAATTGAAAGGGGAATAAAGTTATTTTATTAGGGATTTTTTGTGGTTATCGTGAAATTGAATGTAAAAAATGATTCAAACGGTTATAATAATCCGGATGTTTATGAATATTCATATGTGATGCTCCGTTTGCCCAAAATGGTTCGACAGGATTTTTTAGCCGTTCATAAATAGCAATAGCATGGCAGATATCGACTAACATATCTTCACTGCCATGTATAACAAATGTTGGACTTTCAATCAGCGAACATCGATCAACATTAGCAAATGGATCGAATGGCAAGGTTCGACTATTGTGATCATTACCACCGCTGCCGGTGAGATTATATGGAAAATAAATCCGAATACCGGACATGAATGCCGATTGAAGGATAACACCACTAGCAACCATACGTGTAGCAGCCATATAAGTTGTAGGAACTGAACCGATACTTTCACCAAATAAAATCAAATCGTCTGGATTCAATGATTTACGGCGCATTAATTCATTGATTGCAGCTTCAATATCAGCATAAATATTACGTTCAGAAGGTTGGCCACTACTCATACCATAACCGGAATAATCATAGGAAAAAATATTATACCTAGGTAATTTGCGTTTCATTTTCCATAAATGACTTAAAATTGTGCCAATATCTTCAGCATTTGTGTGACTATAAACAATAGTACCACGCACGGAACGTAAACGTTTTCGACTCTGATGAATAAAAATACAAGCCACACGATTACCATAACGATTAAATGCATAAAAACATTCTAGATATTTTGCTATACGAATGAATTTTCTTTGATAAATTTCTTGAAGTTTATGATTCATAGGATTAGCAATGAAATGACTTAATAGAATTTCTCCTTTCAAATTCTGAATATCCAGTTGATTCGGATCATTTGCCGGGGTGGTTGCGATTAAATGATGATCAAAATCAAAAACATATGTATCATGTGGTGGGCAGAATGCAAACAATGATATTATACGATCTAAACATACGCAACGATTACCTAATGAACTTAAATGCAAACAGAACGCTTACCGAATGTTATTTCCATCGATCTGGATGATGGCCGTAAAAATGAATAATAAATTCGTTGTATAATCAACCATAACCATAAGAATTTTTCATCTAATTCTCGCCAAAAATTATAAATTTTCCGTTCACGATATTCTTCATTATGATTTGTTCGTCGTATTGGATATCGTCGTTTATACAGATAGGTTATTTGGAAAAATTTTTCCACTTTTTCTGGTTCCATTTTTATCGTTCAATTCAATCAACCAAATTAAACAACAACAAACATTTAAAGCGAGAAAAAATGTAACAATTTTATTTTGAAATTAACAAAAAAAAAATTAACAAAATTTAATAATATTTATCCGAATTAAATAACAAGATATAGGTGGCGGCAGCTATAAATCCAATTAATGAACCAATACCAGCACGTTTTGTTCGTAATTTCCACATCCATTTGTCGGCATTTGGCAGCGATTGATTTGGGACATTGCTTATTAATCCACCATATAATGCACCGGTTGTAATAGCTGATATGGCAGTATTAATATCATCATTTTTTTGATGTTGATTCAAACTTGCAGCGGCAACACCGATAGCCGAATATGTCAGGGCAATCGAACCGAATGTATTGGCCATACGAGCACCATTTCTGGTTATGTAATTTAATAATTTGGTCCGTTTTATGCGGAGAAATTCCTTGGATGATGATTCTTTTAGCTGGGCAATTTCTTTCAAACCTCGATATGTTCCCATTGCACCACCAAAACCAGAACCCAACATGACAGCACCACCAATTTGTGAGAATGCTAATTCAAAACGACCACGATTATGAATCGTTGACGATGTGCCACCAACACCACCGAAATCAGGAACAATATATTCGGCAGCTAATTGATCGGGTAATGATGATTGATTCAAAAATGGTGATTTTATTTGATTCGGTTTTATATTAGCGAATAACGATGGCGAAGACAATGATGATGGTGATGATGATGGATGGGTGTCAAATAAATTAGCAGGATCCATGGTGAAAAATTGAAAATATTGCAGATTTCGAAGTTTTTGTTTTCGAACGCGTGAAATCAAAAAATCAAAAAAATAAAAATAAACAAACACTGTGTATACGTTGTTCATTAAGGACGTATCATCACATCGATCATTATTCGAAAATTTTCAATTTCTTTGGGTTCGAAAAAAAAGGAATTTCAAAATGTCAAAATTTTTTTAAACCAAAAACAATCAAGAACACACTAATATCATCGAAACATAAATAAAAACCTTTTTTGTTTGAAAGATTGAAAGCAAAAAAAAACTGGAACACAATGAATTGATGAATTTAGCTTGAAAAACAATGAAAGAATTCATTGAATAAACAAACAAACGAAAAATGTTTTCATTAGAAAATGTTGAAGCCTAGATTTGTATCTTTTTTCGAAATCAATCGAAAGTTTTTCGTTTGTTTAAAATTTACCCAGAATTGTTGGTGGTAATTAATGTTGGTCAAATGGATATATGTCCTATATGGATCAAACATTCGAATGTGAAAAACATTCGAATTCGAATGTCTAAATATTTACATTGTCCATATCGAACCCACAAAAAACTCTTCATTTCCAATGAAAAAAACATAAACATTGAATAACCAGAATTTTGTATTTTTTGTTGTTGTAACAAACCAAAACAGTTTGACAGTTTGTAAATGATCATTGATGATGATGACCCTGTCTGGTGGCAATATTCATAGCAGAAAATAGTTTACATAGTGATTCGATTTGATTGAACAAATAATCAAAACATAACCAAAAAAAAACCGAAGATCAATATTGCTACGCAAGTTGTTTTTCGCGGTTTGTATATCGATATAATTCGATATTATTGCCTGGATCCAGCAAACCAAAACAGCAAAAAAGAAACCAGACACCAGTATTGTAATCAACAAATGTATCGATTTTGATTATGGTCGTCATTGTTGATTTCTCAATTTAATTTTCAAAGAAAAATCATTCATTCAACATTCATGACATTTTGTTTACATTCAACAAAAACAGCACAGAGTGTTGAATTTTGTTTTGTTTTTGACGAATTTGAGATTCTGGTTCCAACCAATTTCAGTACAATAGGGTCGTTGTGTGTATTATTGGTCGGTTTTGTGTGAAAATAGAGTCCCGGAATGTAAACACACGGGGAATGGAATCGATCTTGATTCTATCAAAAATAATTACAAGGTTCATTCCACTTTACACTTTTACAAATGATTGTTGTTGCTGAAAAAACAACAACATTTTTGACATGTCCGAAAATAGCTTTGGAAAACAAGACAAAAAATTGATTCTGATTTTTTCTCAACAAACCAAGTCGCTTGGGTAAAAATAGAATTTTTGATTTTTGAAAGAAAAAAAATCGATTTATTTAAAACGGTGTCGTCAACAACATTAACATCGTGAATTCATCAAACAACAACAAACATAGACATTCACTAAATGATGGAATCAATTATGATCATGATGAAAAGCAACAGAACACGGGCACAACACACTCTCTCTCCCTCTCTCTTGATCATTATCATTAAAAAGTTGCAGTTATTTTCCATTGATACGAATAATGAATCTTCTCTTTTCTCGGTTCGATTCATTAAGAGCAAAAAATGTTTAAATTTTTTTTCAACAACCAACCATAATAAACACACTGCCATCATCAACATTAACGTCTTCGTCACCACCATTCAAAGTAAATGATGTTTTCAATATGTTCAGAAAAAATGAAAATAAATTTAAGTGAAGCGGTTTTTTCACTGTTTGTTTTGGTTTTGGTTTCTTTTGAATTTTTCATTTTGGTTTTGGGTTGATTATGTCCACAACTTGACGAAGAAAAATATTTTCCACAAAAAGTATGGTTAGGGACAGGTTTTTCGTTACCGAATCATTAGATCAAGATCATTGATGATGATGGTCGTGCAGGTGATGAATAATAATGAATCCATTCACCACCAAATGATAATGATTCATTTTTAGATTGCAAAAAGATACAACAATCATCATCATTAATGAAGGTGTTAATGATGATGATGGCCATTTTCATCATATGGCCATCATTTTCACCCTTTATTCATTCTAAATATGCAAATGATGATGATAAAGAGTGACAGAAATTAAGCATTTCAAGAAAAACATCGATTAAAAGAGATGGTTTTTTCAGAAAAAATAACCTGCAATTCATTATGATGATGATCTCTTTATGATAATCATCATATCTCGATCGGTGGTCGTTGTCGACAAATTCTTTTCAGCAAACAAAAACAACATTTATCGAATGTCGTCCATCACCATGGTGCATCATTAAACCATTAGCCAAACGATCATAGTGATCATCATAATTATCGGGTTATTGATGACAATAAAATATTTGATGATCGGCTGTGTGTGTGCAATAAATTCCATCAAAAATGAAATCAATATAATCAAATGTGTTGAGCACAAACAGGTGCTTGTTGTCAATCAATCGATGAAGGTCAATCAATAGTGAAAACAAATCACAAAAAGAATTTCATTTTTTAACCATTACTGATGATGACATAATATAAACGCCCTTTGCACTGGTATCATCAAAAAGTGTGATGAACGTCGATACATCGAATTGTTCAATTGGAAATTTTTTTTTTTGTTTCGCAAACACCGCAGGATCATTCTTCTAACAAAAAAAATTCCTTTTACTTTTTTTGGTTCAAAAATTTTTTTAAGATTCTTATTTTTTTCTGGCTAAGATGATGATTATAAAATCATTATAAATGAGGATGATTTTCTCAGGCATTCTAAAAGACAAAACAAACAAACAAAACTTTACAAAAACAAAGGTCCTTAGAAGGTCCCATGAAGTTTCAAAAATTTTTTTGCCTAGATTTTTCAATTTTTAGAAAAAAGTGTGGGGAGGGGGAGAGAAAAAAAGTTAAGCTCGTGACTGCCTCAAGCTCTCTTTCCATTGCATTTTGCAGACAAAACTTGGCTTCAACTTGGAAACGAAACAGAAAAAAAAACTTGGTCGTTTTTTTTCTGAACCACCACTATCACACAGCATTCAGCATTTACAAGTTTTTTCTCTCTTTCTCTGCATTGAAATCCCAATGGCAATGGTGGTGGTTTGATGTAAACATTCTCCAAACACACTGTTGCTTGCTTGATGATGATGTTTCGATTGAATCATGGTATGCGCACACCGTGCACAACTAATTCATTCAGTTGGAATCTGCCATTCTCATTGATCAGTTCGTTTGTTCGTCGTAATCGAAAAGAAAAAACTTGATAATTTGAAAACTTGAAATAATGATAATCGAAATGTTTGTTTGTCCATAATCATCATCATACTTGTTTGTTTTTTATTAATGGTGAATGATTGACAGTTAATCGTGGTCCATTTGCAGGTCAAGTATATTCAGTAAGTTCGGAATCATTCATGTTGTACGTTCATCGATAATGTTTTTGTTTGTCTGAATGTCGACATTGATTATCATCAACAGAATCAGAAATATTGTGGTAATTGAGAATATTTGCTTGCTTGCTACAAATAATCCTCATCAAAATTGAACTGGATTTTTGTTTTTTCCATTTGATTTGTGTATGTGTCACCAGTGATAATTTATAACCACCATCAACGATGATGATCATAAGTTTTATCGATTACAATTTGTAAATTATTAACCAAACTATCAATTAACGATTCAACCACGAATAAAACAGACCAATAATTCTCTGACCATCATCAACAAGATGTGATTTCACCTGTCACCTGGTCGATTCGGTCACCTTATTTATCTATCTGTGAACATTTTTGAAATATAAAAACCACATCCATCCAGCAAGCTATAATCATTATTATATAATCCATATAACAAAAAAAAATGTAAGTTGCATAATCATTTTCATCAAAGAATTTTTGACTTTGATTTTTTCAAATCGATAATTTGCACATTCGAAAATCCAAATGATTATTGTTTAAAGAGAAGGAACGAAAAAAATCGATTCACAAAAGACATGACATTTTTTTCTGTATGCAAAATCGATTCGATATGGCCAAACACCAGCTACTGGCCGCCAACCACCAGGCAAAAGATCAAGTCTTTTTCGGTTATTAAACAGACAGCCAGCAACAAGCTTGATTGATTATCCGGGCGCTAATTTTTTGGTCACCACCATCAAACAGTTGGGATTGTTTGACATTTAATAATGACCACAGGTGATGGTGATCAACAAGTGTGAACATTGATTTCCAACAACAAGTGTCACACTTGTTAAAATAGTTTTTTCGCACGATTCGTACCGAGCAACCATTGTTTTTTTGTGGTTAATTTATCACTTTATCACGAATTTGCTCTTTGATCATCAGCAATTGTCATGCGACATTTGTTGATAATAATGATGGTAATGGTAATGATGGTGTGAAAATTCTTAATTCAGAATTAATTTGATTCGATCATTGAACTTCAAGAGAGAAAGAAATTATCGATTATATCGATTCTTTTTATTTTTAGCTCTCTAAAATTCAATCGAAAAATCTGAATGAAAAAGTTTTTGTCGGTGAGAAACAAATTCAAAGCGAAACAAAAAACGGTCGACCACCAAGATTGATTTGATTTGGTTTGGTTGATTGCAATCGGAATTTTTTTTTTGCCAAAATCCATCCGGCGGCCACACACCACACACCAACATCGTTTGATCATGATTATCATGGGAAATATCATTCGTTCTCGGTGTTTTTTTTTTTTTTTTGGTGTTCAATATGAGCGCGTGCGTGATATTGTCGCCCGAACAAATGAATTTTTCGAAAAAAATTCTGATTTATCGAGTCTGAGAAACTCTGAAAAATTAATTTCAAAATCGAAGCACCCATTCACCATCATCATTGAATTGAATGATTTTACACAGAACTTTTAATCGATAATTTTTTTTCATTTTTTCTCACATCCCTTTTTCGTTATTTTTTTCAATTTTTATGGCCATTAAAAAAATCAAAAGAAAAATAGTTTATTAGCGAAAGAGAGAGAGAGAAAAGGGTAAGCATGACATGATGATCATCATGATCTAAACATCTTAATGTTTTTCTGTTGTAGTTTGTTTGTTTTGTTATGGTTTATTGTGGAAATAGTGGTGGTTATGTAATGATGCTATCAATTCATTGTATGATTACCATTTACATTTGATTGATTGGCCGGGCATCAGCCAGCCCAATCGATCGATCAATCAATCGTTTTGTTTGCTTTTTGATATAGGAAGTTGATTACTATAAATCGATTATTATCATCATCATCTCTATTGTGGTGATACACATACGGAATTCTTTTCTTTTGGTTTCTTTGTTGTCGTCGTGATCATCATCAGTATAGTGTGGGCGCTTTTAAGAAAAAAATTTTAAATTTTTTTTTCTACAAATTTTGCTACAAAACACCATCAATTTGTAACCAATTCTTATCTTTCAACCAACCAAACTAACCGATCGATCGATCACAATCAGATTTGCTTGATTGATTCGTTCATTTCGTGAACGAAGGGTCACTTATCATCATCATGATTGAATTGAGGGTTATTTTCTCGTGCAAATTTACTTTTATTTCTTTTTGTTTATCGAATGAAAAAACAAAAAACATCCATTCCGGTTATTATGATTCGAATTGGTTGCCCCGGTTATTATTATTATGTAATGGAATCGAGATCGGGTACCATCGTTGTTCGGTCAACAAAATCGGTTGATATAATCATCATCATCAAATAATAATGGCCAATTTAGTTTCGATTTTCCTTCCTCATCATCATCGTCAATTCTTTTGTTTTTTTCTAAATTTTATTTTTTACAAATTACGTTACCTGTATACGGAAATTTTTATCATCCTAAGGTTGACCCTTTTTCGGTTCAGTTCGACCAACCTGACCTCTTAACATAATGTTTTCAAATGAAAATTATTATTTTTTCATATTCAAAATTTTATGGCCATTTTTTCTGGTTACATTGGCTGATTGTTTGACAAGTTTTGACAAATTCCATTCGCTGATTTGGATGATGATTGTCAAATTGAATTTAAGAAATCATTTGAATTTGCATGTTTTTCATGTTTATAGTGGCTTAATTGATTGATTAATTGATTTGATTGGATGTACATCATCATGCATTATACAGTAGTCATTATGAAAAATGTCATTTGATTGACACATCAAATGATGATGATGTGTCAAATGTCATCACTATCATGTGAATGATATCATTGATTTGTGGATCCAAAAATGGACAATTTTATTTTTAAAAATGATAAGAAATTTGAATAAATTAAAAAAAAATTTTTAATTTTATCAAAACTTTTTTTTTTGTTCAAACAACAAGTAGCAGCCATTAACATTAACATTGATGATGATTCGATCAATCGAAATGATAACGGACAAGGAAAATCTCTAGTGTTGTGTGTTGGATGTGGATGAAATGAAATGATTTTCATTTAATTATTTCTTTTTACTTTGGCTTCGAAATGATGATTTTGGCCAAAACGATAATGTTATCTAAATGGTTTTCAACATTTTTCCATTCAAATTCAATCACATTGAAATGAACGGGCGGCCAAAAATCAAATGTAAATTCTCCAAGTTTGTCGTATCACAACGATGATAATGGCCAATCAATACACCAACAACATTTTGGCCAAAATTCTGTAAAATGACCACTTTGTCATTTCATTCAGTCAGTCAAATGTCTTTGACCTATGATGATAATAATGGTGATGATAAAATGGATGATGGTCATCATCATCATCAATGATATAGGTGTGAAATAGATTTTTGTTGTTTTTCTTCTTAGAAATCCAATAAAATCTTTCTTTTTTTTTGGTTTGGTTTGCGGAGGTTGACTGTTAGTTTTGATGAAAAACTACGAAATTTGTCACCCCATCTGAATTTTGTGACAAACCTGGAACTTTATTTGATTTTTGATGAAGAAAAAATTTTATTTCTCCCAAACAAATTTTTCATGTCAAACATCATCATCGTCCTATAAAGCACCGTAGTTTTTCAGTTTGATGTTTGTTTCTGCATAAAATATTCTCGTCATTTAGCAAACATTGATCGGTCGATTCAAACATGGTCGTCGTTGAGAGTCGAAACAAACAAAATATTTTCCTTTTTTTCTCACACACATAAACATCCGATGTTTGGGAAATGTTTTTGGGAAAAATAGAAAAATCTTTCCAGGTCACAAATTGATCCCGTTTTAATTTTTTTAATTAGCCAAAAAATCTAGATTTTCGAAACTGATCGACAGAAAAGAGAGGGATCTTTGCATCAAATCAAATCAAACAAACATCATTTTCCACAGACAGAGAACACACACGATTATCATCAAACTGAAAACTTGAAAATGGTCAGATCAAACCCTTAAATAGAGGAAATGTTGTCATCATCTTGTTGCAAGTGATTGACAGTATGACTGACATTCATATGAATTTGAATCCCAAAAGATTTTGATCAATCAATGGTTAACTATTTGATGGAATGACAGTGATGATGATGTTGATCAGTTACCTGCCACATTATGATAATTAATTCGCAAAAAAAGATTCGTGCTTTGCGATTACAATTTTAGTTACAATTTTAGTCAATACATAAGTTTATTTATTTATCCCCTTTCTGATCAATAATCAAGAAACAAATCACCCTGTATATTTTATTGTGTGGTGGGTGTTTGTTTTGACCAAAAAAAACATTTGGTTTTTGTCACCATTTCAAATGTGGCAAATTAATCAAATCAATCAATCATCACATCATTTGAATGTCTTTACCAAATGTGTGATTTTTTTTTGTTTTTGTTTCGTTTTTTCTAAAATAATTTCTCTCTCTAACTTTCCCTTTTTTATGTTATGGTAAAATATCCAGATTTCACAAAAAGATTCCCGAAATAAGTAATCAATAATGATGATTGGCCAGTGATTACAGTTATCAACATTATGAATGGCCCACATTTGGCTGAAATTAACCAATCGTTTATTCTTCGGATGTTTTCATCTCTTCTATACTCTTCTACAAAAATAATCGCCTACGCTAATCACCAGTAAATAATAACGATATAATCGATTATCTCCGTTACAACAACCACAACAACAAAAACCAAATATTTGAACAAATATCGATCATCAATCAATCAATCATCGATCGATCATAGTGTTATTGTCATCATTATTATTATTCCGTTTCCGTGTCTCTAATCATCATCATTACTTTGATCTAGTCTCGATCATTCGATTTCATTGATTGTGTGGTCATTCATAAACATCATAATCAACTAAATCAACAAATTATGGTCTCAATCAATTCAAATTGTACTACCACCATGATAATGCCTAGCAGCAGTGCTTTGTGGTCATCGAATCGAAAACGATTAAAACGCCCATTGATGCCAATAGATTCTTCAATCATGGCTACCATCATCATGGTGATAATGTTGATGACGGTAGAATTATCACAATGTCAACAATCATCATCAACAATAAAATTACAAAGATTTCTTATTGAACCGGAAAACGTAACCGTCGATATTGGTGAATCAATAATATTACCATGTCGTATTGCCAATAAAGTTGGTACTGTTCAATGTAAGTAATCGATACTATGAAGAGATGAAAGACACCATCATTAAAGATCATGATTAATGATAATGTCATAAGAATCGACGACAACAAATCATTCTTAAGTTGAGCTTTAAACTAAGGATTAAAATTATTTTGGTGATTACATTGCCTCAGTTGGTGATTTTTTAGCAACCGAAATACGATAAACACACAGCACACGACAGCGATTTGTAGAATTCAAATAAGAAAATAGCTATTTTAACCTTTGATTGAAAAACAACCTTTATTTGATTTATGGTGTAAATAGCCAACAAAAAAAAGATTTTTATTATTCTTAGACATAGATTTCGAAGATTAAGTTTGAATGGGCATCCAGGTTTGAGAAAATTTCTTTCTCTTTCTCAACACGAGGTCTCACGAATTGAATCAAGAAAAGTCACATTTTTTTGCATTAATTTATATTACCTGTAATTACTGATGATGATTATCATCATGCTGAGCTAGCAGTCCCACAGGTAAATAGCCACTGTTTCAACATTTGATGGAAGAACGAAAGCAAAACATTTTCTCCTTCAATGTTGATTTGGTTTTGGTTGAAAAATGAAAAATGAAATTTTGAAAAAAAATGTAAATTGCTTTTTGATTTCTTTTGGATTCATCCTTGAAAATTATCACCAACTTTATCTTAGCATTTTTTAGGCGGCTTTATTGATGCGAAAATAGAAATAAATTTGATATGTGTGATATGGCCACCACCATCAAGGTGTCACCTTAAGATATTTGGTGACATTTGTTTTTCTGCTCGGCTCGAAATATCCTCGAGCACTTTATTGGATAATAATTTTTTCTGTTCGGATTTGATTGAAAAACAAATTCCTCTTTTCACTTTTCATAAAAAATTAATGATTTTTTCAACTTTTTTTAGGGACGCGAGATGATTTCGGTTTGGGCGCTGATCCACGATTGGAAGGATTTCCTACCTATTCAATGATGCATAATGATGTTACTGGTAAGTTTTCAAACAAATTTTCAATTTCAATTTCGACCTGCCACATCAATGATGTAATCAATGAGCAACAGGTGCAAAACACACGTCAGGTGTGTAGTCAATTTTGCTTAATTAAATTTGATTTTTGTCAAAATCAAGAGTTTTTTTTATTTAATGATGATGATGATTGCAAAGGGAAGAAACATCTTAGAAAAATCCACTTTAATGATGTGATCTAGTTTTGTTTGAATGGTGGTGAAATGAAAACTAACTTCAACAAGTTGCGGATGTGATTGTAATAAAATGTCGATCGATCGATTGATTATCGATTGAATCGTGTTGATTGGATTAGTGGATTAAGGTAAATCAAGATTAATAAAGGTGGACAAGCAAAAACGAAATCGGCAAACTTTTTTTTGATCATTTAATTTTCAGCAAAAAAAAAATTCATTCGTTCATCTCTTTTTGACAATCGATATATCGAATGCTTAACATTCATTAATTAAATCCTATTCTTTTGTCAAAAAAAGTAATCCGATTTAATTGCTCAATGATGAGGAATTTAAATTGCAGCAGCTCCTTTTCTGCCTGGCCAGGTCAAGTCGAATTTCAAAGAAAAATTCAAGAAAACATTTTTGATTGTTATCTTATGTTTGTTTATGGTCTGATCTAATTTGTTTATTTGTGATAATTTCTTTGATTCACATCACATAGGTGATTATTCATTAAAGATATCATCAGTAACATTAGAAGATGATGCAAGATTTCAATGTCAAGTTGGTGCATCGGACAAACCAACTAATATACCGGGTATTCGTTCACAATATGCCCAGCTGACAGTACGTGTACGACCAGATAATCCTGTTATTGTTATGGATAATCATTTCAATCGACAAATACAAATACCATCACCATACCATCATCATCTTCAGCAACAACAACAAAATAATCTTCAGCATCGAGAAGATGTGCCAATATTATCAACAACAGTGGGAAACAAAATTGAATTAACATGTGAATCGAATGGTGGTCGTCCGGCTGCTGAGGTTTGTTTTTGTTTTGAAAACTTTCCAATTAAAAATCATTCAATCTTTGAACATCTTTTCAAAAACTGAGCCAAAACATTTATTGATTAGGACAGCAGCAGCAGGAGAAAAAAATGAAAAGTGATTAGCCACGATGATCAGATAAACAAAAAAGTTATTCAAATTTTCAATTAGAAAATTTTTCGAGAAAACAAAACTAGAAAATTGACGGCGAAAAACCAGATTGATCAGTAATGGAGAAAAACTAGACGATGTTTATGATGATCATGATGGTTGATGGTTGGTTGGTTGGTTGGTGGCCATCACCATGATGATCATCATTATTATCGTCCAACATTGGAATTTCTCGAAATTATCATTTTTAGTTTGGTTAGATTTGATAACAATCAAATCAAATTGATTGCTGGTGGTCAAACAAGGTGTATATAGGCATCTCTCTGCCTTTTGTTTTATTAGATCTATCGACCTGAGTGAGTGATTCACACACACAGTGAGGCTTGTTTAATTCAATTTAAAATTTAAATCAAAAAATGACCAAACTACCCTATGATCGATGTCTTGATCATTATCATCATTATCAATTGATTGATTGATCGATACCCTCTCTCTCATAAAAACACACGGTAGCTGCTATAAAAACTGATTGATTTTTTTTCTTCTACCGAAAACAAATTTCAATGCAAAAATCATGAAAGAGTTAGAGAAAACAATTGATCATTGGAAGAATCAATCAATGATCGTGCAGATGTGATAGTTGTAATTCCGACTTGCGTGTGTCTTTTGTGTTCGAATGATAATGATGATTTTTTCCTGTTGTCAATCCTGATAATGACCACAAATCACAAAAAATGTTGAAATGCAAAAATCTAATTCAAATTTTTCTTCTTTTTGGTCATCGTCCTTATCATTGGATATAGCTGGTATGGATTAATTCAAAAAATCGCCCTGTCAAAAAAGGCATCGAAACCAAAATAACACCAATGAATGATGGCAAACGATTTAATACAATGCTAAAATGGACATTCGAACCAACCAAAAATGATCATCAAAAACGTTTATTTTGTCGTTTGATACATCCAACTATTGCTGCAAATAATGACAATTCATCAATGGCATCCATCATGTTGGAAGTTAAATATGCACCTGAAGTTAAATTGGACATAACACGAATTGCGTCTGCTGCAGTTGATGGTAACGCATCACCGCCATCGCTACAGTCATTATCGGTTTTCGGCGCCACAAATCTACATGGACGTAGTGGTGATCGTATCCGTATTCGTTGTCAAGCGGATGGTAATCCAGGCGGTAGTGAAACATCAATGCAATATGAATGGTTACGTAATAATGAACCGATTATTGGTGACTATTCAAATGAATTAATTATCGATCAAGTGGATAAATCATTTAATGGTGCAGAAATTCAATGCAAAGTTACTAATTCAATTGGTTCGGGGAAATCATCCGTCAAATTAAATATTGCTTATGGTCCATCATTTCCCCAAGCAATGCAGTATGTTTATGGTTGCGATCCAGGTGATACAGTTCGATTATCGTGTCCAGCTGATGGGAATCCTTCGCCGGAAATTACCTGGATTAAAGTTGGTACAAGTTCAGTAATAAGCACGGGATCAAAATTAACATTACGTAATGTTCGGGAAGAAAATATTGGTGAATATTTATGTCGTGTTTCAGTGAAAGGATTTTCTGAAATTTCCGCTATAATTTATCTTCGATTTAATGGTAAGTTTGAGCACAACCCATTCTTTTTTTTGAATTTCAAACCAGGAACTGAATAGTTTAGTTTTTTGGTTAAAATTGTCAATTGGGAAAAAAAACAGTGTGAATGATGGTCATAATGATTATTATAATCATTAACCACGTAACACACCTGTATCCAAACGGTAGTATGACAACAATCAAAAATGATGCAAAAAACTATAATTATTATCTAGTAGCATCAAATGTCTATTCAGGAATTTTCATTTTTTTCGGCTAAACATCTCTTTCGCTCATTTAATCATTTGATAATATAATGTGCATTTTCGATTAGGAATTGAAAGAGAATAAAAGAAAAAGGAATATAAAAGAATCTCACGACCTTCGTGTTGTCGTTTCTCTTTTTTATGTTTAAAAAATTTGAATTTTAAATCAAAAAACATCATTCAGATGAATAGAAATAGGAATGACAATCAAATAAAAATCAAATGCAATGAATTTTCTGTTCAAGGATGCGCGATTCTCGTTTAGTTAGTTTAGGTTGGTTACCACCATACATACAATGTAACCAAAATAGGATGAAAACAGCTACTGTAGAAAAGTAACATTCAATTCAGTCGTCGATTTTTGATGGCCATCAGAAAAATAGCCAAAATGTTAAGATGCTTTCACTTTACTCAAAATGATGATGTTTCTTTTGGTTTAGTTATGTGATGATAATGATTTCGTGCAGCCAACACCAAGGGTGTAAATTATTGGCTTGTTGCTTGCGAATGACGGATGATGCCTTTTTTGTTCTTTCAGCACGACCCTTTTTCTTGGATGAATTTTTCCATATGGTAACATTGTAGTTATTAGCCGAACCAAACTGCCCAAAGAAACACCCAACTCTAGATTTAAAATTAAAGCCAAAAGTGTCATTATGGTAAACGAAATCGAAGAAAGTCTTGCACGATTTTTTTCGATTCACGTTCCGATCATTAAGATTCGATTATCGTATCTTGAGAGTGAAAATAGCCACTGAACTTACTACCCGCTATTTTCATATTGTTAGTTAGTTTGGCTATTTTCACAATAATCGTTTTGCTTTCGAATAAAAATCAAAATCGCCTATATAATAAGCTACCGAAATACAACGAAACCATAATCAAAATCGATGGAAAGCTGCAGCAGAAAAAAACGTTAATTATTACGCGCGCGAAGGCAACATAGGTTCGTGATCAATTCACAGACAGAGACACAGGTAGCATCATTGCCAACGGGCAGATCAAGTTTTTCTCGTGTGTATTTTGCTTCTGAGAAAAGAAAAAACATCAAGTGAATCAATCAAAATCAATGCTAATTGCTTTGTTTTTGTTGTTGTTGTTTCGGGGTATCATCATCATGATAGTGATTGAGTTGAGATGATGATGATAATTATCATGGATAGTGATAGTGATTCACCTTAATAATAATATCCATATATCCAAATTGAAATCTCATTACAAAGATATCATCATCATCTAAAGATGATTATTATCGTTCGATCGAAATCTAATCGTTTTTTCTCTTTCATTGATCAATCATAGGTCCACCAAAGATCCGTAAAGCATCGTCATTATCATCGAAAACATTGCCATCATCCTATCATAGTCTACTATATCCATTCAATGATAATAATGTTGGTCACAATCGACAACAACAACACCAATCATCGTTGCCGTTGTTGCAGAATAATCGTTTCTATGCTGTATTAGGTGAACCTGGACATTTAGAATGTTTGATTGAATCGATACCTGAACCATTGGCCGTTACATGGATACATAATGGACAGATTTTTGTTGCAAAATCACCCGGTAATATTCCTACGAATATTGATATCCGTGAAGAAATCATACAGGAACAACCTGTTTATCGTCGATTATCATTTGATATTCGACAAACTTTTGAGGTAAAGAAAAGATTATCATCCATTTTAGATTTTCTCATGAAAATTTTCCCACATGAACAACATTCATTGATTTCCTTGCTCAAATTGTTTTTCCAATCTAAATTAGAATGATTTTGGCTATTATAATTGCGTTGTTGTCAATAGTTATGGTTCAGATTGGTATCTGGTTTCATTGGAAGCAAAAAGTAAGCGAAACCATCATTTCCCTTAATTTCCCTTATGATTTTTTTTTCTTTCCCTTATTCTTGGATTTGTAGCAAGTTTCTCCACCTATGTTATTGTTGTTGCTATTGCTATAGCCATATTGATGTTTGTGGTATTGATAACAATATTGTTGTTGTTATCGATTAAACATCGAAATCTTATGAAACAACAACAACAACACCAAAAGCAACCACAACATAATCAATCGGAAACTGAATCGATGAATGACGTAGGAAAAGATGTAAGCAAAGAACATTATATGGTTAATTTGGATTCGGAAAATCCACATCATCATAATATTTATTCAACAAATTCAACAACAACAGCCCGAACAAATTCGTCTTCCGGTAAGTAAACAGTGTGCGGTATTTAAATTTGATGGTCCTTTCATAAATATCATTAGCCAATTATTTCCCAGATAAAAATGGAACAATCAATGAAACTGGTACAGTGATAACTCGATCTGGATCGACAATAACCGAAGGATCATCAAAACGTTCATCAACATCATCAACATTTCCGTTTCATTTAGATTCACAAAATCCGCATCATCATGATGCTAGCAGTTTATCGCCTGGACCGAATGGCATTATAAGTCGAACGATTAATAGTTTGCATCAGCGGCGATATTCTCCGCATCAACAAACAATGTTTAGTTCGAATGATGTTTCTCATCTTCCACATTATCATCATCATTTTCAACAGCATCGGCCAACATCGCCGCCACCATCCTTTTTTGCCAACTCAATGTTCGATAACACAGCAGCATCATCCGTAAGTTTTGTTTGTTTTTCTTAATTGACTTTGATCAAATGGAAAGTGAATCATTTTTTGACAAATCAAAAGTGACAGTATCAATTTGTCTTCATCAGTTAATGGTCATCATCATCAAGGGCCACACAACAAGAATATTTTCCATTTTCCCAATGCATGATATGATATGATCAATCAATGAGCAAAAATGTGACATTTCAATTTCTTGTGACATTTCGAATCTCATCATTTAGCCATTTTCGGCTACGTTTTTTCATCATCATTATTGACATTAGAGACAGGCTAGAGATTAGTCGATAATAGATAACGATAGTCCATTCATTCATTCAATGGTGAACATGAATTAATTTGTCTGCAAGGTAAAAATCTGCAATCAATAAAAGTGTAGCGATCAAATAAAAAAATAAAAAACGTCAACCGAGCAGGCAAAATGATAATGAATATTTTCTCATTCGTTTTTTGTTTTTAGTAGACCTGAATGTCCATTAGTCACTGTGATGTTTGTGTGTGACCATCACATTCCAGGCAAACGTTATTGATTGTGATGGAGATAAATCACACGACCACCATAATGATGATAATGATGATTGATCAATTAGTATCTTGCGTCTATGTTGTTGTTTGTGATGATTAGATCGATATATATCGAAAGACATTGCATAATCTGTGTGTCTTTGTGAAAATGATCTCAATTCAAATAAAAGTTTAAAAGAAACCGATCCATTAATACGATCAGTTCAGATAGGTCGCACACACAAAGTTCGAACATTCCATTTGAAATTGAAACAATCAAAAATGATCGTTTAATGATGCGAAATGATTGTTTTTGTTTTTGCAGTTGTCCAATAATGATAATTACACGAATGAATAGTTAATGTCTTGCTTGTCAACAATCTCATTACACCTGATGTACCTGATGTACCTGATGTGCGGATAACTATGTTACATTGACTCTAACCTGTTACATGTATCATGTATTTGTCGAAATAGCCAACAAAAAGTTAATAACTTTCAATAATTAATCACAATATATGTGGATATCATTTCCCTTTATTCGTAATTGTATCAATTCTTTAAAGTTGATCAAATATTTTTAATCTGGAAAATTGAATTGGTTTTTTCTCATCGACCATAATACAATACAATGATGATGATGGATGAAAAATGGACTACTGTCGGTCCAGTGACAGAACAGAACAAAACAAATGATGATGGTGGGAAAGATTGATGCCAATTTTAGGCCAGAAACGATGAAAACAAACAAACAAACATCTTATCGACAAGGATCATTCTTCAAATTTCGATAAAAATGATATAATTGTTGAATGTTATTAATGCTAAAATGGTAACCAACAATCATCATCAATCCAACCACCATACAAGATTAGCGAAAGATTAGGTTATCCTCATATAGCAAACATAGAAAGATGATTAACTCGTTTGTTGAATGTCGATATTGTGTTGATGTTGCTGTTTTGCTACATTTTTTTTGTTTGCCCAAATCGAAACAACTTCTGAATGGCCAAAAAACTAATAATAACTTTGGCTTACAAGAAGATAGGATTGACCAATTTTTTCTTCCATGTTTTCTATTTCCACCACAACGTTGTTATATGTTTGATTTGATTGATAAATTGCAAGGAAAATTAATGACTCAATTATGTTTTTTGGTTTGGTTTCGTATACAAACCAAACATTTTACCTTTTCACTTGGTAATGTTTATTTATTTTATTACATAACGTTTATGTAATGTAATTCATCATCAAACTAAACGATCTTTAGAGTGAGCGTTTAGTTTAGTTATTTCGAATGGAAATCAATAAATCAACATTTTATTGATTTACATTATGAATTATAATGTTGTTTGATTTGATTGATTGAATGATTTGTTTGTTTATTTTTCTATTAATATTTATATAGAATAACGATGCAGCCGAATCGGATGATCATCAGCAAATTGTTTCGATGCCACCACCATTATTATCATCGACATCAAATTATTCAACATTAACCCGTCATTTACAATCCATGCCATCCAATCGTAATTCATATTCACCATATCTAGCACAACAACAACAATTCTGTCAACAACAACGATTTGATAATCACAACGCCGTACCATCATCCACATCCGCAGATATGTATCCACCATATTCTCAATCGCCAATTACCGTTACAGCGGCAACTAATCGATTACGATCAACACCGATGCCAACACCAACGCCATCTTTGGCCAAAGAATTGGATAATTGCATTTCAAAAACAAGCATTGCCACACATGTTTGATTTACATGTTACATTTTTAGTCGATCTTATCATTATTTTGGATTTTTTTGTTCCGTTTTCGTTTTTTATGTTTCAAAAAATGTAAATAGTTTTTTTTCTTTTTTCCTTAACACATTGTATTCATCATCCATTTTTTTGAATCTAACCACTAATCGATGTACAAGTCAATTTTTTGATGTATAAAATTTTCATTACAAACCTAAAAACAATCGAAAGTAGCTTTTCATTTTTGCTCTAATTTCATTCAATTTTTTTCTCGATATCGGGAATCTGAGATTATTTTTCCAGTTTCGTTCGTTTGGATTCGATGACATTGAAGAAATTCGATGATGATGATGATTAGAATGATATGTGAGAAGTAAGTGTAAAAGTGAAAATGATTTTTGATTTGCATCGTCATCATCCTATTTGGAAACAAAAAACGTTTTTTCTTTGTTCTTCATTTTCGGTTTGTTTTTTGATTTAAGAAAATTGTCTTCACCATCATCGTCATCTCGTTGTTTTTGATTAAGTCATCATTTTGTTGATTGATTAAATTAACAGGAAAAAACTAGTTGATTTTTGTTGTTGCAAATGTCTCGAATTGAGAAGAAATTTTTGCCTAAATTTTTCATTTCTTACAAATCAACATCGAACGATGATGATGATGATCAGATTGTATTGTTTGATAATCGATCATTCGTTCGATTGGAAGAATCGTCAACAATTGCAGAACAACAACAACGAGAAAAACGAGTACAAAAATCTAGATTAAATAAACTTTTGTTACAATTTAAATTGTTTCATAATAATCAAAATCATACCATTTATAGCAATCAAAATCATTGTAATCAACAAAACAATAAGGAAAGTGTTGTTGTTGATAATGGTGACAATCCATTAACGATTGATAAAAACAATGACAATGATGATAATCAAATAATTGATAATCATTCTCGGGAACCGCCACCATCACCATCAAAATCATCATCAACAAAATTATCATCAACAACGACAACCAAAACTTTGATGATGATGGCAAATACTCATAAATCAATGATACCCGATGGTAATATCGATAGTATCGAAAAATATTCAACGTTTAATCGAATCAATAGAAAATTATCGAATCAAGATGATAAGAAAATGTTTCATGAAATGAAAATCATATCGAATGGTTCATTATCATCAACAGCGATCAATGGCAATGATCATCATCATCAAAACAAGAATTTTATCAATTATATAGTTAAACATTCGAATGAAACACTATCGAGTATTGCTGCTCAATTTCAAACAACACCTACACAGATAAAGGTATCATAATCGTTTTTTATTTCCGGAAAAATTTCTTTTCAAAAAAAATTTTTCCCTTTTAGACTTTAAATCGTCTTCATTCGAACCATGTGTTTGTTGGGCAAAATCTTCTGATCACCCGGTCAAATGGAAAATAATTTATTTCAAAAAAAAACCCAAAAAATTTATTTACAAAAATTCATTTAAATAAATAATAATAATTTCTATTTTAAAATCTAAAAAAACTGCCTAAATTGATTGACCATAATGAATTTTTCGTTGAATCAATGAATGAAAATCCAATGAATGTTTATCAAAATAAGATTCCGGTGCTTCAAATATCAACACTATTGTTGAACCAAGATTGAATTCACCAAAAAGTTGTCCTTTTTGTTGTCGAATTGATTTTTGAAATAATTTTTCATTACAATCAATGGTTGTTGTTGTTTCCATTCGAAAACGATTTGTTCGTAATTCCTATTCACCATAGGTAAACCAAATGATTAATGAGATCAGGCAAACAAATTGATTAAGTTAAACTCACCGGATCTGGAATAACATTTATCGAACCAACATTTGTAGCACCGACGGCAGCCATTGTGAACATTCCATGCTTCCAACGGCCAAAATAAACGGCACGTTCATTAATTGAAAATAAATTGGAAATTTGGGCAACAAATGATGGTCGAACACTAAGAAGATTACCCGAAAAATGTCGTCGTCGTTCGATAATCCAATCTGCGGGTGAATGAAAACGATGATAATCCCCTGGCGCCAAATATATTGCTAAAGCAAATAAACGTTTGCCGCTACTTGTTGCGGATTGACGCAATGACCAATCCCGATTGAAATCGGGATAATAATTCGAATTTGGACCAAGAAATGATTCAATTGAATAACGAATTCCTTTAACATTGCCAATATAACCACCATTGGTCGGTACCATTGCGAATTGTACAACAGTGCCATCAGCTGGGCTGACCTGTTTAGATTTATGGGTTAGTTTATCCTCACATTCGTTCATCAACTCAATAACTTACCAAATCAGCTTGATACGAAATTGGACGCATTTCAGGAAGTAATGAACGACGAAAAAATTGACTTAAATTTTCAAATTCTGTAAGATTTTTATTCTCGATTTCCAAAAGATTACAGCCAAAAATTCGCGCGTAAAGTAAAAAAATTGGTCGGCGCATAAACTCGGGTAATGGAATCTGATTCAACCACCCCCATAATCGTGATAATGAACGCCATGGTAATACGAACCATATGAGTGACATTCGAATTGGATATCGATTATTACCACCATCACTATCGACATTTCGATTCGAACACAATCCACTTGAATTTGTTGACAATAATCGACGATTCGAATCCGTTCTGATAACACCAATATGAATACCGAATAATTTTTCAAAAATTAATAATATTATTACCGTTGTGATTAATAATGCACAACATAAACGATAATTATTCAATTCGACAATGTTAGCTGTGTTAAGAGAGTGTGAGAGAAAAAGAAGATCAATAATCAATCAATGGATCAATTTCATTTTACTTACGATCAGATGATGGTTGTCTAACAAAAGAATCGATTGATGATGAACGTTGTTGTTGGTTTTGTGATGACCATCGATATGTATAGAATATGATTAATAATGAAACTGTTGAAAATTTTAATACATTTTCCGTTTTACGTTTAGTTGATGTTGGTGTCATTATTCTTGTGGTTGATGACGATAATGTTTGATGATGGCGATGATGAAAATCGAGCAAATGATCATGTTCTATTTCATCATAATCATTATCATCATTATTGGGCAGTGTCATTTGTAATTTTTCAATAGCCATTTCCATTTTGTTTTAGTTTTTGCTAAAATTTAATTTTTTAAAGTAAGTCAAAATAAATCAGGTGATGTAATAATAGTAGGCGTTTTTTTGCTGCTAAATCAAACTAAAATCAATGAAAAGAATACTGGAGATTGAAAAAGTTGGCAGTCAGGAAAAATTGCAGCTTTTCCGCTTTACACACGCACAGACAGTCTCGTTCTTTATTTGATTGATTGATTGATGCAACAAGTGTTGGTCGTTTCATTCAAGAAAATTTTTTTTGTCGAAATTAAATTAAAAACCAAACACTAAATGTTTTTCACATTGAGTTTATATAGGAAAAGAAAATTGAAAAATCCAAATCTTAAACGTCAATCGACAATTTCCAAAGCCATATCATCATTGAAAATAATGATGATCGATTGATTGGATTTGATGATATAATAATATCTACAGGATGTTGATAGCAGCAGTAGTAATATAGTGATATCTGAATGAACCTCTACACACGAACAAAGCAATTATATACATGCGACCATAGAAATCATCGATTATCATCCTAAATGATAATCGATAACTGACGATTGATTGAATTTGTCATTCAAAAAAATTTATTATTATTTCTCATCATATTTCCAATGTTAACATCCAAATTTTTCCTCCCTTCGTCATATTGTCTATTTACCCTCTCTATATTCACATTGAAAATAATATCTCTAAAAATTTTGCTAATTTATGCAAATTATGCGAATTAAGCTATTGGATTGAAGCTTTTTTCCATTATCAAAATTTCAAGAAAAAAAGCTGCTTACGCGAAATTAAATTCAAAAAAAAAGCAAAATTCAATTTCAAGTTTTCCAATTTTAATTTATTGATTTATAAATATAAATAGATTAATCTAACTAATAATAATAATAATAATTTTCCGTGAACTTTGTTCACATCAAACAACAACAAGATATTTTTTAAAAACAAAAATTTCTGAATGGAAAATTTTCGTTTTTTTTCATTGATCGAAAAACGAAATGAAACTTGATTTTAGATGACAAAACGCGTGCCTTCTTCTTCAGACGGAATTATTGATGATCATGAATGATGAAATCATTCGGGAAAACAAGAAAAAAAACCCGAATGAAAAAAAATAACTTGATTGATAACGCTTGCTGTTTTTTTCAAAAAAATCTAGACTTTGATTTTGTTGCCGCTGACGACGACGACGACGACGATGGATTTTCAATCAATAATTTCAATTTTGATTCAATTTTTTTCCTATTGATTTTTTTATCATCTTTATTTTCATCATCACCATTATTGACACCTTCTTGCGTTGCGGTTGTTGGACTTTGATCGGATTTATTTTGTTCAACTTTACCCAATTTATAATCATCATCATCATCATCCGAAACAACAATATGAATCTTTGAACCTGGTCGTAATAAGCCATTTTCATGTGCATTTGCTAATTTATTTACAACACGACGTTCAATTTCATATTTGATTGATCTTGCACCATAATAACGATCATATCCATTAGATAAAACACCAATAACATTACTATCCCATGTTAAATGTATTTTATGTCGTTCTTCCGCTCGTTTTTTCCATAATTCCAATTCCATCAGCACTAATTTATGTAATTCGGAACGTGAAAATGGAAGGAAATACACCTGGATGTGAAACATACAAGCAAAACAAAGCAATTCATTAAGGCAACAATTCAGATTTAAACCTGAATTCCATTTGACCTACCATTTCATTGATACGACCTAAAAATTCATCACGACGAAAATGTCGTTTAAGTATGGGACGGATAACATGATCTTTAAAATAACGACTAACTTCAACTTTATCCAAATTTTTCATTTCCGTTTCATTGATAATTTTCCCGGATGATTGTGCCTTCATCAGTTCTTCCGTCTCACGACGTAATTGATAACCATATTCAGCAATTTCATCACTTGCCAAATTCGATGTCATTATGAAAATAGCCTGACGACAATCGATTGTATTTCCTTTACCATCGGTTAATCGTCCTTCATCGAATAACTGTAACATTATTGTTAAAACATCAGGATGTGCTTTTTCAACTTCATCAAACAAAACAACTGCATTTGGACATTCCGTTAATGCTTTTGTTAATTGTCCACCTTCATCATAACCAATATAACCAGGCGGTGATCCAATAAATTTCGATACTTCATGTTTTTCTTGATATTCACTCATATCGATACGTATAAATCCTTTCGACGATTGAGATTTCTTTTGATCACTACCACCATGTAAATATCGAGCAATTTGTTTGGCCAGTTCAGTTTTTCCCAAACCTGATGAACCAAGAAATAAAAAAACTAATGGATGTTCTGCATCAACCCAACCATTTTCTTTACGTCGGATTGTGGCAGCAACAGTTGCAATAGCACCTTCTTGTCCAACTAAAACTTCTTTTAATCGTTGTTCCAATGGAAATTTTCTTCGTTCTTCAATTCGAAGTTTTTCAATATAATCACTATATTCATTCATATATTGTTGCATTATCGATATGAATGATTCTATTTGTGGATCTTGATCATCCAAATAATCAATTGGTTTATGTCCGAATTCATTTTCTAAATTTGGATTGGCTTTATAACGCATCAGGATTTTAACCGTTTCGATCGAACTTGCAAGACAAGCATAATGTAAAGCAGTTGTACCTAAAAATGATACATTTTGAGCTAAAATATCACTAAATTCTTGTTCACGCATCCTTAGTACATCATAATATCGAAGACGATGTTCATGGGCAATTTGCCCAGCATTTGAAAATTCATCAATCGAATCCGGATCGGCACCAGCTTTCAATAGCTGTTCAACAATCTGTGATCGGCCAAGTATAGCAGCTAAATGTAATGGTGTCCAGCCAAATGTATGGCGTGTATTTACATACAAATCAGGATTTTCTTTTAATAATTTATCAATTTTTTTGCCATCATTTTGTCGAATTGCATCGAATAATGCCAATTCTTCTTGACTATTTGGTCGTAAACGTTTTTGCTGTTGATGATGATCCTTATCATTGCGATTCGAACGACATTCAGCTTGACGAATTTGTTGTTTCCATTCATGCAATCCATATAAAGTGACAGCTGTAACGATAAAACCAGATGCCAATACGATTCGATTGATTTGTTGTTGTTGTTGTGAAGAAGTGAATGATGATAATGATTTTGGTAAAATTAATTGTTGCCGGTATGATGATTTAATGAAATTTTTCAACCAAAGTTGATGACGTAATAATTGAAAATAATGTCGCATTTTATTTTTTATAATAAAGTTTATAGATAAAGACAATAATAACAACAAACTAAAATTAGATAAATATCACATGGTCAATATTATCATTTTTTTTAAATCAAAAAATTTCGAACATAAATCGCATGTGTTAAAAAAAAATTTCTAAAGGCACCTAAAATGAGCATGTTGAGTTGAAATAATTTCATCGAGCGACATCTATCGATTCGGTTTTTTTTCGAATCACCAACATTCGAATTGAATTCTTTTTTGTGATTCAAATTTTGTGATTAAATTTTCAAAATAATCATCATCATTAACATGATTTTGTTCGGTCAATTTTTCTCGAAATATATTTGTCAACGTTTCACGTACTAATTCAGGATATTGCTTTGATTTACCAGCAATTAATATGACACCATTTTGCTCCATAAATAATCGATAAACTAAATCTCGTTGTTCCCAAACAATATGTTGTACATAGATTTTTTTATCAGGATTTTCACGTGAAAATGCAGCGAAAACTTCCAATAATTTTCTTTCGGTCATTGGCTGCCATTCATCACGCAAATAATAATCTTTATCCGAAAAACGACAGCCAAAAAAGAGATAATTTCCACCGATATTTTTTTTGACACGATCATGAATAAATGCCCGAAAAGGAGCAACACCTGTACCGGCTGCAATCATTATCAATGGTTGATCATTTTGATCAGGTAATTTAAATGTACTTTTTCGAAGAAAAATATCCAATGTAGATATCTGGTTTGGTTCCTGTTTAGCCATCCATGTTGTACATTGGCCTAATCTTGGCTTTTTTAATCTTGTGCGATATTCAACAACAGCATAAAGAATTTCCAATGAATTTGGTTTCAAAATAGGTGAACTTGCAATTGAATATGAACGCCATGCCATTGCCGGTATTAAATCGAATAAATATTTTAAGGGTACAAATGGCGTTGTATTGGGAAAATCAGCCATCACTTCTAAAATCGTACGTTTTGGACGATTAACATAATCATATAGTTCATCTAGATCGGTACCCGATGCAAAACGTTTCAATTTTTCACGTTCCAATTGATCACCACTAAATCGATAAAACAGATCAAAAAATGACCGCTTCGGTATTGAATTTATATCCATATAACGTTGAATTATTTCCCGAATAGAACATGGATTTCGACGGCGAAGTAAATGATGATAATATGATGATTGTGGTATCCAATATTGTTTTGGATTTAATTTTAATCGAATCATACGATCAGATTCTAATCGTTGGCGACCATTATCATTATCTTCCGAATTGAATAAATTCAAAAATATATCAACTTGTTCGGGTAGATTTTTTGGATAAACAACACAAACATCGGTGAGATGATAATCAATAGTTGAATCTAATTCTAATTCAATAAGACGGACATCTTGAAAATGATCTTGTGCAGTGATACGTTTATTATTGATTACACGAGCTTCAAATGGATTTAATTGATCATATTTATCCGGTGATGATTTCATCAAATTTGAGTCATTCAATCGATGATAATCTTCATCACCTTCAACACCTACGTCCAGTAATTCTACTACATCAATACTTGGTTCAATTAATCCTTCATCATCCAATAATTTTGATATGTTTACTTCAGGTATAATCAATTGATAAAATTGTTGTAACCATGGATCAATTGTATAGAATGGACCAAATTCATGTTGTTCATCACCAAGAACTAGATCGAGAAGATTTTTCGCGCCCAATAATTTAAATCGTTTGAATAATTTTTTTGCAACAAAATTATAACGAGCATATGATGAATCACCTAAACCAATCACAGCAAATTGAAGATGTTCAAGTGAATTAGATGGTAGATCTTTACGCATTAAAAAACGCCAAAACATTTTCATATTTAATGGTGCATCACCAAGACCACTCGTTGAACAGATTATTAATATGAATTGTTCATCAGCTAAATTTTGAATCGGATAATCATCACATGACATAACCTGAATCATTATCGGTGAATTATAATCCGGGCCATTGCTCTGTAATCGGGATAATTGCCAGGCAATAATTTTGGATAAATCTTGTGAATTACCGGTTTCTGTACCATAAAGAATGACTAATTTTTCGAACAATGGCATCGTTTTTTTCGGAGAAATTACTATTTAGAAAAGATTTTTGTTGTTCATCAACACATCGAAGAAATAATGAAAATGAACATCTAAAAATAGAAGATATTCGAAATGATTATCAACAAAAAAAAAGTCAATGCATTTTCAAGCCGATAACAAATATTGATTATCAAAACGTTATTTTTTACACAAAACGGGCATGTGTAAAAAGCATGATAAAATTTTTTGATTGAATTGATTGTTTATGTGTGGCGCTGCTGCATTTGAAACAGCAGCTCATGCCGTTGTCATCATTATAAACTGAAAACAGAAATTTTTTTCGTTAATTTCAAAATCAAATTATTTGATTGATAATGGCGGCGATTGGTGATGATGATGATAATGATTTTGCCTATCAATTAGAACAAGAAGAATTAGAACGAAAAAAACAACAACAATCTTGTGGTAATGAATCAAATTCCAATATTTTTCGTGATCCATCTGATGGTATGGAATATGAATGGGATCCGGCAAAAAAAGCATGGTTTCCTCGAATAAATGATGATTTTATTGCAAAATATCAAGCATCATATGGCCAATTTGAAGATGATCAACAAACAAAAGAATCTCAATCGATTAAAGATAATGATGCAGAACAAAAGTCGACAAATGCTGAAGACCAGAAACCTATGCAATCTGATGATAATCAATTGAAATCATCATCCCAACAACAACAAACAACATCCGAATTATCAACGAAAAAACGGCCACGAGATGAACCACCTGAGCCACCAAAATGGTTCGAAATTGATGATGAGCATAATACAAATGTATATGTTTCAAATCTACCATTAGATATTACTATGGATGAATTTACTGGATTGATGAAAAAATGTGGTCTTATCATGAAAGATGATAGGTTTGTTGTTTGTTTCAAAATATTTGTTGTTTTTTCTAAAAAATTATTTTTTCTTATCGATTATAGGGGTCAATTGAAAATAAAATTATATACCGATTCGAATGGAAAACCAAAAGGTGATGGCCGTTGTTGTTATATAAAAGTCGAATCAGTTGATTTAGCATTAAAAATATTGGATGGTTATCATTTACGTGATACTGATCAGCAACCGATTAAAGTTGAACGAGCAAAATTCTCATTAAAAGGTGAATATAATCCACTGTTGAAACCGAAAAAGAAAAAATTGAATAAAAAAGATCGTGAAAAACAACGAAAACGAATGGAAAAATTGTTTGATTGGCGACCGGATAAACTACCTGGTGAACGACCAAAATCAGAAAAAACAGTCATTATTAAAAATATGTTCGATGTGAAAACATTTGAAAATGATCCGCGTTTAATATTGGAATATAAAACTGATATTCGTGAAGAATGTGAAGAAAAATGTGGTCCAGTTCGAAAAGTTGATATTTATGATCGCAATCCTGAAGGAGTAGCAACAGTTACATTCAATGAATTCGATGATGCTGATAAATGTGTTGAATTGATGAATGGAAGATTTTTCGCCGGTCGTAAATTAGATGCCAAACATTGGGATGGTAAAACTCGTTATAAAATTGAAGAAACTGATGAAGAAATTCAAAAACGAATTCGTCAATGGGATGAATTTTTGGAACAGCCTGATGATGAACCAAAACAACAAAAAGAATCGATTCAAGAATCTCAATCATAACTTTTTTTTGAAAAAAAATCATTTGTATATTTCATTTATCAAAAATCAATAACATTTGTAAAATCAACATAACAAAAAAAAGAATAAAATCATAAAAGAAGCTCGATAATAATATAAGGTCAACAATTGAGTTGGATTGTCTAAAGATCAAACTTTAATGAAAATATCATTTATAGCCAACCAATAGGAAATCCATATCCAAATTGTAACAGCCAATAGATTTTCGGATAAATAACCCCAATGTGATGAATATGACTTGAATAATTTAAATGGAAACATATTGCTCGCAATTTCATGTCCAAGATATAATGCTATTGAATTTTGTCCCGGATAATTGAATGGTTGTCCCATTGGCCATATACGTTTTAAATCGATTAAATAATGTAATAAAGCAAATATCATTGTAGCTAAACAACCATTCACTGTTACAAAACTAATTGACCATAAATTTTTATTGATAGGTATTTTGAATCCATATACGGTTACTATTGTTGTTATAGCTAATATTTGCAGAGAAAAACAGCATTTAAAAAATATATTTAACTATCATCAAACTTACTAAGCAAAACAATCATATTGATAAAACGACGAAAACGTGCCCATGGTTGAACATTATGTAATACAGTATGACCAACTTGTAAACCAATAATAGTCAATACTATTGAATTAGTTGAACCTAATAAGCCTTCTGGATCATGCCATAAATTGGGAAAATAACCTTGATTATAAATAGGACCAGCAAAATTATCACGATAACAATGATTAGCAGTGAATAATAATTGATCCAGACGATGTGCAGCACCACCAATACAATATGGATATGATTGATTATCCGATAATCCACCAGGACCAACATAACCTATCGGACAATTTGGATCAAATCTCCAACCAAATGATAAATAACTATATATGATTATCATAACCAATGCTAAAGCATATTGTGGCCATAATTTTATACAATTTAAACATCTTGGCATTATTGTACTGCTGATCAAATTAACAGTAAACAATTGTACGATGGCAACAATTCCATAGGATAATGCAAATCGTTGTAATACTCCTGGTATTCGTATTGTTCCAATATCGGCTATTTTTGATGAAAAAATTGAAAATTTTAATTCTAGAAATTCAATATGAAAATTAAATTACAATAATTACCGGCACCAATCGAATTGACAATGATTCCTAACAGGAATAATTTAATGGAACGTTTTGCAATACGTTCCATTATTTTATAACGATTATCATTGATTTTTTGAATATTTTTAAAACTAACAGCAATTGACATTCCCATAGCAAATATAAAAAATGGAAATACAATATCGGCTAAATGTAGACCATCCCATGCAACATGTTCAAGTGATTTATATTGTCCAGCACCATAATTCACAAATATCATTAACGTTATTGCGATACTTTGATGAATTTTTTTTGGAAAATTAGATTTTCAAAAACAGAAAAGAATGTCTTACCCTCTAAATGTATCGATTGAATGAAAACGATTTGAATGTCGTATCGATGTGTTTGGTAATGATGGTGATGATAATTCTGATTGTATTGATGGAAATGTTGGTGAATCTGTTTGATGACGTGCCAACGATGAAGATGGTGAGGAATGATGACCACGATTAGTGAAATAGTTTCTGCATAATTTCATGAATGATCGATGACCAAATATTAAACCAATCATAATGATTAGATAAATTATTATAACAATCGATACAGCTAGCCATTGATTTTCACCTGATTCTAACATTTCAAGATGACAATTTTGTTGGCCATTAATTCTAATTTAATAAATCAATCATGATTAATGGCAATTAATTTGAAAATGCATCTTACATCAATTGATAATGGGATTTATCACGAGCATCTATCGTTTGTAACGATTGACAATCCAATGGATCCGTTGAACAAACATTACAAGAATCATTTTGTTGTTTTGCAGGCAGCCAAAATGTATCATTTGTATCACGTCCAATAGCATATAGTTGATCAAAATAGCTACGTAATTGGATGGTAATTTGTTTACCCGAATGTATGGTTGCTTTCAATATCAAAGGACACTAGGATTCAATTTGGATTTGATCATGATGATTATACGAATTATTTCATTTAATAATCATTATAATTAACAATTACCTTGTAACAATTTGAAAATTGCCGATAAAAATATAATGTTTCATTTGATTGATTGATCAGATCGATATCGAAAGTATCGAGAACCATCTTGCAAGTAAAACAAAAAAAATGTGGTTTAATATCACCCAAAAAGAAGAAGAGAAACAAACATCAATTGTTTGAACAGCAACGATTCTTATCAATCAACATTATCATGCCAAAATTACATCGATATGTAATTATCCAATCAATATTGATGTAATTTAATCTAAAGATTTTTGTTTCCAAATCAGCATCCATTAAATAAGAAAAACAAAATAACACATCACATCACAAACACACTTCATAGAGATATATCTAGATACATCTCTGATATGTCTATATCAACATTATTATCATTATTGAGATTGTTTTGTTTTTCTCAAATTGTTGTCGTTGTTACTGTTGATGTCGAAATTTCCAATCCAATAACCATAGTAAAAACAAAACAAAAATTTTTGTTGCTTTGATTGGATCGATCGATCAAATCGCGATTGATGAGTATGTGATGGTCGAAGGATATTTTTATGTTTTGTTCTAATATTTTGAGGTCATTTCATAGGTTTTGTGTATTCCGCTATCTCTTTCTTTCTCTCCTTCACTGTAAATGTGTGTCTGCAATGTGTATTTGCGTATTTTTTTCAAATTTAAAAAAATTCAAAAATATGAAAAACAATTAACAATCAAACGAAACAAATCACATGTGCCCATGTTTACGCTTGAAATTCTTGGATTCTCTGAATCCACAGATGGCAGTACCATCAAATTGATTTTTTTTCAAATAAATTCAAATGTGCAACCTTTAATTAAAAATTTTCGATTATAAAAGGGAGGAACCTTATCTTTTTCTTCGAAAAGAATAGGAACAAGGCCGTAACCCACCCTTAATGAGAGAAATCAGAGAAAGAGCAATTTTTAAGCATAATTCAACCCTTTGGCATTATTAACAATTTATTCATTTGTATCCATATTAAACATGACAGTTTTGAAAGAATACTTCAAGAATATTTCCCAATAAAATTAACTGGAAAAAATAATCAATATCAATAATTTGATATCGATATCTACAAGTCAAATTGAATTTTGTATAATAATTTTTTATTTATTTAAATAAATTGTTAACTTTTTCATGAATTAAGAGAAAAAAATTAAGATAACGATAATATATCACTATGTACATAAACCGTATGTATGAGGAGGGTTGTGTGTTTGTGAACAAATTTTTCATTTGAAAAAAATTCATGGCTAAATTTTATATATATGATATTTACCCCCGAACAATATAGAGTGATCCAAAATAAAGAGTATATATTGTTGTTGTTGTTTTGTTGCGATATTTCCAAATTAAAAATAAACAGAAAAACATATAACAACGATCCATAAAAGTAACAATTAAAAAATTGAAACATTCTTGTTGATGTTTTGGTCATTTGCTTTTTGCTTGCTTTGTCATTATTATTTTATAGGCACCAATGGTAAGCGTGGAATTATCATTTCGTTTAACGAGGATAAGCTGGATTATGATTTTTTATCGGCAATGGATGTCCTTCCGAATTAAATACCCATTGATCAAATGATATTAGATTATCATCGGAAAATATTAGATAAAGATATTTTAATGTTTCGGCGAGGAAAAAACTTTGTTGAACATCATCTTGTCGTGTTTTTGGATCATCAACATCCGATATACCCGAATAACCAGTATTTTCCGGTGTTGAGCAATATTTATCGATTGCAACAACAGCATCCCATGCCCATTGTCGATATTTTGGATCTTTAGTCAAACGCCATAAATAAAACCAACCTTCAATCACTTCAGGTCTAAGTATATAATAACGTTCATTTTTTCTATGAATCACAAAGAAAAAAATTTCAAAATCTATTCGAAAAAGTAAAAACAAATCAAAAATAACATACTTTCCGATTTGAGCATCAAGTTGTCCGGTAAACCAAAAAACTTCAGGTCCAATATTTGTTTTAGTTCTTATATAAGATTCATGACATGTTTCAGCGATATCGGCACCTAATTTTAGAAATTGTTTAGCACGTTTTTCATCATGTGCATTTTCTTTTGCTCCTAATGCAAACATTCCGGCAGCAAAACAAGCTAAATGTCCCATTTTGTGTTCTAAACGTTCATAACGTAAATCAGCAACATAAACAAGACCGGTGGATGATTTTTGTACCAATTTTTTCTGTATTGCATCCACTGCTTCATTATACATTCGTAATGATGTTGTATCTTTTTTATCCATCATTAACCATAATTTCAAAAGATATTCATAAAAACTATCACCCAATGCACCGATTGAAACATGTTCTATACGTGTTTAAGATGAAAATAGAAATTATTTCAGAAATTAATTTTCTTTGTAAAATTACTTACTTTGACCAAATTTTCCAGTTTTTGGATTAATATAATTCGGATAAAGACCATTTGGTTTTGGCAATGAATCCAAAATTGTTTGTATACGATCAACTTTATCATAATAAATATGATTACCAGTTAAAGCGGTTAGATAATTGAATTCTAATGATAATGTTCCAACTTCGGATAAAATCGAATTACTTTGTGATGCCCAAACATAATTACGACTAGTACCAATAGCCGGTTTAATTAATGCATGTGGTAAACCGGTAGGTGTATCAAATGCCGGTAACATACGATCAGTTATGTTCACAGCTTTTTCCAAAAACATATCATCTTTTGTAAATGCATAACATGTTAATAAACCACCAACATAACGTATAATTGTTTCGAATACAGATAATTCTGATCGTATGGTTGTAAAATCTAGATTTTCAGCAATCCATTTACGTCCATCTTCAAAACGATCCATCAAGCCCATTATATACAATGTATCCATACCATCCACAATTGTTGCACCTGAAAGATCAATTGATTGAACCAACAAACATTACACAAAAATGCATATTACCACTTACCTAATTTTGTTTTACCAAATACACCGGGTGCATGTCCTTTTTTACTCAATGGTTTCAGCTCATTTTCACCCCATGCATATTTTTTATAACTATCCCATGCAATAATCATCATTTGTTTAATTTTTTCACGTCGTCTTCGAATTTCTTGATCCGAATCTTCACCATTCGGCAGATGTATGATCGTCCAATTTGATTGTCGTCGTATTGGGTCATATCGATGTACATTTTGATTATGATCTCTAACATAATGATCAGATAAATTCTGATCATTATCATCATTCATGGAATTTGAATTGATTATTTTTGATGGCAATGCTTGTTGTATATTTGGTTTAGGTATCACAGCATCTTGTTGACTAAGATTGAAATGTTGTTCAATTTTTTTACGTAAACGTTTTTCATCTTCAAAACGTCCTCTTGGTGGTGGTGGTAACATTGCTGTTTGTTGTGATTGTTGACGACCATCATCATTAACAATACCACCATAAATATCATTATCATTCGATGATGGTGGTGGTATTATACCCAATAACTGTGGCCCTAATGAATTATCGGCCGATTTTAAATATTGTAAATAAACTTGTTTACTTGTTATTTTAAGCTCAGGTAAATAGGCCATACCAATTAAACTAATAATCATAAATATAATAATAATAGCCAATAATAAATATTTTTCACGTATCCTTAAAACACTATTTCTTGGATTGATCATGATTATTGTTGTTGCTTTTGATTGTTGTTGTGATGATGATGAAGATTGTAATATCGATGTTGATGTTGTTGATGATTGGATAAGGCCTATGGCCATAATTCGAATCGAATTCGAATGTTTTTTTTCAAAAATGAAGTGTCGCTTCGGAATTGAAATGAAATGATCAAATTTTTAAAACCATATCGTTGTTGCTAGTGTTGTTGTCTTCTTCGTTTATTATTGTTAATCACATTGCATATAAATTTCTGTTCAATTTTTTATTTCTGGTGTTGATTGATTATTTGATGAACACGTAATCAAATAATTTGATAAAATTTATTAGATTATTATCGGGTTACCAAGTTGCTGTTGTTATGGTAATTTTGATTTTGATTCATTATCATTATTTACAAAGGTTAATGATTTTGATTATGTCAACAACAACAACAAAATTGATTTCTAATTCAAAATTTTTAAATTTCAAAGTTTTAAATCAATTATTTTTCTCGATGAAATTAACACAAATTAAAATGAATGAATGAATGTCAATATTTTTGGTGATCAAGTTGAATGAATTTGAAAATCAAAAAACAAATAAAAAAAACGCCAACCATAACAACAACTTGTCGATCGATGTCAGATCAATTGATTGGAAAAAAACTCGAATTGGAAAACAAACAAAAAAAAATTGGAAAAAGAGAGAGAGAATAAACACCAAACACACAACACACACACACACGCATCAGACGATGTTATTAGAAAAACAAAAAATTCATTCGAAGAATTCGATTTTTTTTTTTGGTGGGGGAGATTCAATTCACAAAGTACGTAATCAACTGTTTTTTTTTCAAAAAAAAAAACAATTGATTTTTGAAGAATATTTTGAATAAAATTAATTTAATTAAAAAAAAGAAAGTCAATCAAAAGAAGAAATTTATCGAAAAGTCTTTGTTTCGAATTGGAGCTCAAAAAAAAAATGTCCAGAGAAAAATGTTTGAAAATATTAATCAGATTATTAATCCTATTAGCAATTAGTTCATCAATATTGATCACTATATCGATAATGATAACATTGATTGATATTTTATTGTTTGTCGATTTCAATAATGATAATTATCATTTAAATATGAATCCATTATTTTATTGGTCAATATTTATGATAAATTTTTTCATATTAATATCAATAATATTTACATGGAAAAATTTATTTCAAATTTCCAATGAATATTATATACAATGTTATTTAATGCCAATGGAAAAATTAAAATTTTTTCAATGTTTTCATTCATTGATGTTTATTATTATGGCAATATTTATATTCTATTTGATTATTCGACAATTATTTATTGCCTATGATGAAGGTAAGTTTTAAATTTTCGTTGAATGATGTTAATTTTTCCATTTTTTCCAACAAGGTAAAAAAATGGAAAAAATCCAAATATTAATCCTGTTGATTATATTTGCCTGCCAAGATTTACTCCATTTCAGCATATCGAAACGTTTGAATCAATTTTTAAATATTATCTGTGATTATCATAGAAATTGTTGAATGTTAGCAATGTTCATATTACGATCATTGTCAACTATGAAAAACTGTGAACTATGACTGTTACCATTTTTGTACTGCTTATTATTTTGTATATAAATGTTGCTTTTTCAGTAAATAAAAAACCATCATCATTTCAAATCCAAAAGGTTATGGGCCTTTCTGCTATGCTGCGTGTGTTTTAATTTTGTTTAAACAACGTGTTTATTTTTCGTCGTTTAACTTTTGTGATCTTCTGTTAAGTTGTTTTCTGTTTTGTTTTGTGATTAACAAATTTTGTTTGATAATGGATCAAATGAACGAAAAGTTAATTCAAATGCCGATGCTGGAAAACTCCAGTTTCAATCATTGGTGCGATGTATCAATTGACGTTTTGAAATCGTTGAAATCAACTAAATTCGTCAAGCCATCGATCAATTGTGAAACAACTGAATTACCTGATGCTGCTCGGGATGATATTGCAAAAGTGTTAATCGACTGGGATGATGTTTCCTTTGATGGTTCTGTATCCAGTTTGTTTGGAAAACTTCGTGAACTAATTGGACAATTTGCTGAAAAGGGTTTGGTTCTCCCTTGTTATGTTATCAATGCCAAGGTTCGAAAGCTGTTACCGCCTGAATATGACAANTCTGTGTTGTCCCGTTTTACCTCATGTACCACTGTTGATGATTTTACGGTTAAAGGTTTAATGCGGTACCTGAACGGTACTAATGTTCATTGTATTGTTTTTGGTGGTAGAATGTCTGATATTGCATTTTATTTGGATGCTGATCTTGCTGATGACAAGAAAAATGGTCGAACAACAACTCGTCATGTTATATTTTGTGCTGGACCTGTCGTATGGAGTTCAAATTTGCAGAAATGCATTACTGATAATGCGGCAGAAGCTGATTTCATTATTGTCACTGTCTGTTCTAAAGACATACATTTTATCGTGAATTTCTTGGATGAAATAGGTATAGATCACGATATGCCAGTTCTCAACTGCAAATTTGGTCATTTATGTTTCGTTAAAATTTAATTGTGTTTCATAGTTTACATGATCACGGGGAGTGTTAGCAATGTTCATATTACGATCATTGTCAACTATGAAAAACTGTGAACTATGACTGTTACCATTTTTGTACTGCTTATTATTTTGTATATAAATGTTGCTTTTTCAGTAAATAAAAAACCATCATCATTTCAAATCCAAAATTGAAATAAAATCAAAAATTTTTTCCTTAGTTTATAAAGTTGTTTCCTGTGGGTGATGATAATTGTTATTTGGATGATTAGCAGCTAATTGTGATAAAATTGATTCATTTGCAGTAGCGGAAGATTCGTTATTACAAACAACAACATTCGTTGGTGACAATGTCGATAGATTCCAAAAACATTGTGATGAATCTACAACGAAAATTCAATTAAAAAAAATTCATTAAAAAATCTACATACTTTTCATATTATTTAATGGTAAAATTTGATGATTACTATTACGAAGATGTGGATGTGAAAAACCTGATGGAGATGGTTGCATTAGTTTTGTTTTTTCCGATTGTTGATGATGATTATTATTTGAAAATCGATCATTAAACTGACCAACCAGATCAATATCTAATGATAGCATTAATTTTTTAACAATATCTTTTCCAAGAATATGATCGAGAATTGTTTGCAGATAACGATCCGAACTGATTGATAGTTTAAGTTTATCACGATTCCAAACTAATAATTGTGATTCTTCCAATGCGACGAATGATACTTGATAACGATCAGTTTGATTCATACCAAACCATTCAGGTGATTCCAAAAATTGATATGAATCAATAATCGAACATGTATAACCATTATGTATTACGGAAATACGACCGGTTAATAATAATGACAATCGATCTAATAATGTTTCATTTTCAACCGAATAAATATCTTTTGGTTTCAATGTTTGAATACCACGTGTTAATGAATAAAGACGTTGAAAATCATAACGTGATACACCAAGTGGTCGAAATAGATTTCTATATGACATTTCAACTTCATGTGGAAATCTGTTTTCGAATAAAAATTTCTTATTTAAAATCAGGAAATAATAATAATGAGAAATATTTACCTGATAAATGGATGAAGTTTAAAAAATAAGATAATAATATGAATAAAATTCAAGAAGGCAAATATCAAATTCCATAATAACAGATCAGTTGAACATGAAACTAACCATGTCCATAATATTGTCAGCAGATTTCCAACCAATATCATTGAACGTAAAAATATTATCGAATAAATTTTGATTGAACCAAAAAATAAACCAATAAAGAGAAAAAAATTTGCCAATTGTAAAAATATATGATGCGGTCCATTCCAATCGATACAAGGTACAAATGTAATTTGTCTTCCAAAACCATGAAATAATTGATCTAAAGCTGCTGTTGAATTCATCATTTTCGTTTTTTTGCTATTCTTTGTAAAAATTCAATGCTTTTTGTTGTTGCGACTTGTCACTTTAGTCGGAATTTTGTTTTGTTTTTCTGTTGATTCATGCCAATGATGATGATGTAACAATCAAAACAAACTAAATCATCATCATTCGAGCCGATATGGGAAAAATACGAATCTAGAAAAACATCATAAATGGAAATAACATGAAAATTTAATGATTTTTGTGTATTTTTTGAGGAAGAAATTTTCATTTGGCCCCCATATTACCATCTTTGTTCAATCAAATCATCAACATTATCATGCTCTCTTATGACAGACAACCAACCATTATCATTAAAATTATTATTTTCATTTTTTCAAAAAAATGTTCAAGGTTTTGATAATCACACAACAGCACAAAGCACAGAACACACCATATAATTGTTGTTTCATTTCATTTTTTCTTGTCTTTCCTTTTTTGTCAATCATTAAAATTTTGATTTTGGAAAAAAACTGAAGAGAAAGAGAAACGAAAACGAAAGAAATTGATTTGATGATGATTATTTCAATTAATCAATAGATCGATTAGTTTATTTTTGTTTTTTGGCAGTCGATATTGATGATAAAAATTGAAATCAAAAAAAAAATTAATTGAAAAAAAACAAACTTTATAAATCGGCAAAATCAGCAAAACTTGCATAACACAAAACAGCAACAGCAACAACAGCCATATGGTTCGAATGTTTTTGTGTCGAGGTGGGTGGGTGTTGCTTGTTGCTTTTCATTCATAATCGTCTTCTGTTTTTTATTTCATCCTCCTCATCCTCCTCCGCCTTCACGATTATTACATCGATATATCGATCGAACGCCGAGACAGAAAAAAAATTCATTCATACCCCCATCACCCATATACCCTCTCTTTTCTGATTTGATAAATTGAATTTGTAAAGAATTTTTGTTTTTCATCAAAACAAAAAAAAATTTTGGTCATTGATCTCTTTCGCTCTATGAATGTTTGATCGACTAGATAGAGAGAGATGAGAATTGTAAAAATCAAAAAAGTTATTTTTAGATTCAAAAAAATTTCGAATCCGAATTTTTCTCTGGTGTAAATCTTTGTCTAGCCAATCAATTCGATCAAATTCAATTCCATAATCAATAAATCAATCAAAACAACAGCAAAAAATGAACAACAAATGTTTTTTATCACCAAACATCATCTTTCTTTTCCTATTTTGATAAATTGTTACAACATCGTACCTGTCAGTGTGCGTGTGGGTGTTCATGTTGTGTGTTCTAATAATTTGATTGATTGATGTGACAGACTTGATTTTGTAATTTTTATTATTTATTATGATTTTTGTTATAAAATTATTATTCGTTTCATTTCTGGTGATGATAATAATTCCTGTTTTTTCAATGATAATGATGATGGTTTTCTTTTTTTTGATATCATTTTCATCATTATTGGTGATTTTACCGGTGATTTTGGTGATTTTAAAGGTGACTTTTTAGGTGATTTTGATGATTTATTTTTCGATCTAAGTTTTAATGATTTCAATGATTTTCGATAATTTTCCTGTTGAAATGGATAATTTATTAATTTTATTGATCGATTCTTTTTTGTTTTTCTTATCGTGGTTGTCATCTTCATTTTTGTTATTTTATTCATCTGTTTTGCCATTTTTGATGATGATAATGATGATGATGATGATGATAATGTTGGTAAATAACTAAATGATTTGATTGTATCGGATGAATCGGGCATTAATGTTATTGATTTAATTTTGCCAAATATTCGTTTATTATTATTGTATGATATAAAACCAAAAATTAATAATGACATCGGTATCAAAACGCCGATCAATATAAATATACCAATCATTATTGACCAGCCAATATCATCAGGATCTTTATTCATTGATTCATGTTGTTTATTTGTTGTTCTCGATGATGATGTTGATAAATCCCATAAAAATTCTGGTGATGTTTGTTGTTGTTGTTGTGTTGGATTGAAAACTAATGCCAGTATTATTATTATTTGTATCATTTTTTTATGAAAACTTCAATTTTTGTTTGGAATTTTTTTTCTCGCTTATTTCAATATCCTGACAACAAACAAAATTTATTTGATTACATAATCAGAATTTTAGAATATTTTTTATTTGTTTAAATACGAAACCAGTGCTGCCATCTATTTTTCAGAGTTTTTTTTAAATTTTAAAACTAAAACAAAAAATGATCATTTTTAAAATTTTTATTCAAAAAAATTGATGAAACTTTGTTAACAGAGAGAAGAAGGGAAAAAATTATGATGATTGAAAGAATAAAAGGTGAGATTCTTTTTTATTGAAAAAAATGGATTGGCCAAATCTGGTAAGTGTAAAGGCAAATTTTGCCCGACAAAAAAAATATAGCCCGATATGATTATAAGGAAAACAAAAATGGACTGTTATCGGTAATGAAATAAAAATGAAACATGCAAAATGAAACATTAATCATTAATCAAGATCTAAATCTTCATCTTCTTTTTCTTCTTGTTTATTATTATCATCATCTTCTATTTCATTTTTAACTGTTTCGGTTATTTCTTGTTTAATTTTTGGTTGTTCTAGCTGTTTCTGTTGTTGGTGATTTTGTGCTTCTTCTTCCAACATTATTATATCATTCAATACGGTATTAATATCATCGGGTGTTGTTGTAGTCATGTTGTTGTTGTTGTTAACAGCCAATGTTTCATTTGAAGAATTTCTTCGAGGATTATCATCAATTGTTAATGCTGATTGTTCATCCGATGATGATGATGATGAAGATGATCGATCTGCCACTGTTGTATCGTTTATGTCGATAATTTCTTTTTTTACAGTCACTTGTTGTTTGAAATTTTCCGATTGGATTTTCTGGTTGATAGTGGATACATTTTTATTGCACTTTTCCTTAACTTTTTTATTCAAATTCGTATCCAATTTTGATTCTTTTTCCGTTTGATCATTATTATTATCATTTTCTATAGTTTCAACAACAGTATCATTACAACCTAAACGATTATTATCAATGATTTCTGATTGATTATCGATCGATATTGATTCGTTTGGATCATTATTGAGCAATAATGATGTTTCCGATGATGTTTGAACATTCGTTGAATGTGATTCTGATCGTTTTTGTTCATTCTTCTGAGCAATGAAAATGAAAAAAAGTATAGAGTTAGAGTTAATCAAAAAAGATAATTAGCTTAATATATTTTTACCTTTTCACAAACAAAACAACACCATGTATAACCACGACGTTTTGGATTTTTTGTACAAGGTGGCTGTAAACAACCAAAATGATAATGATTACTACAATTATCGCATCTAGCAAACAAATGAAAAATGATAAAAAATGAATGGATTAACCAGAAACAAAAAATTTGAATACACAAACAAACATACCGAACATTTTGTTTCATAGATGATGGTATTTCTTGTTTACAAACAAAACATTTTGATAAACAATGATGATGATGATGTGCTAAACGCTTCACCTGTGATTTATTGATTGGTGATAAATCATCACTATTTTCTCCACCATTTTCAATAATCGATAGTGATTGATTATCGACGATATTATTATTATTGTTGTTATTCAATAAAATAGATGATGATGATGTTCCGTCAGTTAGTTTACGTTTTCGGCTAACCGTAACAACAGTTGCTGTTGTTGTTGGGGTTATTGATGATGGAATAGCTGCTGCTGATGTCGATGATGATAATAATGATTTTGTCGATGAAGATGAATTCGAATGTTGTTGTTGATGACTTGACGAACATTTGGTATTGTTTGGCGTTATTGTTGTTGCTGCAACAGAAGGAATGATTGTTGTTGTTAAAATTGATGATGGTAATGATTCTGAAGTAGATTTTGTAGAGGTGGCGGCGGTTTTTGTTAATTTTTGACGTCCACGACGAATATTGGCTAGATTTGATGATGATAAAGAATTTTCTACAGCTAATGTTGATGATGATGATGGCGGCGGTGTCGATGCAGATGATGCAGATTGTGAAGGCGGTGATAATTTTGAGCGATTTTTATTCTGTTGTTGTCGTCGACGATTCGTCGCCGATGATGATGATAATGTTGGATTCGAAGATTCATCATAATCAGCATATTTTGTAACCATTTTTGGATTTTCACGTAAACGTCTACGTGTTTTGATTGTTGATGATTGTTGTAATGGATCCGTATTTGAATCATCATTCGATAATGTTCCATTACATTTATTATTCGATTGTTCATCATTATCATTATCCAAATCAATCGCCATCTCATCATCATTAGTTTGTTCTTCATTTTCTGTACAATTTGAACATTGCCAACCACCAAAACGTGTTTTTTTCGGCATCCGACGTAATGGTGGATCCAAACAATGTAAATGATAATAGAGATTACATGAATCACATAATGCCATCATATGTGGTTCTTTAGATTTTTTACATGTTGCACATTTTTTCAATTGAAATTCATCGATTGACGATTTTGTTGTTGATAATAAATCATTTTGATTATTCGATTTATTGGTCACTGAGGTTGTTGTTGTCGTTCCATTTGTCGAATATTGTTGTTGTTGTTGATCATTTGTATTATTAATTATCATTTCAGGTAATGACATTATTCGTTCACCAATTTTCATCAATTTGATTCGTCTTATTTCATCATTTTCGTTAATAAAATTTGTTATTTTTGATGATGATGATTGTTGTTGTTGTTGAAACCAGCTTAATGCTTTTAAATATTTATAAATTTTTTGTCGTAATAATTCATTTGATGATTTAAGTTGTTCATGTTTTTTTAATAACTATAAAAATCAAAAATTAGTAAAAAGAAATATAAACATCAAATATGAATGTTACCTTATTATATTTAGCAAATGATTTTGATTCAATTTCATTTAAACGTTTATTTTCTTCAATCAATTCATGTGATTGTTGTTGCATTTGACAAATTCTTCGATTACGATCTTTAAAATAGAAAAAAATAATAATAAATTTTCTGTTTGAATCAATGGCGAATAAAACACTTACCAAGATAATAGCTAACAAATTCGATTGAAAATGCAGGCGGTATATACCATTTACGACGTATATCATTCATTTCTTCTTGAATTAAAAATGCATCACGGCCATTGGAATAACCAGCTAATTCACAACGATTCATTAAACGACGCATTGCTGATGGCGATGCATCCAATAAACGTGGTGTTCGCTTAGTTAAAACTATGGAAAAATAGGAAAAAAAATAATGAAATTTCATCATCACCAGCATCATTCATAATTACATACCATTATTATTTGAATTTCCGATTGATTGAAAATTTCGTTGAAATTTTTGACGTTGAATTGTTAGCTTATTCAATGTTCGATGATTTGTAATTGAATCTTCAATTCGTTTGATTGGTGATGATGTACCATTTGATTGTTGTTGTTTTGATAGAATTCGATACCTTGCTAATAATGTTAGATAATTTTTTCTTTTCTTTTTAGCTGATTGCCGGTCGGAATGTAAACGACAATAAGCAATAAATGGATCTAATAATTCTTCCGTTTCTTGATGACGAAGTTCAGTTAATAGACCTTGACGTTGTGCACATGTTGCATGAAAATTTGTTTTACAAAATCCAGCATCACAACGTATACAAACACCAGTTTGGGCAAAATTTTCATCATCACAAAGCATACAGATCTTTGAACCCCACTGATTGAATTGAATTTGTGATAGATTTGGTCCACGTAATTTTTCGGGATCAACAAATGTAACACCTTGTGTATATAATGCACAAACCATATGAACCCATCTAGTGTAAGTAACAAATAAAAATTAGTAAATTTCATTGGAAAAAAATAACACCATACCTTCCATTATCGGTAAGTTTAAAAATACCGGATTCAGTTGGACATAATTCACAAAATGGTTGCCTTATACCAGCTTTACATGGATCACAAAACCATGGTTCAGTTGATGCTGATGATGCATTGGAATGAATCGATTCAGTATCATCTGATTGTATACCATAACATAATTCATGTACAGTAATACCACATGCATCACATTCAACTAATTCATCATCACTATGTGATTGTTCACCTAAACAAACAGAACAGATTAATATTTTTCGATAATTTTTCAATATTTCTTCGTTATCATTGGATATTGATTGAGAATTTTGATGATGATCACGTTGACTAGATTTTTGTAATGATGATTGATTGAGCAATTTGTCAGTTTTCGATTTCGACTTTGAAACATTATCTTCATCTGAAGAAGATTCTTCCTCATCTTCATCATCATCGCTATCAGTTTCATTCGATGATGACGATTCTTCATTATTTTGTTGTAACTTTGTTTTATCAAATTTCTTATCATTCTGATTCTTTTTCTTGGTTGTCTTTTTATTTGTTGAATTTAATTTTTCTTGTTGTTGTTGTGATTGATCAACATCACCATCAGAATCGATTTCAATATCCAAATCTAAATCATCATTAACATCAACATTATCAGGTGGATTATAATCACTATCATCACTTTCACTATCATCATCAAGATCGGCATCCATCGATAGAATACTTTCAACTGGTTTAATTTTACGTTTATTTGGATCACGATTAACTAGAAAATTGAAAAATTGAAAAAAAATTCATTTGAAAATTCAGGGAAAAATCAAAATTACTTACTCAAAGATTTATAAACAAATGCAAGGGCTGCATTTTCAAATGCAGGTGTTTGCTGTTGTTGTTTATTTGATATTTTATTATTTTTTGGCATTTTTTTCAATATTGAATAACTTTGTGATCAAAGAAAATCATCTGCAGTTCGGGGAAAGTTAAAAAAACAGAACAGAAAATTATTATTTTTTTGGATGAAATCAAAAATTCAAAAAAAAAAAAAAATATTCACAAAACACACACCAGCCAACCTTATTTCAAACAAAAAAGAGTGAAGCAATGGGAAAAAATTTGAGAGAAAACAAGAATTACAAACAAAACATTGTGTTCTGCACACTATCATCATTCATTTCATCAATAAACACAACAACAAAACACATTGACTGACTGATGGCATTTTGAAGGAATTTGTTTGCAAATCAAATATATTTTTCTGGAGAAAATTAAAATTAAATTAAAAAAGTTTATGATCGAATCAAAAATTGGACGGTTGAATGTTTTTTTTAGTGATAAAAAACACTGAAAAAAATGATGCTCAGTAATGATGACGGTGGGGGAAAGAATGAGGAGGGGTGATGATGGGGGTGGAAAAAACACAGCTAAGAAAAAAAAACACGGGAAAAAAAGAGTTGTTTTTGGTTTGTGAACCCTCCTCTCTCATTCATACATCCATCGTCAAACGCCATATATTATTTTTGAGGGGGGAGGTGGGTTCCAGAATTGTTCCAGAATTCAATTTCAAACTAAACACAGAAAGACAGACACAGAATAGGCAGAAGCAATAGAATCTGTTTGGGATAATTCCTGAAGAATTTTTCAATAATAATCATAATGATGATAATGATGATGATGGAGAGGATGCGCGCGCTATATTCTTCGGTGTTTGATTTAATAGATTTTAGCAAAAGAGAGATGTTCATTATCTCTATATGTGTATTGTAGACATATAGGTATTTTTTGGTTTGTTTCGCAAACAACCAAGACAAACAAACAAAAATCATTTAAAATAACTTGAAAAAATGGTTATGCAAAAGTGGAAAATTGCTTAATGATTACAATATTGAATGAATTAAATAAAATTGAGAGAAAGAAATTGATTTTTAAAAAGAAAATCAATCAATCATAATCGATCAATCAATTACAACAAAAAAAAATAACAGAAAATCGAATACATACCAAATGAAAGAAATTCAAATTAAGAATTTAAAATTTTTCTTAACAAAAAAAAAGGATGATGATTGTCCGCTATATAGCTATTTATATAGCATCCGTAGATTTGGTCTGCTATGATGAATTTATTTTTTTTTGCTGAATTTAAATTTTGAAAGAAAACGTTGGTGGAATTTATCGAGGAAAAATGATTGAGATTGAGGAAATTATTTTAGATTTTCAAAATGTTTTTCTTTTTGAATACGGATTCCAGAATTCGAATTTTTAAACATTCGAAACAAACAGTCATGGCACATGCATGGAATCGAATCGAATAATTGATTGAAAACGAAACATTCGACTATATAGACAATATTATTATTATTGAAACTTTTGAGGTGTATATAGAATTTCGATAGACAGAAAGTAAGAGTGATGAGACAATTGGCAAAACGATCCTGGATCGAAAATTGATTTCATTTTTCTCCGATTCGTCTTCTGCATTTTTTTTCTTAATCGCTTTCTAAATCATCATTATCATCATCGATAAAGCTAATCATCGATGATTGCTATAGCAGCAGCAACATAATTTTTTATCAGTTCAATAAACAACGACAAAATGAAATGAAAATGGATTTATTTCCAATTTTCAGCACCAGATGTCGCTGTTAATTCCTTTTTTTTTGCAATTAAAAAAATCTAAATTTTAAAAAAGGTAACCCTAACGTTTATCAATTACCAATTGAAAACGAATTGATCGTTTTTGATTCAAATCAAAACTGAAAACGAGATGACTACGAAAACATCCAAGTCATGTCATGATTGATAGAAACAATAATAATAAAAAAATCATTTATATTTTTGTCCTTGATGTTTGGTAGACGACAACATTAATATCAATGAAATTTTCATATAAACATTGTAAAAAATTAGACGATAATGATAATGATCATCGCGCATTCGCCAAATTTTTCTTTCCCTTTCTCTCTCCCTCTCTATGTCGATGTTTACAATCAAACAAAAATATCAAAATTCTTTTCATTTTCGGTTGAAAAAAACATAAATCCTCTGTACTTTTTGCTTGCCTTTGCCAGTATCCTTTTTGTATAGCAAACAGAAAAAACATCTGATCCATCACTACGTTGTTTGGTGGTGAGTTTCACAGCCGAAAAAAACTAAGTTACAAAGTAACTAAACACAAAAATCATTATCCTTGAAAAAAATTTTCGCAACAAGTTGGATGCCAAACGTAAGCTAAACGTAAGACAGATGCTAAAAAATCATGAATGTTATCCACGATAATGGAACGAAAACAACAACAACAAAAAAAGCTTCTTGGATAACCAAATTGGATAATAATAATAATATTATGAAAATTACCGAAAATATTTTTGATGATAAAAATTTCGAATTTAAAATTCCCGAAACATTACCAGCCAATGTTGATGATTTCATCGATGAAGGTTCATCATTATCATCAACAACATCGACATTAAATATTGAACAATCACAATTATCATCGAATGATCAATCATCTGGATATTATCTACGAAGTAAATGTTGTTCAAATAATTGTTGTAAGGCTGGAATACTTCTTTCTGATCATCATCGACAACATAGAAAAAATCAAAAGTAAGTTACATTTTTATCGTTGTTATTGTTTTTTATTCATTCGTTTATCATTGGCAAAAAATCATTGACAAACTTGGTTGAATTTTGAGAAATAAATTCTTTGAAATTTTGTTTTGTGTGAATGTAGTTGTGAGATTAACGATAAGATTTTTGATAACGTGCACGTGCACCAGGACCACCAAATTTTTTCGGTTCCATACGACGTGGATCGCTTACCAATAATGATCGATCATGTTGAATAAGAATATCTTTGATTTCTTTTTTTGATGATTCATCAACATATTTTTGATAATAGGCAACTAATGCACGTGAAATGGCTTGACGGATAGCGTAGATTTGTGCAATATGACCACCACCACGTACACGAACACGAATATCAACCTGTGCAAATCTGATAGCCGAAATTAGTTTCGTTTATAATTGTAATCAGGTATTACACCCGTAAACAACCAGGTATAAACAACTTACTTATCTTGTCCTAACAAAAGAATCGGTTCCAAAAGTTTATATTTCAACATTTGTGGTTGAATCATATCTAATGGACGGCCATTAACATGAATCAAACCACGACCAGTTTTACAATAAGCAACGGCTGTTGCTGTTTTTTTACGGCCAAATACTTGAACCGAATAAGTTGGATCTTTTCTGCAAAGATGCAAACAATCAAACAAAACAAAAATCAATCAATTAATCAAATCAAATCGAACAATTAACATACGTTTCGGGCATTGTTTTGGTTGTTAAAATTTCAAAAAATTTCAAAAAAAAATCCAAAAAAAAACTTGGAAAAACACAGAACACGTTGAAAGAAGCGTGAGCCTGAAAAAGAACGAAAGGAAATAGTTTTTTTTTTGTTCTCGCTTTTCGCTCACAGCAACGTGTTCCACTTTGTAGTAGTGGTATTTGTTGATGATAATATTCCGAAACAACCACAGCTAGCCGTTCATAGAGTATAGGATTGAAGAATTTATTATTCTTTTTGTTTTGTTTTACATTCGAAATTGATATTGAGGAGTGTGTGTGTGAAAGTCATTTTTTTTGTCCAAAATTTTTAATGAATTTTGATTGAATTTAATCAATTTTCAATCAATTTCAATTGATTATCATTCGCTTACCATTTTTCAATGAAAAAAATGTATATTCAAAATGAATTTCGTATTAAAATAATACCTATTTAAGGTAACTCCAATCAACAAAAAATAATTCCAGATGGAATCAATTTTTATTAATGAAGAAAACAAAGTTAAACATCAAACTGATAAACAACAAATTGAATTGATTTTCTTGGATAAAAGTGTTGTTGTTGATAGTAATCAAAATCGTCTGAAAAGATTGTAAGAAAATTTTTGCAAAAAAAAAAATTCTTTTTCCCTCACCCCTCCTCTTTGATTTCCATCCGTATCAGAAATCATTTCAATTTAATTTAATTCTGAACATTTTTTTTCGACCATGATAGACGTAAAAAATCGAAAAGAATAGCCATTACGGATGATGATGATACAGATACCGGTGATGATTCATTAGCATCAACATCAATATCAACAATACATTTATCCGAATTTGATACTGATAATGATGATTTTATCGATAATAATAATCGATCATCAACACCAAAAAAACAATTCAAAAAAATTAAATTCGATTCTAAGTTGATCGAACAACAACAACGAGAAGAATTTAGTTCGAAAAAATCTAAACGTTCGAATATTTTTCATAGCCAAAACATCAGCAGCAGCCGAAAATCTTCTAAAAAAACAATTAAATTAATTGACAATAACCAGATTATCAGTAACAAAAATCAAAATAAAAATATCTTAAAGCAACAACAACATCGAAAGCAAAAACAAAATTTGTCGCCAATTCAACTTCAATTGCAACAACCAGATGCAGCAATAACTGATGCAGCAGCATTGTCGTCGTCAATAGCAGAAGCAGCAGCAACAAAAACTCATCCGGATAATCAACAACAAATAATTGTTCGTCATGGTCATCATTTAATTTTGGATGATAAAAGTGATCAGCAACAACAATCTATATCGATTGATAAAATTGATGAATCGAATCAGAATCGATCATCACCATCATCAATCGATTGTTTTGATGATCAAAAATTTTCATTATTAAAAAACAAAAAATCCAAACGACGACGTTCAATTGATGAAGAAATTCATCAACGTTATAAACATTATCTGCAATTAGAAACTGATTTAAAGTATGTTTTGTTTTGGAATTAAGAAAAAATTTAATTGAATTTTCTTTTTCACTCAACACAAACAGAGATCAAAATAAAACTGATTATACATATGCACATAGTTATAGTTATTCACCATTAGTTTCACAACGTTTGTGGTATAATTGGACAGTGCCAAACATGTCAAGACAATCAATTAGACATAATAATCATCAACAACATCGATCATCACCGAATAAAATACCTGAATTATTACAATCAGATATGATTAAACGACGGTTTGTTGATAATATACCAATTTCAACAATTCAACCAACAGCAACTAATACACAATCATCATTGACAACACGTAGGATTATATCATCATCTACTACTTATCAGGTGAGTTTTCATTTGGATTGATTTAGTTTAGTTTGAATCGAAATTCTATTATTTTTCTTTTTAAAAATGATAAAGCAAAATGTTGGTAATGAAACACATTTTGTTAGGCCACGTATTATTGAATATCATCAACATCAAAATCTTAATGATCAACCATTACATTCAACACCATTGAAACCTATACAATTTGATTCGGGATCATCATCATTATCATCGCAACAACAACAATCGATTATTAATAAAACAATAACAACAGTAAAAGGATCATCAAATATTGAATTTTCTGATGATGAAGATGATGGTCGACTTATAAATAATGAAGCTCATGTTGATAAAGATGGTGGTGATGGTGGTACTGAAGATTTAAATCAAACTGTTCGTCATACAATGACATTACGTTCGAAACCAATTGAAGAAAATAATGGTAAAATGAAATCATTACCAAAACAACGTTTATTGAAAAGATCATCAACAAATGCACGAATCAATGATCATTATCTTGGTCAATATTCGGAAGATGATAATGGATTTGAAGATGATAATGAAGATGAAGATGAAGAATTAACAATTATTCGACGAATACATAGATTTTTTATTACAACTGTTCGTCATATACCATTTGTTAATTCAGTGGTTAACGATAATGTTCAACCACCATTATCATCAATATCAAATAATCATGATTTAAATGAAACTTATATATCATCATCATCATTACCATCACCACCAACAACAACAAACGCTTATAATTCAAGATTTTTCCCACAAAACAGCAGTAGTCGATGGTTTCGTCGACGATTTTCTAATCAAAATTATTATCAAAATATTGATGATGGTGATGATGATAGAGTGATGCAAGATTCATCTAAATTAGGATTTTGGTCACCAAGTTTTTGTCTTCGATTTTCACTTGGCCTATTTTTAATTTTATTTTTATTACCATTATTGATAAGTTATTTGTTGGGATCTGGATCATCCTATTATAATATGTTACAATGGACTACGAATGCTATTGATTTACGTTCATCACCCTCATCATCCTTATCATTTTTTGATTATTTTTCATCATTTTTAATATGGCCAAGTTTTTTATCTTTGAATTCATTACCAAAATGGTCATTGTTTTCATCATCTCCATCATCATCGTCATCGTATTCACCGCCGGCTGGTGAATCCTATCTTTTTGATCGTCGTATTTTTGATGCCGAAATTTCTGCCTTACGAAAAGAACTTTTATCATTGAAGGAAATGAATCAACAACAACGTCAATTGGATTCTGCTTCCGTGCCAACAGTAATTGATCCACAACTTGTCGATCGTCGTATTCATGAATTGGAATCACAATTAACAACTTGTTGCAGTCGTTCGAATATTTCTTGGGATCAAATTCGTCATGAAATTGAAAATCATTTGGCAAAAAATTTCGATACGAAACTGTCCAAGATGCAGCAACATTATGATGAAGAATTAAAATCACAAATGGAAAATATTCGTGTGAATACTATTCGATTATTCGATGAATATCGTAATCGTGTGGATATGAATCTTTCTTCTGTTATTGATCAGATTCGTTCGGAATTAATTGCCAATCATCAAAATCAATTGAAGCAACGTCAGCAGCAGCAGCAGCAGTATGGTAGTTCGAATTTAACACCAATAACCACTACAGCCGATGTAGAACGATTGATTGAAAAAGCATTGGCAAAATATGATGCAGATAAAACCGGTGAAGCTGATTTTGCTTTGGAATCTTCCGGTGAGTTATTAAATTATTAAAGATTTTGATTATTTTATTTCATTTTAAATTCTAATTTGAAAAGGTGGCTGGATTATGAAAACACGATGTTCCGAATCATATGAATTATCATGGGGAACATATAAACTATTTGGAATGACAATTTGGCGTTCAATCAATAGTCCACGTGTTGTTATACAATCAGGTGTTGTACCTGGAGAATGTTGGTGTTTTGCCGGTTCGGAAGGACGTTTAGGTATACATCTTTCCGCACGTATAATACCAACAGCTTTTAGTTATGAACATATACCATCGAAATTATCACGTGATGGTCATATAAAATCGGCTCCAAATCATCTTATTGTTTATGGTCTGCGACATGAAATGGATTTAGATCCAATACAATTGGGTGAATATTATTATCAAATTCCTGATGATAATGGTGATGATGGAGAAAATTCTATTCGTCCATTGCAACGATTCATCGTACAGAATACTGAAGCAGCCAAACATACATTCGATATGATTGAATTGAATGTTAAATCTAATCATGGTCATCCTGATTATACTTGTTTATATCGTTTCCGTGTACATGGTATACATCCGTCCATTACGAATGAATGAATGAATTTCATTCTTGAATATTGAAGAATCTTATAACAATATATCATACCAAAAAAAATCTTCACATCAAATATGCTCATCATCATCTCTATAATCTTATCATTTATTTTTACTATAGTGATCAACAGCAAGTGTCATAATAATCATCTTCATTATTATCATCATTATCACAATCTCGGTGAACAGGGGAAGATAAGTGGATATAATTCCAATTTTAACCATCATCATAATTATCATTTTTAAAAAAAAACATTGTTGCCTTTCATTTGTTATCTTTTTAACCTAAAAAATATCTTCTGAAATTACTTAAACAAAATTTTCATACTTTGATATCGTTTCATTTGCACTTCGACCACCATACCACATCTAACCTCACCTCAAACACACCTACACATAAACGAATGAATTTAATTTGTTAATTGAGAAAAAAAATTAAAGAATTTAATTAAATTTTTAAAAATAAAAATATCAATTTTTTTCCGAAAAAAATAATTTCTCAATCAATTGTCTGGTTTCATCCGGACCTTGAACCGAATAACCAATTGTACGTTCATGCGACCATAATGCATAATCATTACCATTTGGTTGACAACGATCACCAAAAAAATAAATTTTATCATAACAATCCACCGGTATATAACGTAGACAATATCTTTTATCCCAACCTTTTGGAAAACAATCAATCGATATTTGTCCACCAATTACATAATCCATATCGATATCGGTACCATCAAATTGTTTGCGAAATGCATCAATCATTTTCGAACGAATTTGCTGTTGTTGATCATATTGATAGAAATCATTACGTTCTTGACGTGAACAACTTCGACCAATTGGTGATACATTTATAAGGCCATTACGAAATTCAATAAAATTTCCACGCTTTACCGGTATTGTTAGTTGAGATAAATAACCAAGTGCATAATTAATAAATCTTTGTAAACGTTCTTCACCTAATTCATCAAGAATATTTTGTTTACCGATTGATTCACCATGGTGATATGCAATTAAACCATTTTCAGCAAAAATATAATCATATTTTTTAATTAATTTGGAAATTTGGTCTTGGGAATTTCCCGGTGTAAATGATTCACCACAATCAATCGATGTCATTTGTTCGGCAATTTTAGCAAGATCAGAACCACCAACTAAACCGACTACAACTTTTTGTTTAAGTTTTTCAAGAAATTGTTCCATTTCCATTGTAATTGACATACGAGATTGGGTTAATGTTCCATCAATATCGAATAGAACAAGTGAACGGGGAAATTCTTTTTCCATTGTTTCGGATGATGACATAATTGATGATGAAAATGGATAACGAAACTTGAAATTCAATTGAAACTTGTCGAATGTTGATGATGATACCGGGTTTTTGTCATGCACAAATAACACATCATCATAATATAGATCGCACGATAGTTGTGCCATCTTTTGATGATTATCATCGTTGACATTTTTTTTGAAATAACATTGTCAGCATTTAATCTCATTGATGAAGTATGATATGTTTCTTTTTGAAATTGATGACATTTTAATTACTGATTTTTGTTTGTTTTAAAAAGCTATTTTCACGCATCAGTCATATATAAAAAATAGATAAAGGATAATAAGCATCAAGAGGAAAAAAATTGATTCAAATTTGATCAGGCGATAATTTCACAATAATAATCAAAACATTTTGATATATCGCGGTCGGTGATGAACGATACTATCGATTACATTGATTGAAATTTTTTTTCCGCTTTCGTTCATCCATCGATTCGAATTTGACAAAAAGAAAGCCAAGAGAAATCAATCAAATATTTGTTTGAATGGAAAATTTTCAAATTTCTAAGTTTTTTTTGATTATTTTTATTTGGCGACGACGAAGAAGAAAAAAGAAGAGAAACAGTTTCTGTATTCGATTAATGATAATAAAAAACCAAACATTAACACACAACATATTTTATTCCAATCGCCTGATCCACACAGAAAAGAAAACGAAACGAAACGATATTGGCCATTTTGATTGATTATCGATTATTTATCGATTTTATTTGATTTATTCAAAATCAAATAAAAAAATGTCTTATGTTCATGTTGTTTAATGTTTGCAATGAATTATTATTATTAAAAAAATCACCGGTTCAAACTGGGTCTCTTGGCGATAATGATGATTTTTGAAATTTTTTTTGTAATTTAGAAAGCTTGAAAAATCAAAATCAAAATCAAAACAAACAAACAAAAATGTACATCGAATCCAAGAAAAAATGTTTCAATGTTTAGCCGCAAAGAATTTGATCAAAGTTCGTGTGCTCGATACATTATCGATTTATTTATTTTTTTGTTTTGTCCGATTTAAAGATGTTTGTGAAACATAGAAAAATGCTTTTATTATCTTTATGTAACATTGATTAATTCGGAAAATCATCATCACTTTTGTTTCTTATTAATTTTAATCAAATCAAATCAATCAATTGATTGATTGTCGTCATTTATCAGAGGCGCACAGAGTATAAAAAAAAGTAAATCCTAAAAACAAACAATTTTTCGTACGTACATTCATTCGAATTATCCACCATTGATGATCTGTGCAACAAGTGTGCCCAGCAATGATTGAAAACAAAAAGAAAAGATTCTCCATTTTGAAGAATTCTCATTAAAAGTTTTTTTTCTGGGAATATCGTGAAGAAACATGAGGGAATCGAAATGGAGAAATCAAATGATCTAAAAATGGATTGCATAGATAGATTTAGATCAAAGATTACAAAGATTATCAGTATTTTTTGTGTGACACATGGACATTTCCCAATGACAAATCGATTGATTGGATGATTCGATTAAGCATTGAATGATGAATTTTTATCAAAATGATGATGATTTTTGAAATATAAACAAATTCAAATCTTGTGACTGATTGTATTGTATTGATCTATTTTGTTTGTATCAATTTGCAAAAAAATAATGGCGAAACAAAATCCTTTTTTCAAAATTTTCCTTGAAAATTTCTGTCAATTCAGACTAAATAAAGAAAAATATTCTTTTGAACATGAACAGAAATGTATTTTTTTGTTTTGAATTCTGAAGCCCGGAAAAAAATCAAAGTTCAGTTGAATTTTTTTCGTACGTACAAAGATAGATAATACTAATCTTCCGTAATCATTGATGATCATATGAATTATGTGTTATTTCACCATTCTGGTCATATCATATCTGGTTATCATATGGTACAAAAAGGGGGACATAACCAAGCATCATATTGCAACATTTTCACTTTAGTTTAGCTTTTCATTCAAATCTTATCAGTTTTTGTTCAAAAAATGATGTGCTTTTCACTATGTGTGTGATTTCACTAATATCGCACACACACTTTTTGATATGACGATTTTTTTTCACTGTACAAATGTGATATGAATTTGTATCATTTTGATTTGTCTGGTTTGATTTGGTCCAATTCATATATAAATCGATGGTGGATCGAAAAACGAAATCAAATCACTTATTGAAAGCAAAACGATACTTTACTTTTTCAATCAACTTTGAATTGAATTTTGTTTGACTTTATTTTTTCCTTCCACCAACAACATCAACGAAAAAATGGATTTAGCCATAGCACAAGAAGCATCAACAACTCATCATGTTCAACGTAACGAATCATCATCATCAAATTTACGTAAAATTTCCAATGATTCATTAGGAACTGAATCAATTTATTATCTGGATCCATCCGAACATTTTCGTCCAGAACATAAAACAGCTGAAGAATATCGTATCTATACTACTAATCAGGTACGGTTATCCTCAATTAATTCCTTTAATTAATTAATTAATTTCTTTTTTTAAAATTTACCTTATATATAGGATGATTATATCCAGAAACGTGTTTTCGAAACATATCGTTTAATGCATACAAATCAAACATTAGAATTTGCCCGAGAACGTTTAAATTATTGGACACGTTTTGATAAATTAAAAATGACCATAATGGATGCATTGGAAAAATTGAATTGTTTAGTTGATGAATCTGATCCGGATGTCGATTTGCCAAATATAATACATGCATTTCAAACAGCCGAACGTATACGTGAAGCACATCCAGATTTAGATTGGTTTCACCTAACCGGATTGATACATGATTTGGGTAAACTGATGGCCGTATATGGTGAACCACAATGGTCAGTTGTTGGTGATACATTTCCATTAGGTTGTCGTATTGCCAGTTCAGTTGTTTATGCTGATCAAACTTTCCAAGATAATCCGGATACATCAAATCCTGATTATAATAGTGAATACGGTATTTATGAACCAAATTGTGGACTAAAACAAGTTGTTATGTCATGGGGACATGATGAATATATGTATCAAATATTGAAAAATCATCCGGATTGTTCATTACCTGAACAAGCATTCTATATAATACGTTTTCATTCATTTTATCCATGGCATACTGGTGGTGATTATTATCATCTTTGTTCAAAACATGATTTACATATGTTACCATGGATTCGTGAATTTAACAAATTTGATTTATATTCAAAAACACCTGAAATTCCTGATATACCAAAATTAATTCCATATTATCAATCATTAATTGATAAATATATACCTGGTTTGGTTAGCTGGTAAAACAAACATCTTTGGTTAACCTAACCTAATTTATCACCATATAAATCATTCATATTCATATTCATTTCATCATCATATCATTTATGGTTGGATTATTAGTGACGACGTCATTTTTTTAATATTATCAATTACGTAACACCCAATCACACTTTGGCTATGTCGACCTTTCAAAATAAAGGTCCTTTTAACAATTATTTTTTACTATTTTAGACGTTAATTATATTATTTGTTGCACTATCGATCAATTTTTACACTATTTTTTAACACTTGTCATTTCCATTCATTCATTCATTCATATATGAATATCTATCGTTTGTTTTTGTTGCTTAATTTAAAAATTTATAAAGAATCAATTTAAAAAATATAGAAAAGAAAAGAAAATGGATGTCAAAAAAAGAGAAATTAAAAAAAAATTTACATCGTCATCATCGAATTGAATCGAATCAATCGCAATTTTCAATGAAAAGCTTCCAATGAAAAAAAAATTCCCCTCTATTCATTGCTTTCATTCATTTGATTTGATGAGTAATCAAATAACCAATCAATCAATCAATCAAAATTATGGATGGGAAATGAAAACAAAAAAATCAATGTTTATATTATCATATCTTAATTGATTTGGATTGATTGTCATTTATCGATAAAATTGGCGAATGATGATTTCACTCTATCGCTCATTCGTTCACAAATGTGACCAATCAGGCGATTCATTGAATTGTCATCATCATCATCGTTGTCGTCTTCGTCGTTGTCACATGGTAACCGCATTAGCAACAACAGTAACATGATAATCACATTTAGACAGTGGAAATTATCAAATATTTCGAAACCAGAAAAATTATCAATCGAATTTGATCGAAAAAAAAATTCATTGAAGTTTTTTGATTCGTTATCAATCAATCAAATCATGCCAAAGTTTTTTTTTCTGTCGAAACATCATCAACATTACCTGACATTTTTTTTGGTTTGGTTTCGTATTTTCCCACCCGATCCCCAATGTACAAAATCAACTTCTCCTTTTCCTCCCCATTTCCAACCAACAAAAAAAAATGAACGATAACAACCAAAGAAAAGTGCTAGAAAAAACTTTTAAAAAAACCATTAGCCTTGAATTCGAATTCGATTTCGATTCGATTTTTTCGTTTCCGTCCAAAGATTAAATTAAATTTTCATTCGAAAAAAAGTTTTTCTCTAACAATATTCGCATAGAAATATAAATATAATCAAACGGGATCAATGGACAGAATTAATATTGGCCAAAAATAAAAAATTTGAAATTTGATTTTTGACTTTTCTATTGTTTATATTGTGACTGATTGACGACCCGAAACTTTAAAAGAAACAACCAGTGAATCAAACAACCAAAGCTTGAAAAAAGGAAAATGACAACCATTTATCAAAAATTTGATAATGAAATCAAGAAAAAAAATTGTGATTATAATCAATTGGAAAAAGAATTATTAAATGAATGGCAAGCAAAAAATAATCAAGATCCTGAACTGGCATGGCGTTTATCATCATTAATTTATTATAAAAGTTTAAATCTACAAAATGATGAAGAAATTAAATTAAAATCACTCGAATCAATGCGTTATGCGGAAAAATCATTGGAATTGTTTGAAAAAAATACATCAAAAACTAAAACTGCTGCAAACGATAATACATTTTATGCATTGAAATGGTCAGCAATGGCACATGGCCGTTTAGCATTGTTCGAAATGAATGATGTTGAACAAAAAATTTTACATACAACTAATTTTCTTAAATATTTAAACAAATGCTTACAACAACAACAACAACAGCCAAATAATCAACAAATTAATAATGATTATTTGGTTTTATTTATGCAAGGTCGTTTTCAATTAGCATTGTCAATGTTGGCCGAAGATGAACTGAAAAGTTTTCAACAACGTTTATCAACAACAACAATTGCATTACCAAAATTAAATCTTTTGGATGGTGAACAGAAATTACGTCGTTCAATTGAATTGGCACCCGATTTTATTGATAATTATATTACATTAGCATATTTATTGATAAAAGAAAGAAAAATTTCCGATGCAAAATCTATTATTGAACAAGGTTTACGACAACAATGTTCAAATAAATCCGATGAATTGATTCGACAAGAATTATTAAAAATTAAAGAAACATTGGGTTGAAGCAATACGAATCGAGATGTGTGATTTGCTGCAAGAAATTCCTTGATTCGATTTTGTTTTACTAAGAACAAAAAAATTAAAATTTGAAATTTTTTTTATTGAATTTACCAAACAAAAAAATCATTATCACCACTCTGTGTGTCAACCTGTTGATCTATATTCAGCAGAAAATCCATTCGTCATCGATAAATTTTTTTTTGTCGTCATTTCTTCTCCTCGACGAAAATATTTCTGTCAAATCACACTTGAAATGATGATTGGAAAACAATCAACGAAAAAATGTAATGAGATACGGGCAGCAGCAGCAAAAAAAAAATCATCATCAATCGAACAATCGAAAAATCGATTCGGGAAGTTCATTCGAAAATGAAAATGAAAAACAAAACAAACAAACTATCGATCCTATCGATTGTTCGAATGAATTTTTGTTTTGTTGTTTTTTCGAGAAACAAAAAATTAATATTTTTAGAAAAAAAATTTCTGATTGATTGATCATGATGATGATGATGATGATGTGGAAGATTTACATCAATCAATCATTTCTATTTCGACAGGAATGATGGTGGCATTTTTTTCCCATTCATTTCGTTCGTTTTTTTTGACAGAAAAAATATTCGTTTTACGAAAAAAAAACTTTATCAAAGTTGTTTTTCGCTTGTTATCGCTTCCGTTTCATTTTTATTTATTACCATCATCATCATCTTAATCATAATAATCATCATTGAACAATTCGGAAAGATACATCTTTTTCTGCGGGAGGAGGGAGTGGAAGAAATTTTTCTTCCCCCTCCTCCCTCCTCACTGAAAGACTCAATCAATCGAATATTCGAATCGAAAACAAAATTGTGAATCGAATTGATTTTTTTCGGAAACAAAAATGATGATCAAAACGAATTGAAAAAGTGAATCAATCAATCAATCAATCGATTGATATATGGGGAAAAATAAAACAAGAAAATAAATCATCAAATTCAAATCATCAATCGAATTCGATAGAAACAAACGAAGATAGCAATTTTAATGAAATTCGGTTTTTTCATTATTTTCGGGTCAATTTTTTGTTTGTGTGTGTGTGTGATTTGATGATTGACCGCACGCGCGCGTGCACCGCAAACACGTGCGTGCACTTTTGTAATGTAAATTGATTCAGAAACAAAAAAAATAATGTTCCATCATCATCATCATCATCATTTGATTTGAAAACAATCGCCATATTGATGAATGAATTGAGAGATCCGCACCCAATGAAATCAGCGATCTCATTATCTCATTATGATAATGGATGGATCAAGTGATAATTGATGATTTCAAAGAAGTTTTCTGCTTTTGTTCTTCCATTCAATTCAATTTGAAAATTTCTTTTTTTTTGCAGCCAAAACAAAATGAACTTTCAAAGAAAATAATCATCCGGGATAATTGTTTTTTTGTTTATTAATTTGAATGGCATCGGCCAACGTTGTTTTTAAAGATAAAGACATTATCACCTGTGTGTTGAACCAAACACACACACACACAATATTCAATTAATCGATCAATCGATCGTTCGATTGATTATCATAACAAAACAAACAAACAAAAAAACGACCTTATCTTGATGCCATTAAACACAAATATCGTACCATTGTTTTTCTGTCGAAATAATGGGAAATACAAACAAAATGTTCCTTACATAAATGACGGAACAAAAAAAATGTTTTGTTTTTGTTCCTGATTAATTTCATTTAATTAATTCACAAATAAGATGATGATAACGATGATGATCTAGATTTATCTCGATCATATAATGATGATGATTGAGTTTTTTTTGCTTAGATCATTTTTCCGAATAAAAAGACGTTTCGGTTTTCTGGTTTCGGGTTTTTTTTTCGTCAAGTTTCATTTTCGGGTTACACGTTACATCCAAAAAATGGATTGGATATGGATTTTTATCATTTTTCAATCAATTTTTCATCATATTAATGCAACAGATCAACTATTTCCACCTTTATCGTCCACAAATCATCCAGATTGTAATCAAAAAAATGAAAAAATCTCGTTAGCTGTAATAACGGAAAAACATTTAAAATTACAACCAATTCATGATGATCATCATTCACCACTGCCGCCAACAACAAATATTGTAATCAAATCAAATGATAATGAGTTAAAATTAAAATTCTTATCACAATCAAGTTCAATACATTTGGAACAATTGATTACGCAACCAAAACATTATCATCATCATCATCATCAATATGAACAACAAGAAATTTACGAACCACCAATACGATTAAAACAAGTGATAAAAAAACCCATTCATCAAGATATACATGAAATAATCATACCGACTAAAACAATTTTACAGGAAATACTTCCATTAAAACAGATTATTAAAACCATTGTTCCTACAACAACAAATAATGACCATCATCATCATGGTGGTCATCATCAACATTCAAAACAACAACCATTGTTATCAGAAAAATCACCCGTACATCATGGTCAAGAAGAAGATGAACAACAACAACAACAATCGAATCTTCATCATCCTAATCATCCGCATCATCAACAACAGCAACACGTCATTGATGAACGGTCATCAAATTTGTGAATGTAAACAGGAAATGTTTGTTGCAAAATTTCCAAAATTAAATTAAAATTTTTTAAAATTTTTAATTTTCATTAAAACAAATTGAAAAAAAAGAAAAAAAAACAGTAACAACAACAACAAAAAAATTCATAAATTGATGATTATGTGAGAGAGAAAGAAAAAACATGAAATTAAATTCAAACAGATTTAATGCCACCGATTTTATTCATCGACGATAATGATGATTGTCGTGATCCATAATGACCACCTTGATGATGATTATTAAACGATTGGCCATCGATCAATGATGAATGAGATAATGATGGTGATGTAGATCCTTGATGATGATGATTTGTTGGTAAAATTTTCAACAATTCTTGCATCATTAGTTGATTATGTTGTTGTTGCTGTTTTTGATCAATATTTGGATCTACCACTTGTTCAACACCAATCAACAATGGACTAAGAGTGGATGATAATGATGAATCATTGGTTTTAGATGATGATAATCGTTCCGGTTGTTGTTGTTGCTGCTGTTGAATCTGTTTAAAACGTGCAATTGGCGAACGGTTAAATTTATTCATTGATGATTGATCGATAATCGGATTGGATTTATGAAATTTTCCCGATGATGATGGTGATCGACGTTTCGATGATACAACCGTATGAATTTGTTCAACAACCGGTTTAATTTCCTGTATAACTTTACGATATGGCATTATTATTTCATGGACTTGTTGCAGAATTGGTTTACGAATTTGTTGATAATATAGACGTGGTTCTTCTTCGGTTCGCTCTATTTCTTGTTTTTCGGTTTGTTTTTCATGATCTTCAATCGATGATTGTATAACTCTAATACGATTTGAAGGTGATTTAAAATGTAATTGTAACGGGCGACTTTGTGGTATAATATCGATAATTCGTTCATCGCCGCTATCATCGATACCTTCTAATTCATGTTCTGTCAATAGATTCGAATCGATTGGACGATATTCCATTGAATAACGGGTAAGTACAGCAGCTTTAAAACGTTTTGGTTGTTGACCACGACGATGACCATTTTTGTTGTTGTCTGTCTTTGTAGATTCGGTGGATAGATTTTGTTGTTGTTGTTGTTCAATGAAATGATCATTATCAATCAATTTTTCATGTTTAATCGGATCGATAAGATCAAAATCTTGTTGGTGTTGTTGTTGCAAATCATCATCACCAGTATTCATTATATCAGCATTTTTACCATCTTGATGATCATGCTGACCATTATTATCATCGACAATAGCATCCATATTTTGTGGTTTTAATGATTGAATAAATTGTTCTAATTGTTGTTCAGGTGGTGTAGGTGTTGTCGATATTGATGATGATAATGAACCAGCCAAACAATTATCAATGTCATCAATGGTATCGAATTGTTGTACAATCGAAGGATGATTATTATCAGTTTCTTGTTCTAATTTTTGTTGTTGAGGTCGAATCAAATTCATTGATAATAATTTCATTTTGCCACCATTCGAATAATTGAACGGGTTAAAATTTTTGATAAATGCATTCAGATTCTGCTGTTGTTTTGATGATAATGATGGTAATGATTCAGTTGTAGATGGTAATGCAGGTGTCGCTGTTGTCGTTGTTGGTGTTATCGTTATCGGATTTCCAGTCGAAGTTGATGAGAAATGATTAAGATGTTGATGGCGACCACCACCACCATAAACACCACCATAATCAGATGATATAATCATTGTTATTATCAATAATAATCGAATAATTAAATCCTATTAAGAGAAGAAATTATAATAATCGATTATCGATTGTTTTTTTTCGGAAGAATAATTACCATTATCAATCAATTATCGATTTGATCGAACCAGAGAAAAAACTTTTAAAAAAAAAATTATCTGACCAAAGATAATGGTTCAATTTCGTAAGGATTTAACGTCGTTGTTGATTGATTATTTTTTTGATTTGATCGAAATTTGATCGAATTTTTATACCTTTTTGGAAAAAATCTCATCCAATCGTTTTTTGCTGACCAATTTCTCTCATTTTTAATCAATTTTTTTTTCATTGGTTTATTGATATTCAGAAAAAATGACCAGTAGGTCCAGTTTTTTTTTTCTTATTTGAAGTGCATCTTTGCCGGGTTGTGCGTAGGTAGGTAATCGAATGCAATCTTTGGCCACTCAAAATAAAATATTCAGTTCAAGGAAATTCAATTTCGATTTTTGTTTGAATCGAAATTGGATCAATGAGAAAATTTAGGTTTGCATTTTTCAAGAAGTTTCAAAAGAAAAAAATTCAAGTGGAATTCAAAAATTTTCAATTTTTTTTTTGTTTTGTTGTATAAATATCACTCAACAAGTGCCATTATTCATATTCAATTTTATTTGATTAGAAACTGTCTGTGTTGATTTTTTTCAACAAATAATTTTGAATTTGGAAAACGAAAGTGAATTTTGAAAAAAAATCTTCAAAATTCAGATGCTTCAGATGTGACCTAACAAGTGCCATACAGAAAACAAAAAATTTTTCAATCAGAATTTTCTTTATTTTATTCAATTGAAATGATGCAAGAAAAACAAGAAAAAATAATTTGAAAAAAAACAAAATTTCATAAATAACAAAAAACAAAACAAAACAAATCAAACACCAGGTAAACCAGGTGATTATTCAGCAAGAAAGAAAGAAGGAAAAAAAAGTGAATCAAATCGATTTTTTTTCTCCTCATTTATCTCAGGGTATATTTTATCGCGATTGAGCAAAAGTTTCATCAGATAAAAAAAATTCGTTCATCACACACTATCGATTAATATCGATTGTTGTTATTATTATTATAATGATGATTATTATTATTCCAATTACCATTCCAATTTGGATTGTAATTATTATTATTATGATGATTATTGTTGTTGTTGTTCCAATTTGTGTTCCAATTATTATCATGATTTGGTTGCCATTGTTGTTGTTGTTGTTGTGGTCTTATGGAATGATAATTTTGATTCGATGCAGCTACAGCATGACGAAATGATGATAATAATGGTGCATGACGACGTTGAATCTGTTGTTGTTGAAATATTTGTTGTTGTCTTGCTGGTGTTATCTGTTGATTGTCCAAATCATTTTTATTAATTCGTTCAAATTCAGATGTATCATATGATGATGAATCATATGAAATTGGTGCTTGCATCAATCTTTTTGGTAATGTGGATTGAGATTGTTGTTGTCGTTGTTGTTGTTGTGCCCGAACAAAACTTTCCAGATTTCTCATCATATTAGATGATGACGATGATTCGACAATTTTTGGTCGTGCAGTAGTCACTACCGGTGCAGTATTTTTAGACAAAGAAGTAGAAATAGCTGCTGCTGCTGTCGTTGATGGTTTTAATGTTTGTCGTTGAAATTTATCGTCCACTACCATTGCATCATCATCTTCTATTTCGACACTTGTTGGTCGTGAATTTAATGTAACATCCGTACCCAGTAATTGTTGTTCATCTTCATGACGATGTTGTTGACCACTATGTGCAATAACTGTATGAATTTCTTCCAGAACTGGTTGAATTTCCTGTACAATACGTCTATATGGAGAAATAATTTCCCGTACTTCTTGGATGATTGGTTTACGAACCAAATGAAACATTCGTTGTGGTTCTTCCACTGATTGTGTACGTTGTTCTTGTTGCAGTTCACCTTTTTGATGTTCTTGTACCATTTTTATTCGAGATGATGCTGATTTAAAATGAATTTCTAATGGTAATGATCTGGCTTCAACTTCAATAATTTTCGGTTCAGATTGTTCTTGTAATTGTTCAATTTTTACCGGTCGATATTCAAATGTATGTTTAGTACGGACAGCAGCTTTAAATCGTCGTTGATCATCTGCAATGGCTGCATTATTACGATTTTTAATACCATTGGTTCGTTGTGATTGAAAACGACGATGACCCGGTTCTAATGGTGGTTGCGGTCCAATATCAGCATCAAGAATTGATCGCATTGTATCTTCAACATTAATCTCTTTACTTGAACCAAGTTCAGCACTTGAAATGGAAAGTGCTTCATCCAAAAGATCAGGCGTTAATCGTGGTGATGCAGTTGTTGATATACCTGTTGTTGTCGACAAACCACCATAATTACTACCACCATAAAGCATAGCATCATTGACTAATTTCATTTTAAATCGTAATGAATCACGAAAATTATTATTATTATTATCAGCAATAGTTGTTGGTGATGTTGACGGTGATGATGATAATCGCTGTTGTTGTTGCGATAATTTTGACGCAGTTGTTTTGATTCCATCAGATTTTGTTGCTGCAATCGATAATGATACAATGGATGTTAACACGACGAAAATCGTTAAAATGAATGATGATTTGAACATTTTTGGTTGAATTGTGATGAACGAATTACAGATATGAACAATCGATATATCGATAGGGACAAAAACAGCAACAAAACAAAAATGTAATCGATCGGGTTTTTGAAAATTTGATGATATTTTTGTTGTTGTTGTTTCTGGAAACAGATGATCAATATTGAAAATTTATGATTTTTTTGAATCTTTTTATATATTCGAACAACATCGAACTCTTTCACAATATTTTTCAACGATTTTTTGGGAAAGAATAATATTTAATAAATTTTTGTTCCCATTCAGACAAAAAATTATGTAAAAGACAAACAACAATAATTGGTGAAGATTTTGGTCAAACAAACAAATTGGTCAATAATCAAATTGATCGATTGCAGACAAAGTGATCGATATCGATGATGAGAAGACTCTCCAAAGATATTTAGAAATTTCATTTTTCCATTCAATGAGGTAATGTTTATTTCAGTTTTTTTTTTTTTGGTGTCAATGGCCATTTTGACCAAAATGTATGACAGACAGGTGTCGATATATAGATGTATAATATTTGTTTAATCATCACCAATGATGAAGGCTTCTGATTTTACACACACACACACCAATATGGTCAATTTGGCCATATTTTGTGTGTGTGAGAAAATTATTATCATTGTCCAGCAGAAGATTTGAATTGGTTGAGAAATATTTTCTGTCATTTTTGGTGACAAATTGAATTGTTTTCCCCTGATCACAGTGTAATGCAAAATGCAATTTATTTATAGTAACACATTGAAAGATGACAGATGATCAAACAATTTATTTCTTCATTCATCTGTGTAGGTGGATGTTACAAAAAAACAAACGATCATGATTGTGGGAAACACAATCCAAAATCAATCAATAAGTTAATTAATAATGACGTAATGTAATTAACTAATGAAACATTGTATCCTGTTTATAAATTACATCATTACATTATCATCCTAAAATTGATTTGGTTATTGATTGATTTTTTCAAAGTTTCATAGTTTTTCCAAACCACCAAACAACAATAGTTTTTTATGGAAAAAAATTTTTCCCGATTGAATAGTTTGACTTCCTGATTCATTTATATAAATTTTTCTTCTTTGCTTTTATCTTTCTTTATTTATTATCTTACTATATGATTGTTTTCGTTGTCGTTGATGGTGAATAGATGATCAGATGAAATGAATAGAAATTGATGCGAATAAAAATATGACAAGCACGTGTTATGTGTGTGTGTGTTCAGGTAACCAAAAATGAAGATTTATATTCCCGAAAACAACAAAATCACGTATGATGATGATGATAGACATTTGATCATGATAATGTTTTTGTTGTTTATGATAACTGTTGTGGTTTGAATGAATGATGAATGACAATGGAAAATGTTTTCATTACAAACAACCATAATAATCATTTTGGAATAGGAAAGATGCTTTCCGAAAAAAATGAAAATGATGATGATATCGATATTGATAAAGTATCGATTGTTATTAATTTTCTTTTCTGAAATATTTCCCCAATAAAGAGGATAATGTTATTTATTGTTTTGTTTTGTCCTATTATAGCACAATCAATAAAAAAGGAAAGGAAGGAGAAAAATTTCTTTACAAATCTTTGTTTATAACGAGTGATGGACGACAACAAAAAAAATATAATAACAACAACAACGAAAAAAAACATCATAATAACAATAAAAACAATGAGAAAAATGAATGACAATTGTGATAAATAAATAGAATAAGTTACATAATGAATAAGGAATCTTTGTTTTGTTTTTTTGTAATTCGAAATCTATGTAAACGAACTGAATGTGTCATTATTCTGAAATGATTGATTGATTGATTGATGCGAAATGAAATAATAAGCAGAGAAGGAGGGAGAGAATGCAAACAGAATAAGAAAATTGAAGAAAATTGGCAAATATAGAATACTATTACCTTCCTCATCCTCCCCCGAAAAAAAAATTCATAAAAAAAAGTAATGACGATGATGATGATTGTTAACAAGATGCTAATGATGATGCGGATGATAATGATGATGATTTAATGGGGTGGAAAAAAACATTTAAAATTTAATATGCTTTTTGTTCGGTTCCAGTTTCGAATGTTTGCGATGTACCGGATTCGAATGTTTGTGAGAAGCCATTAAAACCGCTACTGCCGCTACCACTACTGCCACCACCACCACCACCACCCGAAGATCCACTACCGAATGAGGTACCGCCGAATCCACGATTGCCACCTGTTGATCCACTATTGCCACCATAATTTCCTCCCATACTGCCCATAAAGCTTCCACCAAAACCACCACCAGTTGATCCCATACCGGATGAAGAAGGTGCACCAAAACCACCAGTTGAAGGACCGGAACTTGGACCACTACCTCTTGAAGGTCCGCCATAACTTCCGCTGCCACCAAAGCTTCCACTGCTACCTCCACTAAAACCACCCGATGATCCCATACCGGATGAAGGAGCACCAAAACCACCAGTTGAAGGACTTGAGCCTCCACCATAACTACCACCACCAGATGAAGCACCACCGCCCATAGCAGCAGCACCATTTCTACTTGGTGATTGAAGACCCGAGCCAGCGGAACTTCCACCACCACCACCACCGCTGCTACTGCCGCCACCACCGCGTGATTTTGATTGATTTCGATCGAATGATCGTCTTGGTTCACCTTTGGCAACAATAGTATGAATTTCTTCCATAACTGGTTGAATTTCCTGAATAACACGTCGATATGGTGTGATGATTTCTCTGACTTCCTGTTATTTTCAATGAAAACAAAAAACGAAAGAAAATCATTAATTTTGATTCAAATTAGTGATCGATTTTCGATTACAAACCTGAATAATTGGTTTTTTAACTTCATGAATAAGACGATGTGGTTCTTCTTCCGATGATGTTTGTTCAACTTCACCGGCACCTGCTGATTCATGTGTTTGATGTACACGAATTCTGGAGGAACTTGATTTGAAATGAATTTCTAATGGCAGGGCACCACCTTCAACTTCGATAATTTGTGGTTCAATATCTTCGAATGGTATATCAACTTGTTTAAAATCCACGGTATGTTTAGTGATAACAGCTGCAGGTATACGTTCACCGCCTGAACCACCCATTTTGAATTGACTATCACCATCACTAAAGCCACCACCACCACCTCCGCCGCTACTGCCTCCAATAGCTCCACCTGCAGAAGCACCTTCAGCTGCTCCGGAATCACTTCCGCCAAAGGATGAACCACCACCAAATGAGGATCCACCTGTTGAGCCACCACCGCCTGTTCCAAAACCACCTCCCATTGATCCGCCAAATGAACCCATCGAGGAAGTTCCACCGAATGAGCCAGTTCCACCCGTTCCACCTGATGATGATCCACCATATGAACCCATTGAAGTAGATCCACCGAATGAGCCAGAGCCACTACCACCAGAGCTGAAGCCCATTGAACCGGATCCAGAGCCACGGCTGCCGCCAGTTGATCCACCATAGCTTCCAGTTGCAGTACCGCCAGTAGATCCACCAGTGGAACCACCACGGCTTCCACCAAAGCTTGATCCACCGCCAAAACTGCTGCCACCACCACCAGACATGCTACTACCACCTCGGCTACCACCGCCGGATGCACCATAGCTTGAAGAACCGCCAAAACTGGAACCACTTCCGCCAGTGCTGGGCGCTCCACCTCCACCACCACCGGTAGATTTGAATCCACCGCTACTAGCGCCACCACGTGATCCTGACGTTGATGATGATGTCATTGGTGACCAGCTACCCATTGGACCACTAAGTGATCCACCACTATATCCGGTTCTTGTACCAAAACCACCACTGCCACCACCATTCATCATTGCAACAGGTGAAGCTAATCCACTTCCCCCACCACCACCACGGCTAGAACCACCACTTGATGATGATGATGAAGTGGGACGATTTTTTGTACCACCTTGTTGTAAACTTTGTCCAACATTGATTGATAAAAATATTAATATGGTTGTTGTCGAAATGGTCGACATTCGAGTGAAGAATCGTGCCATTCTGGATGATTATGATGATAATGATGAATGAATGATGATTTCGTTCGGTAAATCACAGATGATTACACTGATGATGATGATTTGGATCAATCAATATACACTGAATATCACAAATATTAATAATATGAACCAAATCAAAAAACAAACATCAAACAAACAAACAAACAATCAGAAAACCAAACACTTGAATTTCAATATCGTTTTTTTGTTTTGTTCAAAAAAAGAAAAATGCACACACACACAACACGAAATACGTTCGTTTCGGATTGTTGTTGAAAATGAAACATTTGTATCATACTTATATACTAGTCGAGGTTTAAAGTTCTAACTTCTGGAACAACAACAAAAAAGGAAAAACAACAACAACAACAACAACACCAACAATGATGATTTATCCAAATCCATTCCTTCCAGAGAAGGAGAAAAAAACGAAAAGAAAATTATAACCTAGAATCTTGTAAATTTTTATAACAAACAAAAAAACAGCAAAAACGAAAAAAATAAGGGTTTCTCCATATTTGTTTCGGGAATTGTTCCATTGTTGTTGTTTCAAACGAAAATTCAAATCATGATCGAGAAGAAGAAGTGAAAGTGCGAGAGAAAAATCATAGAAAGAGAGAGATTGAGAGAGAGAGAGAAATAGAGAAGAGAAACGAAACACGACGAAAAGGGATAACAGATCAAAGATCATCATCGGACATTATCATTGTTGTTGTTCATCAGCCAACAAAATACGGGATGCTGCATTGACCATCTTGACCATCATATGATGAACACGGACATTTGGGAATTGAATAACCATCATTATCATCAGCATTGTCCATTTCGGATCAAAAAAATCATCATTCGTTTTTTGGTGTGGATAAATTAATGTTTCTAGGAACTTTGTTAACACTTTGTTGTTACACAAAACAATCACATTCATCATTGAATTTCATAGCAAAAAAAAAGAAGAATTTCTTTTCTTTACATTTTTTTTCAAAAAAAAATTCACAACATACGTATCTTTGTAAATTTGTGAATGGAAATTCATTTTCATAAATCAAATCAAAGAAAAATGTTTTGTTTTCAGGTTCATCTTGATGATGATGATGATCATCATTATCTGGTGTAAATTATCGTTTTTTATTTGATTTTTGCATTCATTCCGGACAAACAAAACAAAAATTTTGTTCCGGATTTAATAAAAGAATGTTTGTTTCTTTTTTCACTACGAAAAATGGCTTTCGGATATGCAAATTTTATTTTTTCGCACTTTTTTTCCTGCCTTAGTCGTTATTGACCATGTTTGATCGGGATTTTTTTTTCTTCAAAAATTTGCCCGACATTAGCTAGCTGGGTGTTCTTTTTCCGATATAATCGATAGTTGAACGAAATATATTTCGGTAAATAAACACAAAAAAAACGGAAATAAAAAGATTTTTGATTTTCGTTGTTTGTTTTTGTTTTTTTTTGTTTATTCGAAAAAAAGGTTTTTTTTTGTATCAGAATTTTCGTTCTAACCGGTAGTTGTTTATGCAAATGTCATCCTGTTCATATAGGACGTTCAATTTCGAATGATTCGAATGATTTGATGATGACATAATCGAAGAAAAAATCAATCGATATTTACAGAATTTTCTTCTTCTTTTTGATTGGAAAACGACAATCGATTTTCACTATCCAGGTCATCATCAGTGCAAATTAGCATCATTTTTTTTCTCTGTGTGTGCGTGTTTAAAGAAGCAACAACGATGAAAAAAATCTTGACATTAGGTCATAAAAAAAGTAATGTTAACAAACAACAACAACAACATCGACAAACAATGTCGTCATTTCATTTATGAATGAATTTCATTCGAATTGATTCGAATGATGATGCTCAATTCGAATTGATTCGAACGAGCCAATCAATTCTTTTCGTTGTTGCTGTTTTTCTCACACCTTTCGTGTTTTTTATTTATTTGTTTCATCAAACAAATAAAAAAAATTAAAATAAAAAACAAAAAACAAAAGTGAAAATTGGAAAATTTATTCAAAAGTGAAAAAAAAACATCAAAAATTTTAATTCAATTCGACGAAAAACAAATCAAAAAATGGTCATCATCATCACCATCAACAACAACAACAATAAACAAAGTTGGCCATTTCGACTTTGATTGTTTCGAAATGTGAAAATTGTTTTTCGTTTTCGTTTTCTAATCAAAACATTCGATTTTGATAATGATGATGATGATGATCTTTTCAAAAAAAAAGAAAGTGTGTTTATCTAATCGAATGCGAAATGATAATAAAATTTCAAAAAGAAAAAATTTAAATAAATTCAAATTAATCGAAAATATCTTCTTATTGATAATGACAATTTCGTTTTTCGTTATTCGTTTGTTTTGTTTTTGGATCAATATTTCACATGAAAATTGCTCAATTTGAGAAAGAAAAATCCGAGATAAGATGCTGTTGAGTAACATTTTTTCTGTGATTTATCGTTGGAAAAAATCTTCATTTCATCTACCGAAAATCATCAGAAAAATAAACTTTGGACGATCAATGAAATCCGTAATGAAAACAAATTCTTGGAAAAACAGAAAAAAATCAGTTTTTTCCCTTTTCAATGAAATGTCTTTCGATTGAAAAAAAATGAATGGACGAATCTAAATCTAAATATGAATTCATATTCAAATTCAAATCATTATCTTGGATGATGATCATCATCGAAAAATTGAATCGAAAGTAGAATGAAAATCCGATTAATCTTTTCGCATTATTTGGTGTGAGATATCATCACCATATTGGTTTTGATTCGATTGAAAAACTTGAACTTGAAAAGCATTTTTCGATAAAAAATTGAACAAAATAATCATATCATGACCTTGGCCATTTTCTCCAAATGTTGTTGTTGTTGTTGTTTAGTGGAGATATTTTTTTTTTTCAATTTGTGAAACATTTTTTCATTGAAGATAATCATCATCATCATGAATGGATCAAAATCTTCAACAACATGCTGTTCAGTGATCCGGACGATTTTTTTTTGGTCAAATCAACAAAAGATTTTTTCGATGATGATTGAAAGTTATTCAAAAAAATAATAATTTTCATTCATTGCATTCATCGATTGATTCTGAAATTGAATTGAATTGAAAAGAAATTTCAATTGATTAAGTCATCATCATTGATTTAAGATTTACATTATTTTTTTTTTTTTGAATTGAAAATTCAATTGAAAAAACATTTTCAATTGTGATTGATTTTGTGATCGATCATCATTCGATTCAAATTTTTTTTTTGGGGATTTTTATTCGTCTTTTTCTTTAGGATTAATCTTGAGATAATGATGATGATGATAATATCAATTGTTTACTTTATCGATTGTATCGATAGAGAGAGAGGATCGAATGCGGGAAAATTTTTTGATTCGATTTGCGCAAGCGTATTACATTCGAATTGAGATAACGGAAGAAATAAATAGAAGAGGGTGCGTGGATGGTGTGAGGATGGCTGTGTTGAAATGGATAAAAATGTTCGAATTTTCGAACACATTTTGTTTTCTAAATCGAAAAAAAATTGTATTCGAAAGAATCGAGAAGAAAATAAAATCATTCTCATTTTGTTGTTCACAAAGTGAAGATGTGATTATTATATTACGCAACAAGATGATGGTCTTTGGATGGCAGTTTTTGTCCATACACACAAAGTCGTCAGCAAATTTCCCTCGTTTGAAATCTCAACAATATATGAGATTCTTTGTAGAGAATTGCATCAATTTCCAAATCTATTAACCGACCCGTATGCTGTAAACACTACTATACTAAACGGCTTGATGGTTCACTTTAAAACGCAAATCAATGTTACCATGGGGTATGTTACCTGTTGATCCTGAAAAACCAGACCAGTTATTGTTATCACTTGTAAAATTTGTATTTTTTTTTTAATCTTGTATTTTTTCAAAAAATTTTCTAAAATAAAATAAAAATTCATTGAAAAAAAAAACGGAAAAAGTAAAAAATTTCTAAATGCGCAAGCGTATTGTTTATCGAATAAGATAATTGTAAATAGACAAGGTGAAGATGATTGTGTTGAAATAGATAAAAAATGTGTTCGAATTTTCTAACATTTTTTTTCTTCTAAATTCTATAGTTGAAAAAATGTTCGAAAATAAAATCATTGGAATTTTGATGTTTACATAGTGAAGATGTTGATTCTTTTTTTTATCAATATCATGCAATAATAATTGAACAAGTTTCAAAGTTCGGAAAATCAGATAATTGCTTTTCGAATTTGTTTTTTTTACATGATTTCTTTCGATGAATCAAATCGGTATGTAAATGCAATTGCCATGATAATGAAGCTTTTTATTTATTCATGGAACGGCCAATCGGGCGGAATCGAAGGCTTAGCTCAATACACATGGACCGTCGCATATTTGCAACAAACAAAATTATTAACGTCATAGATGGTTTTTTGTGCGACTTTTTCTCTAATGTGCAATCAAGGTTGAGCTCTGTTCATTGAAGAATTCTACTGCTCATCATGAATTTTTAGTATTTTCACCGATGTCTACGTGTGGATGATGTTTGATTACCCAAATATTCTACGAAAAGCAGCAAAAATCCAAGGTACTCAAGATGTCGATGAAGACAAAATCGCATCTGTTTCCTCCAATGCACATTCGAGTGGACCACACGGTTATTGTCCAATATCAAAATGTTGCTTTTTCATTCAAGTTTGATTCCCAAAAAACATCAATAAAAATTCCAAGTGTACTTGGTGGATTTCCAATTTTGATGGTCAGAGAAGAATCTGACCATTTAACAATTGTTATCGACAAATTTTATCGCATTCCCAAACCTCCTATAGTGTTTAAAATATAACTGCCATGTAAATTGAACATTGTATTATTGTAATTGACACATTTTTTATATTTTTTGATTGTTTAAATTTTAAAATAAAAATTAATATCGTTGATAAATAATAATAAAATTGTAATTTTTTGTTTTAAAAAATATATTCAATAATTTCGATTTGATTAAAAGTAATAAATCAATAAAAAAAATTGATCAATCGATAATGATGATTTTCGAAAAATCGAAATTTCAATCAAAAAGAAAAAAAAATTCGATTTCTTCGTTGTTTATTTTATTGAACTTTTTTTTTGTTTCATTCTGATTCGATGTTGATGATGATGTTTTCATCATCCGACAGCGTTTGTGTCCATCCAGCTGTTTTACGTTGGCCATGTTGTTGATGATAATAGTGATTGTCAATGGCGATTGGTGCTGATGATGGCCATGATCATGATCATTGCTGTTGTTTTTGTTGTTTTTTGCATAATAATTTCTTCCTTGATAATCATCAACAGCCCAAAATGTCAATTTTCATTGTCATGGATTTTTGCTCGTTCGTTTTTTGATGCAAAAAAAAACAAAAAAAACAACAACGATGATGATTGGAAATTTGAAAACAAAAATTCGAACGAAAGGTCGAATATTCGAATGATTCGAATTCGAATTGGATGAACGAAAAAATCGATTCGAATCGATTGTTTCGTTCATTTTCATTTTCGTTCGAATTTTAACCGATTTCTTTTTCTTTCCAAAAAACATTCGAAATATTATGATTGTCGTCGAACTTGAAAAAAAATTGATTTTTTTTTCATTTTTTTCAAATAAGGTAAAGACGACGAAAGATTTTCACCCAGTTTTGATAATGATCGACCATCATCATCAACATGTAATTATCATCATCATTCATTTAACAGTGTGTGTTTTCGTTAACAAATGTCAATCAACAAAAACAACAGACATAACAACAACAACAAAAAAATGGATATCAATGTCATTCTGATCATCATCATTATCATTGGGTTTTTTTTTTTCTTCTTCTTCTTTTGTATCAGGGAATATCAATTTGTTTTTGGCTGTTCGCCCTGAACATATTTGCGTGTGTATATAACATATAAATATCCGAAATATGGACAAGGTCAAATCTCATCGATCATCGATAGTTTGTTGTTGTTGTTGTTGTTCCGAATCCTTTTTATGGTAATTTTTTTTTCGTTGAAAATGATGATGATTGCTCTCTCTGTGTGTGTCTGTCAGTCAGTTGATCACCAATTGATTGAAACAATTTTTTTTCAATTTCCAAATTTCAAATTCATCGCCGTCTGCTGATCTTGTTTTGTTTTTTTGTTTGCTCATTTCGAAGTTCATTATCATTATCATTGTTATGGTAATATGGAAAATTATTCATTTAAATATGGTGATGGTGATGTATGGTGGTGAATACTGACAACGAAAAGCAGCAAAAACTTTGTTTTTTTAATTTTTCCATTCGCGCACTTGATGATTTTTTCATTTGCATTTTCGTTCGTGCGCGAACATAGATTTGTTTGTTTGTTTTTTTACAAAGTTTCCTTTCAGGATCAGAATTCCGATAATGTTCACGATGATGATGATAACATCGAACGAGAAAACATGGATCATTATCATAATCATAATCACCAAACTAATCAACAGAAATAAATGACCACAAAGGAAACAAGAAATTATCATTCATAATCGTCGTTTGATATGAAAAAAAAAACAATATTTTTTCCCATCATCATCATCATCATTGAAGATGAACAAAAACCAAACTAAACTGGACACAATGAATGATTTTTTGTTAAATGTAAAAAGTGATAATGATTATCATTATCATTATTTTGTTTGTCCATCTCACGAAAAAGTAACAAAAACGAAAAAAAAACAAAAAAGATTTTGCTGTTCTGGATTCCATTCAAATGGAAATTGGATATATTTTTTTCTGTATCACTTTCCATTATCAACAAAATCCTTTTCCTTTTTTTTTTGTTTTGTTTGCAAAAGAAAAAATTCAATTTCTATGTCAGTCGGTGTGTTGAGATTTTCTTTTTCGTTTTTGTCGGATGGAAAGGAAAAAAAAACATTCGGACATTAATCATCATATAATGATAATGATAATGAAGATAATGGATGTTTGAAGATGATTAAGATGGATAAGGATGAGAGAATGATCAAAAACCTTAAACAAACAAAATGCTAATCAAGTTCGTGTTTGGCGAAAACATGTGAAAAAAATTAATCTAATTTATAACCACCAATTGAATTAATTGGATGATAACAATGGTAACAATGATGACAGGATAAAGAAAATTAAATGCCGAAACAAACAAAAGAAATGTTTCATCAAAATATCATCATCATCATTTTTCGAATGTTTTCGCAAAAAAAACGATTCGATTTGAACATGCTCAGAAGATGGGATTTTTTTTTTGATTACATAATTCAATCAATCAATCCGATCGATCGATCGATAATCGATTTTTTTCTTTTTTTTTTGCTATTTTGTTGTTTTGATCGATATTCAAATCAAATCAATCAATCATGATTTGATTTTTGAACAAACATCGAACATCATCATCATCATCAAATGTCATACGTCAAGGTCAGATGAAAATCAATTTCGATTTGGAAAACAGAAAAATTCCTGAAATAAAAAAAAAATCCAAGAAATCGAAAACAAAATGGTCATCACATTGCAAGTGATTTTCATGCAAAAACTTCCTGGATAAATCGTGGAAGAAAAAGCTGAAAAGTTTTATTCTTTTGCCCTTTACCAATACAACACGGTACCCGGTATAACATGGTTTCGATATAGAACACGATCGATTGATTAAAAAAGAACTAAAGAAAAGAAGGCCAAGGACAATCCAAAGGCTTGTTTCACCTAATTTTATTCATTTCAACTGCCACCAAATTTAGATTTGATTTTTTTTTTTGTTTGTAAAAAAAACAAACAAAAAGGGTTAATTTTGTTGTTGTTTTTTTTGACACATCATCATCATCATTTTGATTGATTGATGATGATGACACTATTTGTTGTTGTTGTTGTAATTATCATTCAACAACAACAACAATGATGATGATGACAAAATCTAATTTCATAATAAAAATCATCAGTCAAGTCAGTGATCCAATCATCATCATCATTCTGAAAATCATAAATTTCTAAATTAACAAAAAATAAAGGTCATCAAATCATCAATCATATTTACTTTATTTATTCATTTTTAGTCAACAAACAAACAAACAAACAACGGACGATATTATGCTGTTGATGATGACCTTAACCTTTTTCCATTTTCCATTCATCCATTCATATTCTGTCAAGATTGAAAAATTCACAAATCCAATGACGATGATCATCATGCATGCATGATGGTGAATGATGATCGACCATAACGGTCGACTATTTCAACAACAATGATGATGATCGAAATTTTGATCATTAAAAAAAACATTTTTTTTTTTCTTGTAAATTACTTTCACTGGGATAAAATAACCAAGATGAAACTTTGATTTGAATTTTTTTATTGAAAAATATTTTCGGTAAAGAAATTGATTTTCAATTCCAACCACGAATCTGATCACGATCACGATCATTATCGATAAATGATTTATCGATTGTTTCAATCATCAAATTACCACAAAGCAAACATTCATTACCGATTAAATCTTCTAAATTTTCATTCAATTTTTCCAAACGATTTGTTAATGTTATGGATGATGATTCTGTTGTCGTTGATTGTTGCGGTTGTTCAAACGTTGATGAACTTTGATTTGGCTTGAGCGAACCAGGTGACATCAGTGTTTGTAATTGATTTTGAATGGATTTTATTTCGGATAAAATTGCCTCCAAACGAATACGATTATCAGGATCCAGATATTCAACAATTTCTTTAAGCAAACATTTATAATGAAATAAATGTCCACATGATGGAAAGGAAAAAAAATGTTCATTTATCGCAGGGAATAAACATATTGAACATGAATCGGATGAATTTATTATTTGAAAACGATTACGCAGACGGGCAATTTCATCACGAATTTGTTCAGCAGATTCGGTTGCTAATTTCATATCATCACGTAATGATTCAATATTTTCATTATAATTTTCTAATGATTGACATATGGCTGATTTAAAATGATCAATGGTAAGATATTCCGGGAAATATGGTAGAATATCTTCAATTTTTAATAATGAACATTCCGAAAGTATGCTTGTTGCCATTGTTATATCGAAATTTTTCGTCTGACCATTTTGTTGATGATCATCTTGACCATGATGGTCATCCGAATAGATATTTTTAATAACATGTTTAGCAATTTTTAACCATAAACGTTTAGCCAGATCTTGATTCGAATGATGGTGATGATAATTGGAATGATGATCATTGATAATCGATTGTTGTTGTACTTGATTTGCCATTTGTTTTGCTAGCTGTACATCATTAACATGTAATGCTTGTTCAATTGCTTCTTCATATGCACCCATTGTTGATAATAGCTGTACTAATGCACTTGGTGGTACCGAATTATTTGAATTTTTTGGATTTTGTTGCTGTTGTTGTAGACAAATTCTAACAGCATAACTTGGATCAAATGGAAATTTCCATGTTGTCGACGACTGATTATCAGTAGCATTCGATCCAAACAGATCGCCAGCAGTACCACCAGTTTGTTGTTGTTGTTGTTGAATATTATTCAAATATAAAAGTAATTTATCCGGTTTATATTGTATCATTAATGTTAGAAAATAATTATGTACAATTTCATCACGAATGTTCAGATCGTAAACACAAAATTCCAAAAAACGTAAAATTTCTTTGCATTGATGTTCACGACGTTCATCTTGATTATTTTTTCCAGAATCATTACTATCATCATCAGTAAAATGATCAAAATGTACCAACGATGGAATCAATCTGGTCATATCTAATTCCGATGCCAACGGTATTAAACAATCAATCAATTCTTTTGGCAGATTTTGTATCAAAATAGGTGAATATTTATAATAAAATTCCAAACATTCTTCACGTCTCATTAAACAAAGCATCTGATGATAATTTTTTCCACGATAATAATGTTCAAGCAGACAATCAAAATCACCAATTTTTTCGGCAAAATATTCATAAATTTGTTGATTATCATGATTCAAAATAATATTGTAGAAAATTTTTCGATTATTTTGTAATGATTTTCTATAATTTGGATTGGAAATTAATTGTTTTAATCCATTTTCAATTTCCTGTTGTTGTTGTTGTTGTTGATGCTGTTTATTTTTCAACTTATCATCACCATCATCATCACCAATGATTATGGATGACAACGATGATTTCAATCGGGCCAATTGATTAAGCATCAATTCAAATAACCATAATAATAAAATGATTATCTGTGTTTGTTGTTTTTCCACGGATAATTTTTTCAATTTATTCAATAAAAATTCTTTCAATGCATCTTGCTGTTGATCATTATTATTATCATTATTATTATTACGCAGTTCAATAAATTTCAATGTAATTTCTTCAAATGAAATTGCCTGTGTTTCGGTAAAAAGTTGTGCACTTTTTTTATAACTGTAAAAATTTCAATGGGAGAAAAATCAAAAATCAAAAAACCAGAATCAAGAATCAAATTTTTTACTTACTTTTTATTAGCAAAATTATACAATGCTTCTTCACAAACAATACGATCCATTTTTATCAGATCATTTCGGGCATAACGTTTAGCTAAATCAAAATCTTTTCGTTGCAGATAAATTTCCCAAATATTACGATCTTCACGATCAATACGATAACGATAAACAGAATTTTTTGTATATAACCATATTGTATTACGTTGTGGATCTTTAATTAAATCTTCAACAATTTCACCACCAATAAAACGATCTTCCCATATTAATTCACGATTTAATAAACAATAAACTTGCAGTTTTTGTGAATATAACAACATTAAATGAAATCGAGTTAATATTAATGATTTTGGTATTGATCGATGACGATTTGTTGCTGCAGATGATGTGTCTTTTGATGTTTTCGACGATGACATTGATGGATTTAAATCTGAATATAAAATTACTTGTGCATTATCGAAAATTTTTCGTTCATTATTATTATAAGCAAGATTTTCCGGTATTTCACCATAAAATATACCCGGTTCAGTTAACCAACCAAATGATAATGGATAATTACTATTTCTATTTGATTGATCTTGATTTGTCGATATAGATGATGATGATGATAATGATGGCTGATATAGATCTAATTTAGTTACCGGAATATAACCAGGCATTTCTTTAAATGTTTTTTGATTGTTTATTGTTGTTGATTGTATTATCTGATAAAGATATGGTTGTCCATCGATTATTGTCGATTGGCCAGCAGGATTATTGTTACTACCAGCAACGAAATCGATATTAGAAGTTTGACCACCTCCACCACTATTTCCACTACCACCGGCAACCTGTATAGATGAAGATAATCGTCCAATATATTGATAGATAAAATTACGGGTTGCAATCAATATACAATATTCTAAATCAAAAGAATTTTTCAATCGAAATATTCTTATCGAACAAATTGGTTCATGTTTGATTGTTGTTGTCGGAATTTGATGATTAGAAGAAGAAATGTTTGCTGCTGCGGTTGTTGATTTGTTTGGATCATATGAATTAGATGCTGATGATAATGATAATGAATCGGGATTTTGATGATTTGTTGTTGATGATTGTGGTGATAAATCACAGATAAATTTCCAAAATGATAATTCACGTGATTGAAGAAAACGATCATCTGATTGTAGATGTGTTTCATACAATTTTCCTTCATTCGTACCGATTAATAAATTTCCACATTGTCCAGTTGGTTGTTGTTGATCAATCCATCCAACAGCAGTTATAATATGACCTTTCATTTTATTCAATTGCGATAATTTACGATAATAATAAAAATTTTCAAACGGTATTATTGGATTATCATTGAATGGTAAATCATGTTTTAAACGTTGTCCAACAGTTATTAAACAATGTTGACCAGTTGGATCGATAAATATTCCCAGAATAACTGGACGATTTGGTGATTTAATCGATACTAGATATGGATTTAAATCCAATTCGATTGGTTTGTTTGGATTCATCAGATCAATCTTGAGTAAATGAAAATTTTCCATCGACAATAAAAGTTGATTATTCGATACAACCATATTGGTTATCGGATAATTTGGACGAAAATCAATTTTATTTTTCATAAAAATTGGTTCCATTTGATCGGATCGCAGATTAATAATACCACCGGTTTGCTTGCCACCACCATATTGATCTAGGATCGATGCCATTTTCTTTGATTCTCGAAAAATTCAATTTCAAACAAAATTGATTAAAATGACCAAGAAAAGACAGAAAACACCTCTTCTTGTTGATTTACAGCTGATTTTGAAATTGTTGTTGTTGTTGATCATGTAACGCCATCTTTGAGCAAAAATTCCAATCAATTAGAGAAAAAACAGCATCTTTTTTTTGGCAAATGTTTATTATTTTTGTCAATCATCTGGACATCTAAATCAATGTCAAAAAATGTGATGATTTTCTTCATCCGAATCAATAGATGAATATTCTTCGTTTTTCCATATTTATGTGGCCTTATTTACTTATTTACGAATCAAAATTTTGATTCGATTTTGAAATGTAAAATTTCGAATCGAAAAACTCACGAATCAATCACGGGTATGTGTCATATTTTTTGCCACAGTTTTTCTCCATATCGAAATCGAATAGAATCAAGGAAATACAATGTATTTATAAATTATCATCATTCGAGGATGATGATCATCATATCTCATTATCATTTTGATTGCGGATATTTTTAGCAAATTCAATTCTGCATAATCATTCTTTGTTCGGAAATTTTTCTAAAAATATCATTTTATTTATTCCACATTTAGGTTGTCCATGATCAAAAAGTAAACATCGACCATAACAAACAACAATAATTCTGAAAGAAAAATCAACAACAAAAATGAAATTATCCAATAATAATCAAAATAATCGTCGACATCGACAAAATATCGATTATTATCGTTTCGAATGTTGTAATTATCATTCGATTGCATTCTATTTAGCATTAATATTATTACTGTTATTATTATTATCATGTATATCATTAATTGTATTGATATTTGTTGTACCATGTCCAGAACCTTATAATCAATATTCATTTGATAATGATAATGATGAAATAATCATCATCAATAATGTAACGAATGAATGGAATCTACAATGGATTCGACAACATCATTCAAAATTATTCGAATGGAAATGTTCGGTTACGGTTGATGATAACCATAACTATGATGATAATAACGATAATGGCACTGAACCGTTGATGACATTATCATCTACAAATGTAACATCACCATCGACTACTTAAACTATGGATTTTTGAAAATTTCATTTTTGCCATTTTGCTGTTTGTTTTCTTGCTTTGTTTGTTTTGTTTTATTTAATTTTCAAATCCTCATCATCGAATGAATCAATGTCCATTTCTTGTCCCCAAATGAATCTATCTAAAGGTTTTATTAATATCCTTACATAACATACGCACATCATACCTATGTTTCTATAAAGTTTTTTTTTCTGCTATTTATAATCAAAGATTTTTGAAAAGATAACGCACACACACATCTACATCGTATATAAATGAAATAAAAATATTCGCCTTATTTTACACATACACAGACAGACAGAGATATCCTGTATTCAAAAAAAATAAATCTTTGTGTTTTCAACAAGGTTGTTCCGGTTGCCTTGACAATCTTATCAAAGTACCTGTTGTGTTGTGTTCTTGTTGTTGTTACACATTTTGGTTGTAATTATTTTTGTGTTGTTTCAGTTTGACTTTGATTTTTTTCTTTTTTTGTTTGCTCCTTTTTTCTCTGTGAGATTTTTTTTTCTCAAACAAAATTTTCTTTTTTTTGTTTCTAAATTTGGAAAAAAATCAAATTCATTTTTTTGGAGGAAAATTCCCGGAAACCGAAAAAAAAAATGTTTGAAAACTTTTTTCATTCATTTTTGGTCATTTTATTATTCATTTTAATCATTCAGTTTGATTATGGTCAAACAATCGATGTTTTGGATGATAATTTTACCAGCGTAAATAATGTAACCAATAATCCACAATGGAAATCATGTGATACGAATCGAAATTGTACCCAAATGAAACAATTTTGTTTTGAAGGTCGATGTCATTGTCAACCATCTTATAAGTAAGTTTTCTTTTAAATAAAACGAAAAAAGAAATCATTCAATTTCCTCTATAGATGGAATCCCATCAATGGTCAATGTGAATATGAAAATTGTTTGAAGGATCTCAGCGTATGTCAATCAGTTGGACGTGAATGTCGTTCATTATCATCATCATCATCATCATGGTTGAATATTTTGCCAAGCCATCCAATCAAATATGATTGTCAATGTCCTGATGATCAACAAGAAGATCAAACCGGGGCATGTCGTTATAAATGTCAAACTGATCAAGATTGTCAACGAATAGATTCGGGTAGTAAATGTTCTCGAATCGAATCATTATGTGAATGTCCATTAAATTATCATCGTAGTAGTAATGGTAGTTGTGAACGATTTGAATGTAAATATGATGAACAATGTTATCGTTGGGATGATCTAATTGATCGTCAATGTCAAATGGGCGAATGTCATTGTAATTATGATCAAGATGAATTCGGTAGATGTACAATTTATTGGTATCGATTATATCGTTATCGATTCGATACCGGTGTTCATCGAATATTTTTAATGACCATTTTAATTGTACCGGTTGTATTTATTTATTGTTTTTTTGCCAATTTTCGTCGTTTACAACGTTCAACATCATTTCAATCAATCAATCATCGGTCAAATCAATATTTTCCAACGGCAAACATTCATAGATTTAATGAAAAAATAGCTAGAGAAAAACATTTAACTTATTATAAAAATATTGAAAATTTAGCTAAAATAATGAAACAAAAACAACAACAACAACAATCAACAACAACAATGTTGAATAACGATAAAAATCATCATTTTAAATATCAAAGATTTCAATAAAAAAGGTTACCTATTTTGATTTCGATATCAAACATTTTTTACAGGTGTAATTTTGAAAAAAATCCGGCATTTTACATAGATACAACACGTCAAAAACATTTCAAAAATGAAATGAAATGAAATTTTTTATATCCGTAAAATCCAATGATTTCTGTTGATTTTGACAGGTGTTTTTTGTTGTTGCAGGTTGATTGGTTTGATTGCAATGTCAGGATGATGGTTTTTTATTGAAGTCGAATCCGATCATTTGATTGATGTTTGTGCCGACCGAATGATAATTTGTAATTTAAAAGAAAATAACTGTTGTTTTTTTGAAAATTACAAATTAATTAATGAAAAATGTTGTTGATATCATTATCGTACATTGGCCATATTATTATCTGATTAATAAAGACATTTTTTTACAAAAACAACAATAAAAATATTTGTTTGTTGTTTTGTTTGTTAATCTTAGTAAATCCTATTTTAAAAGAAACAAAAACAAAATGAACGATTAACATTAAAACACAAAGGTAAACATCATTAACCGCATCAATTTTTCATTTGGTATATTAAAGCATCATTTAGCAATTGGAAACTAATTTGCAAAAAAAAAAATTGAAAAAAAATGTCATTTTTCGATCGAAATCACCGAATTCTAAATGAAACTCATCAAAATTCTCAAACTGTACATTTGATGAATGGTATTGGTTATTGATTCAATTTTCCCAATCAATTTTAATTAATTTTATTTAAAAATTTTCAGGAAATTTACAATTAATATTAATATTATCAATGATAATATTAATGTTAATAATATTGATTAGTTTTGCAATGTTAATTCGTCGTAATGTTTGGTTACAATCATCGAAATTATTTCAACGTAATCCAGGTATTCATCAACAATATCCATCAACAGATAATCATAATAATAATGGTCATCATTATCTAAATCCATATCAACGACATTATTATAGTCGAAATAGTCACCGATTAAGTTTATATCCATTATCATCATCACCATTATCATCATTATCATCAGATATTAATCCATCGACGTTATATTGTTCGCCATCATCAGCAACTATATTTAATTTATTTACGCCACCACCACCACAGCAACGATCATTATCATCATATCGACCATTTTCGATGACAAGATTTAATCAATCCACAGCAACAGCAAATAATCATCAATCATTGATTATTGATGATGTGGATGATAATTTACAACGACAACGACAACAACAACCACCGCCATCATATTCAGAAGTGGTGCTTGTTGATGATGATAATGATCAACAATTGAATCAACAAAAATCTAACGAAAAAATTGCTGATAATGTTAAAGTAGAGATTAAAACATTATCATCATCATCATTACCGCCATTGCCAAGTTATCAAGAATTGAAATTTATTTGAAAAACAATTATTTTTATTATCTTTTTTTTGTATTAAAAAACAATTTTTATTTATTTATTACAATTTTTTTTTACAAAAGGAAAATGATTTTACAAAAGTTTGCGCTTGCGCATGCTATTTTTTCTTCTTTTTCCGGTTTTTTCGTTTTCACGTGCGCAATTCGGTTTGGATTGGAAAGACAGAGCTGAGCGATCCCGAAATGACCATTCAGTTATGGTTATTAAATCTTCGTACGTATGTTACATAAGGGCCATATCCGTATAAATAATTTTGTTGCATTTTGAAAACTCTTAACACGTACAAACCATTTGTACACTGAAACCAGGTAATAATCAGGTAAAAGTAACTAATCAATATATAATGTGATCATCAATGATTATAGTTATGATGTTTATTATACTCAAATATCATAACGAAATTAAATCTTCGTGCGTATGTTACACACACACAATAAAATGGGTAACAATTACAACTCTTTACATTAATCTGATGAATGGAACCTTAAATAATTTAGTGTAATTATAAATTACTAAATATATTAACTTATATCAGGAGATTGGTTAGAAAATAATTAAGGTAAGTATGGCCATTAGTTATGCATATAGTTATGATGCATATTACGCATATAATGCGTATGTTACATAATGGCCGTATTAACACTCTTTAACTCTCTTACAAAACACTCTTTAACTCTAAAGCATCAACTCTTATTCATATTCAAATTCGTAGGGGAGTGGAACTTTTCTAATTCGGTTCCGAAAAAAAGGTTCAATATCAAACAAACTCTTCAGGTAAATAATTAACACGTAATCTTCATACTGGAAAAATCAGCCATTTGGTGAATAGCGGTGAAACTTTCTTCATCATCGTTTCCATTCTTGTTAATGGTTCAGTTGAGAAAAATTGATGGGCGTTATAAGGCGCAAGGTAAAATGAGAAATAAAAATCACAACGATAAGATGATGTTTGTGGGGTGTCGTTGTAGCAAATAAATTTTTAACCCAAAAAATTAATACTTTTTTGGTTGTCTTTATATACAAGAAAAGGTTTTCTTTTCCTGGTAACTTGGTAACCCATTGATCATGTGTGTTTGTGCGTGTTATCACTATTTTTTTCAGTTTTTCTTGTTAAAAACTTGACTTTTTTTCCAAAGAAAAACTTTTTTATTTTATTTAACAACCAAAAAGCAAAAAACAAATAGCAACAATCAGGATAATCATATTGAATTAATATAAATCCAATCAAATTAAGTGTTAAATATTTTTTTATTATGGATATAACAATGAAAAAATGATAAAAATTACATGAAAACTCAATTTTATTTATTCAATTGGAAAAAAATTTACAAAATTTGAAGTCACTCTTAACATCAAACAAAATGGATTCTAAAGTTTTTTTCAATACCTTGTATTGAATGTAAGCTTGTCCAATCGTCGAAACCCCTAATATCGCCAAATGTTTTTTTAAAGAATTTTGTGGCCACGTGATCACACCACTGGTACAGCTCTTATTTTTACGCCTTTATGCAATAATTTCAATTCATTACCCAGAAGATCTATTGAAAATAATTTTAATAGATAAACATAATAAGAAAAATACAATGTTTTTATATAGAAATTAAATATTGTGATGAATTAAAGTTCAAGCCATATAAATGTTTTTGAAATATAGTAATAGTTCATTCATTAACAAGATCATATTTTCGTCCCATCGTTGTTTCAGTTCTGGGTAAAAGATCTTTATTTGTGATGTCAATTTCTATTAACGTAATTTCGTTAATTTTACTATCATGAATTAATAAATCCGGCTTATTATGATCAATTTTATTCGTAAATAATAATAATAGTAATATAATTAAAAGAAAAAAAATAACAATAATAACTGAAAAAAAACACAAGAGAAGAAAAAAAAATCATTTAAATAAAAATAAAAAGTACGAAAAATTTATAAAAATTTCATAACAGATTATAGGACATCGTACAATAAATGTTCGAAGCGTTTAATTTAATAAATGAAGATAGATGTTTATATTTTTCAAACATTTTTGTCGAATCATTTCTTTCACAAATGGATCTAAGAAAAAATCAGTGACTTGGTTTTTGACTCGGAACTCATTTAATTTCGAAATAGATTTTGAATTGCCATGAATTCAATTGCCAATATTGATCAGGTATTTGGATTTGTTCAGCTGATGATTATCCTTTTTTAGTTTATTTTTATCGAAATAAACTCTTCGATGATTTTTTTATTAAAATCATATTTGTGGCAAAATGATTCATAACAATAAGAAATTGTGCAAATTTTCTTTAGAACAGTTTTTCAAATGACGATTATTGGAATGGATTTCATTTGTTATCTACATTTTCGAAATTTTCCATTAATTCTTTTAAGGACCTATTTTTCCTCACAGATTCGGTTTTTTTTTGAAAGGGATGTAACCCGTTTGAATATCATAATCGCCAAAATTTAAAAGCTGTTTTATAATTGCAATAAAATTGGTCATATGATTATGTGATTCCGCATAGTTATTTGTAATCGGAAAATCTATGAAACAATTATAACAATAAGAATAAATTAAATGATTAAAAAAAAAACTTACACAAATTAATCATATCAACAGTTCGGTGCGACCCTCTTTTTACTAATTTTATGTCACAATGGAAATTATATAATCTGAATTCCCATCTCATGTTGAGTGATAGTAAAATGATTATGAACACAGAAGATACAATGCTTTTTATATCATAGCAAACAGCAAAAAGAAAATGATCGATTTTCTTTCTTTTTCAAGTTCGAAAATTCTATTTTTTCTTACCAAAACAATATTGTAAACTATGTAGGTGTTGTTGTTCGAAAACATGTTCGTTTTCGTTTTTCGAATTTCATTTCGAATAACAAACGTGGTTAATGTAACCGTAACCACTGGTGTGTAATGTGATGACGTAGAATTCAAGGGTTATATAAAGTCACCATTTCGAATTGTTTATTCATTTTGATTGTGTTTTGTAAAAAACGATTCGCTTATTCTACTATCCGTATAATAATCATTTGTTATTTGGTGGCAGAAAATGAGATTCGAGCAAAGAAATGATTTCGTTTTTGTTAACAACGGTTACTAATCGAATTTTGTCGTTATTTCTAATCTTTATTCTGGAGCAAAATATTTTAGTAAAGAAAATAACGTTGCATGACGTACTTATGGTATTCATTGCCAGATTTTTATCATCAGACCTTCAGATGGGAGCGAAAGCACCAAATTAAAATATATTAACAAGACAACAGAAACAACTGGAACAACAGAGATCTGTCTAATTTAATGATGAAAAGAAACAGATTAAGTTCATTAAGGCAATAAATGGTTATAAGAATTACAAGTTCGACAATCTGATTCTGTATTCTGATCAACAATGAGAAATACAAATCAAACATAATCATGACTTTTCAATTGAAAAAAAATGAGAATGGAAAACATTCAATTTTTCAAGCCTGAATACAGTTAGAAAAATATTGATCAAAGTATACTCACTGACGAAAACTTGATTCAATTACCAATCAATTTCATATATGGATGATATTTCAAGCATATATTGCGAAGGAGATGTGTATTTGCCTATTGAAATGCTGTATTCAAACTGCTATAAAAATACTACATCGTTATATCTGCATTCAAATTGCTATAAAAATACTACATCGTTATATCTGCAGATTGGAACGCTCAACGATCGCACTAAAACATTTATCAAACGTTATTCATTTTTTTAAAATGAAAATTTCATTTATTTTTCTCTTGTTTTTCATTGAAATAAAATTTTGTTAAACAAAAAATGACATTCTGTTTGTTTAGATAGATTTTTTGTGGTGAAAAATTTTCGTAATTTTTTTTGATTGTGATGGAATTATTATTATTATTATTTAAATCATTTGATGGTAATGGTGGTGATGATTATAATTAAATTAATTTATAGTTATAATTTATAATAAATATTTTTGCTTTCTTCTTAATTTATAATGGTGATGATTATTATAATGATAATGATGGTGATAATGATGATGATGGTGTTATCTGATTTTTTATTTTTATTTTATAATCTGAATAAATATTTTGTGGTATTTGATTGATTGATTGATTGAATTTACGAATAAGCTTCAAGCTTTCGGTAAAAACTCAACCAATAACAATAATTATCTGATGGGTGTGTGTGTGTGGTAAATTTATGTGGTGAAAAAAATGATGATGATGATGATGATGATGATGGTTTTTGAGGTTGATGATCATCATCATCATTGATGGATGGATGGTGATGAGATTCTGTATATAAATCGATCATTACTGATGGTGATTGATTGATCAACGTACTGGACGATAGCTGGTGACAATCGAAATGAATTTGATCATTTTTTTTTTAAATCTTAATTTGATCACTTGATGATGGTGATGGATGATGGCAATCGATGATAATGAGGATGACTTTGTCTGATTAACGATTACAATTTCTTCTTGTGTTTGTGATTAAGATACAAGAAAGAATTCGGCTTTTTTTAAATGTTCGGATTTTGGTGTTTATTGGAGTTTGGCTGTTTTTGTTTGATTATTTAAGGTAAAAAAAGGTTTTTGATTAATATCCACCGGACATTCCACCGCCACCTTTTCCTCCACCGCCATAACCTAATTTTAGATTGAAAAATGGGATTTTTAGTTTGCTTTCAAGGAAATTATTTTCAATTATTTACCTCCACCACCTCCTCCTTTGCCTTTTCCGCCACCGCCACCTCCATAGCCACCACCACCACCTCCGCGGCCACCGCCGCCGCCTCCATAACCGCCACCGCCGGAGCCACCACCGCCATAACCTAAAGAAAAGATAAGCACATTATTGAATTTGAAATTGAAAATGCGAAAATCAAATCAAATGGATTAGTAAATAATAAAAACATGTGATCTGAAGAATGTTTCTCTTTCTAACAAGTAGTTGGTTGGTTGTTTGGTTGATTGATTAGAAATGATTAATAGTTTGTTATTGATAATACCTGAATAATATTGTAGATTATCTAGAATTGTTGTTGATGATGAATATTGTATTTTGTCTAACCAAAATCAAAACGAAAAAACGTTGGTGAGGGTGTTAGTAATGTTTTTGTTAGTTAGTTTTGATTAATTAATGGATTAGATATTCCTGAGTTGAATATATTTAGTAAGTAACTAATTGTAATCTAATCTCAATTTCTATAATTATCATGCATTTTATAATCATCATTTTTCATCATCATACCTCCACCGCCGCCCATTTTACCACCACCACCACCACCATATCCACCGCCTCCTGAACTACCACCACCGCCATATCCACCGCCACCACCACCCATTCCACCACCTATTTAAACAGATGATATTTTAGAAAATTTTCGAAAGAAATGTCTTTGAAAGATTTGAATTACCTCCATAGCCACCACCACCGCCGCTGGAGCCACCATATCCTCCACCGCCACCGCTTGAGCCACCACCGCCATATCCACCGCCACCACCACCCATTCCACCACCTGTTTGAATGAAAAACATTTCAGAAAACATCGAAAGATTATGGAAAATGTGAAAAATTACCTCCATAACCACCACCGCCGCCGCTGGAGCCACCACCGCCATATCCACCTCCACCAGAGCTACCACCGCCATATCCACCACCACCACTCATTCCTCCGCCTATTTTTAAATTAAGCATTATTTTAGAAAATTTTAAAGAGATATCACGGAAAAACGTGAAATATACCTCCACCATATCCACCACCGCCGCCGCCAGAGCTACCACCACCATAGCCTCCACCACCACCGCTTGAACCACCTCCGCCGTATCCACCTCCTCCACCACTCATTCCTCCGCCTATTTTAAAAATAAGCATTATTTTAGAAAATTTCTTATAAATATCATTGAAAAACGTGGAATATACCTCCATAACCACCTCCACCGCCACTAGATCCACCATATCCACCACCCCCACCGCTTGAACCACCTCCTCCATATCCACCGCCACCACCACTCATTCCACCTCCTGTTTAAATGAGAAACATTTCAGAAAACTTCGAAGGATTATGGAAAATGTGAAAAATTACCTCCATAGCCTCCTCCGCCGCCACCCATTCCACCTCCGCCGCCATATCCTCCACCACCAGAGCTACCACCGCCATATCCACCGCCGCCGCCACTCATTCCACCTCCTATTTAAACAGATGAGATTTTCAGAAAAAATTGAAGAAAAATCATAGAAAGATGCGAAATACCTCCATAGCCACCACCACCGCCGCTAGAGCCACCTCCGCCATATCCTCCACCACCGGAGCCACCACCGCCATATCCACCACCGCCACCACTCATACCACCACCTATTCAAATAGACGATATTATAGCAAACTTATTTTTGTAGAAAAATCATTTAGAAGATATGAAATACCTCCATAGCCACCACCACCACCGCTTGAGCCACCACCACCATAGCCACCGCCGCCACCACCACCGGAAGCGAGACTAGTGTGTGCGGCAGCTACCAAACAAAGGCAGGCCACTGCAAAACGCATGATTTATTATTTATTTGAAAAAGAGATGAACGAAATTTATTGATCACACAGACGAGATGAGAATCACAATTTTTCTTTCGATAATAATCGATGATGAGGTGAATAGATTTGATCGGTTGACCACTGAATACAAAATGGCCACAAGATTATAAAAATTTACAATGAACAAAATAAAATGAAATCAATGTGAGTGTGTGTTTTTTTTTGGACGAATTTGTTAGAAATATTATCTTAGTTCAATGAATGAATGAATGAAACACACCAAACAAAACAAAAAATAAAAAAACACACACACAAAATTCACACAACACTGATCATCCGAAATTTTGATTCATTGATTGTCCGATTTATATAGTGTGTGATGTGTGGTGATGTCTTATTTTTTGGATGATGATGATTTTGGATGAGGGAGAGAGAGAGAGAGAATCAAATGAAAAGGGAAAGGGAAAAAATGCAAAGAGTCAAAACAAAAAGAAAAAAGTTACCGAAAACAGGAAAGAGAAAGTTTTCAACAAAAAGAAAGCGATTATGTAATGATGATGATTTCTGATGTGAGAACCTGATTTATTTTCAGAGAGAAAAAACATTGATTACATTGAAATTTTGAAAATTTTAGTCCAGATTTTCTTACTTCGAGATTCCAAATCGAATGAATTAATTTGAAAGTGAAAAAAAACAAACAAACAAGAACTAATTATAGTAACCTATGTAATTTAATTTGATTAATCAATCAATCAATCAATCCATTGATCGATCGATTTGATCATATAAGGTGAACAAAAAGTTCCAGTTCGGTAATCATTTTTCTTATCTTGTATTTTGTAACAAGGAAAAGTAAATCATTGTGTGTGTGTGGGTGATGATCATACACGGGTGTAACGGGAAAATTTTTCCATTTGATTTGATTTTGTTCTCCACCCGAACAAAAAAACTTTTAGATCATCAAATCAGGTGTGCGTAGATCATCATCATCATTGTCGTGATGTTCCAAACGAAAATTTCTTACCATAGCAACAAGCAACAGGTTGATCCAAACAAACAAAAACAAAAAAAGCAAAAACTGGTTCACACAAACACCAGTTGTTTCAAGTTTTTTTCACTTTATTTTGATTTCAACAAAATCTTTTGTTATCTCTTTTTTCAAATCTAATCGGATGAATAAAATGTTGAACGAATCAAGTCGAAAATGGAAACATTTTTTTTCCTTTTTTCATCTGCTTTAATCATCCACATTTGGATTGGTAAAAGAAAAAATTGCAATTTCCATATGTTATGTGCTAAAAATATCCATCCATAGCACGAAATACTCCTTTATTTTCACATCTAGATCATATGATTATCATTACACACACTTATATATAAAAAGATTATTTAGAATTAATGAAATTGTTTGGATCTTTGGCTTGGCTGGAATTTTCGTTTTCGTTGAAATAATGATTTTCTGTATGAATGGATATCCTGACTGGTCATAATGATGGTGATGATAAAATAAAAGATGAACGAAGAAAAAAAATAACAGCGAAACGGTTTTATCTCTAGATCTATTCATTGATTTAAATTCGTTTTTTTGGAAAAATGAAAAAAATTGCTTCCGATACGCCCAACATACACACACACACACACATACAGAGGGATTTTTTCTGGATGAATTTTTGTTTAACATGAAAAAATCGGGGAAATGAAATTGGATGGAATAAATAAATTGGTGGAAAAAAAGGGAAAATTTTATGATCGTTGCTTTTTGGACGATGATGATGAATTAGATTAGATTAGATAAGAAAAGATTTTTGTTTTTCGAAGAAAATACAAAAAAAATGACCATTTGAATCGAAATAGTCGACAGATTTTCTTTTATTATTATTATGCAATATGAATGATGATGATTAATGAATTTTCATTTTTTTGAAAATAATAATCACCACTTGACCAATGAGATTTACAATGTTTTTTTTGTTTGTTTGTTAATCCTTTATCATTCCATTTTGTTTGTGATCGAATCAAATCAATCGATCGATTGATTTTTTTTTAATTCCAAAACCATTACATGGTTGTTGTTTTGAAGATGTTTCAAGATTAGATTTGATTGATTGAAACAAAAAAAAAGAGTTGAATGTCTAAGTTATGTCTAAAATAAGCTATGTTTTGCAATGTCTTTTTCTATCATTTGTTGCGTAACAATCCGAACAAAAGAAAAAACAATTTGACAACAACGACAACAACAAAAAATTGATTCGATTCGAATTTGATTTTTCTTTTCTGCTTCTTTTGTTGTTTTTCTCCAAACAAAATTCATCATTTTCAACAAAAAAAAAACATTAATGATGAGAACATTTTTTTTCAATGTTGATCATCAACAACAACGGTGGACCATGTAATTTGTCGAAAGAAAAATTGTTTCGTAATGTTTTTGAAAAAATAGACCAAAATGAACTTATATATTGAATGTCCTCGATTGAATATAATAATAATGTTGCCCATTTTCCAATTGGTGACAATCATCATCATCCGTTTGATTGTTTGCTTGTTGGCTTGTTCCAATGATAATCATCAATGAAAATTATGTTAATATGCTGTGTAGAAAATAAAAATGAAATGTAATCAACAATCGCGATATAATCGATATTTCCTAATAACAAAAATCAAATCGAAAAAAAAATGATAACCGGATTAAATATAGGATTTTATTTCAACAACAATCTGCTCTGCTCTCTCACTCTTGACCAACATTGAATTGAAAAAAAAAACCAATTACAATATTGGTCAATCATCAAATGTTTGTTTTTTGAATTCTGGATTCAAATAAATTTCAGTTTTTTTCCTTGTCGTCGTTGTTGTAATCATTTTTTAATGGATTTTGTTGTTGTTTACAATTGTTTTTCATTCGATGTTCAATTGTTCATTGAATGTGATTAATCCTGACGACTATATGCACTTAATCAGTAAACAAGAAAAAAAACGATTAATAGACAAGACACAAGACTTACATAATCATATTATATTAAAAATTTGAAAAATGTAAATGTAAATATATTTACAAGGGCCATTGACCATCATAATCATCTTAATAATAATAATCATTGAATCGAGCGATTGACATTTATTTCGAAAATTTGAACACACACAATGAACAATCGATACTTAAACATCGATGGTGAACAATCGATATTTTTTTCCCGTATCCAATACAAAAAAAAGGGTTAACAACGATGATGAAAAAAAAACAAAATTTCCGCATCATTCGTTGGAAACGGACATTTTTCATTCAACAGGTAGCGAAAATTTTATATTTAAGCAATCAGTCAATCATACGAACAAACAAAACCTGTTTGCTTCATGATTTGATTGATTGATTGATAATCGATCCAGAAAATTAAGATTAATTTAAATTTGAACTTTTTTGTTGTTGATTTTTTGGTTCACATGGATGGAAGCAAGAAATGAAGAAAATTAGTTTAGTTTTTTCTGGAATGTCAATGGCATCATTAATGATAACAAGATAAGGATAGGAATTGGACGTGGGAAATTTAATTAACAAAATGAATAAAAAAAATCCACAAACAAAATGATATCAGTGAAAAGAGATAGAGAGAAAAAAATCAATCAATAATCGATTAATCAATCGATTTGTTTTTTGATTAATCTAAAATCTTAATCTAATTATTTGAATTGATTTGATTTTCAAAATGTTCAATTGTTTCTCTCTCTAACTCACAAACAATACGGAAATGTAAATTTAAAAAAAATTCGGCCTACATTTCAATCAAATAAACAAACAAACGGACGGACCGACTGATTGAGAAATTTCCCCAGAAACATTTATTTATTGACTGATCTAATATATGAAAGTTTAATTTGGAAAAAATTTTTCAGGAAAAAAATCATCGATTATCGCCCACCATCACCATCAAATTTTCTCATGATGATCGATGTCTCAACGATCCAAAACAAAGCAACATGTGTCAATCACACACACACACAATTTGATCATTAGCAAGTTCGGGTCATTTAAATATTTGCTGTTGTTGTTGGAACTTTGGAACACGGAAAAATTATTTTTTCACACCCACACACCAATGTGGATCGCAAATGAAAATTTTTCATGGTGCGATTTTTTTTTTGTTGAATTGAACAGAAAAAGAAAAGAAAAAAATTTCTTCCCCACTTTTCCCTTGTGTTACATAATAATAATGGCCATTATTACAATGATAATGATACGTCGTTTATGGATTGTCTCATCTCAAAATGATAATGGTGATGGTGGCCGCTAAAATTGATTTTTGTTTCGTATCAAATTTTTTGTTTTTCAGAAAAGAATAAATGACAAATTTGACACTGAAAAAAAGGTTAATGGTTGAATTTAATAATCAATTTTGTTGTTGTTGTTGTTGTTTGGTGCAAAAGAAATTTTCCAGAAAATAAAAAACAATTCACACCATTTTCGATTATCATCATCACAATGATTATTTGAAAAATTGTTCCCGAAAAAGTTTTTGACCTGATCACACATTCATTGATTGTTCGTTTTCGTTCGTAATTGTTTGTGGTTGTTGTTGTTGTTGTTGTTTATCCATTATCATTGTCATTATCATCATCATTAGCATCATTTTTCAACATTTAGATTTTGAGTTGAATCCAAGTTCATTTTTTTTGATGAAAAAAAATTTTGGTGTTAACAATGAAAAAAGATTTTTAAATTCATTTTAAAATGTTCCATTCAATTTTAGACAAGAAAAAATGTGATTTTCAAACATTTCATTTTTCCTCCTTTATCACCAATTTGAACTTAAACTGATCGAGGAGAAGACGAAGAAAAATCTTTGAAAAACATTGAAAAAATGGGCTATGTGAATGATTTTTGTCCGAAATGATGCTCGAAATGTTTTTGAATAATGTCCCAGATCCGTTTAGATTTGGCAAAAAAATACAGATTTGATTACGAATTTTATGAAAAGCAGAAAAACTGATTAAACTGATATTACGCCATATATGAATAGTGAATGTGAATAATAAAGTCATTAATCTCATAAGTGTTTTCCCCATGTTACGGAACAAAACAAAATTAACCTCAACGATTTCTTTCTTTTCATCTTTCACACACGAAAAAACAAAAAACAAAATGGATACAAGCCTTTTATGGGCTTTTCTGTTGAGAATCCCCTTTAAACATCTCTTGTTGGAAACCAGGTGTGAGAAATAAATAATATTCATCCATCATCAAAACAAAACAAAAGCTGTATACAAATCAAAATGGGCAAATTGATCAAACGAAAAAAAACGAAAATAAATAGATAAAATGATTGATGGATGATAGAGCTGTGATGGGATATACGAATCGGGATATGTAATCTTTTCTCATCATCCATAGATGACGATCATAATGATAAATATCCCGTTGTTATGGTTTGAATTTTTTTGCCAAAATTTTCAATTCAATTTAAGATTTTAAATTGAAAATTTCAACGTTATCTTTATCGTCGTCGTCTTTGCCGTTTTATCATTCTGATATAATTTAAATGTGTGTGTGTTTTGGATGATGCCATGAAATTTCAATGAAAAAATTGGTCGTACTTCCTGAATGTTCCATCATCATCATCATCATCATTTGTTGTTCTCATTCAAAAATGACGTATTTGGTCATTGACAACAACAACAAAAACAAAAACAGACGAAATTTTTGCACTCCTGTTTTCCTTCCTTAATTTTTTTTTAAATTTTAAAATTTCAAAATTTCAATTTAATTTTCCAGACAACATTTCGATAAAAAGATCCAAATCAAATCTAAATTAATTGAGCGTTGATTTTCCTTATTTTATTTTTTGTTTTCAAAAAGATTTTATCTTGAAAAATTTATTTTCAATTTCAAACGAAAAAAACCAAAAATAATTTTGTCAAGAAAAAAGATAAAATTAATCGTTCGATTACAATATCGATTATGTAATCGATAACAATCGATTGTCATCATCATCATTATCAAAAATTGTCTATATTCGATTCATTTCGGAAATTATCATCATTACTGAATGATTTCAATGATGAAATATGATTGAAAATAAAAAAAAATCAAAACAATCGATTATCGATTGATCGATCGAACAAAAATAAACAAAACAAAAGTCACATCATCATCGATGGTCAAAATATGAAAATGAAAAAATCCTTTTTTTTCACAATAACTCAATTGTAAACCACAGACACAGACACAGACAACGATTATCAAATGCAATGATTGATTGATATTGATGACCGATAGTGACCGGCCATCACCATCTGATCACCATTATTATTGTAATATTTTCAAAGTTTTTTTTTCTTCAAAAAATTTGTCAATTTTTTTCCATTGTTGAAAACTTTCAATTTTTTTCAATCAATATTACACATTGTATACAATACACAGAGATTGGCACCGAAACAAGAAGAAAAAATCACAATAAGAAAAAAAGCTAACATCATTTTAGAAATTAGGGAGGTGTGTTTGATTTTACAAATTTTGCAGAAAATTAAAATTATTTAACCCTTTTTTCCTTTGGTTTTTATATTATTGAATAAGGTGTGTTTGTGATTTGAAATCGATAATCGATCAAATCAAATCAAATTAGATTTTTGTGTGTGTTTGGTAGGCATGTTTAAGTAGAGAAACAAAAGTTGGTTATTAATGATGATCATTGATGATGATGATGAAAAATTATTTACAAACAAAAAAAAATCCCTATGAATCAATCAATGGTTAAAAAATCACATTTGTTGCGATAATTCATTTTGTTAAATTTTTTGGCCCAATATTCATATTCGATTGATAAATAATATCAAGGATTTTCTTCACAAACACCATTACCAATATCTAATATTGTTTTCATAACCGAATCGATACCATTTTTTAAAAATAATAAATTCGCACGACTTAATAATTTACTATTATCCATTGAGCTATGATATTTATGTGAAACTTTTCGTCGCCATGGTCCTAAATCGGTTAACAGAATTGCATTGATAGTATGATTATCAATTGAATTTGGATACCAAAATGATGAATGATCGGAACGTAAAAATGTTTGATATGGTAATAGAACATGTGATTTGAATCCTTCAGTTAATTCATGACCAAGTTTTGGTAATGGTATATCCATTTCAATCAATTTATATTTATCTTCATTTAACCAATTTGATTGTAATGTTTGAAATAATTTTGAATCAATATTTTCTCTTGACCAAACGGCAGCAAAATCAGCTCGGAATTCATTTTGTTGCATACGTTCTAGCCATTTTGGTAATGAATCCTAATTTTTTTTGGAGAGAAAGAAATCAAATTAACTTAATTGATTGATTGATTGATCAATCGATTAACACATACCCCGACACCAGAATCTAATTGTGATCCACTAGTTGTATCATATTCTAATAACATATCAACAATAATTGCACCTTTAATTGGTAATGGATTTTCACTTTGTTGTGTAATTGGTAACAGATATTTTTTAACAAAAAATTTCGATCCAACCAAACCATCTTCTTCCATATCGAATAAAACAAATATTATGGTTGTATTTAAACGACAACGATGTTGTTGAAGCAGACGAGCTAATTCCATAACAACAACACAACCAGAACCATTATCTTCAACACCAGGTGATCGTGCAACAGTATCATAATGTGCACCAATTACCAGGATACTATCCAAATGTTGTTCGGTTGTATTACGATAAATACCTGGGTAGATACCGATCAGATTATGACCATTATCCGAACGTTTCTATGTGAAAAACGTGAAAAAAATGTCAAATTTTCAATCAATCGAATCAATCAACTTACCTGACTATAAAATTGTTGCATAGCTGTTTCCAATCCATATTCTAAAAATTTTAAATATAAAATATTTTTAAGATTATTAAATACTTGTTTATCATAAAGATTTGTTCGTATTTGATTAAAATAATCATAAAATAATGATTTTATCGATATTTTTGATGCGGTTGGCACAAAAGTTTCGGATAAAAATCTTCGATTATTTTTCGATGGTGATGGCCGATGTGATTGACGATTCTTCGATGATGATGGCCGATGCGATTGATTTTTCGGTGGCCGCCGTATTGGTTGATCGGATACTAATGATTTTGTTTTGAAATGAAAACGATTTGAATTTTGCCATCGAATCATTTTTGCTTTCGTATTTGGACGATATTTGGATTTTCTTCGTGAATTTAATTTTTGAAAATTTCTTAGAAATTTTTGTTTTGATTGTTCGGAAAATCTATTTCTTTTCGAATTTGTTGGTTGTTGTTGTTGTTTGAATGCTATTTTCAAATTAAACAAAAAAAAAAAAAAAAAATCTGTCAAATCAATCAATCAAATCAAATCAAATTCAACTCACGTGACATTGTTGTTGGTGACATAATGGCAACATTATCTTCTTCATTACTTTCAGCTTGATCCAAATCCAAATTATCATTACGACGACCAAGTTGAACAAAATTGGATTTTTGATAATTCATACGATGTTCAGGTAATTTTATCAATGATTTTGGTTGATTAGTTAATTGTACAAATTTTCCAATCGATGATAATGATAATGATTTTGGATTCGATTTATTATAAATGGATAAATCTTCCAAAATATTTTCATTCCACCATTCTTTAACATCCCATTCTTGTCGATAATGATGATTTTGACGATGATGAAGATTAGGATGTTGTTGTGTTGAAACCATCTTCATCATTATCATTAAATTGATGGTTAAAATTATCATCGATGATGATGACAACGATGATAATTTGATCATCGTGTTGACAGAAAATCAACCAAATTTGGTTGATTGATTGATTGGTGAAACTTGTTGAATTTTACCAAAAGCAAAAACGAAAAATTCGAACGTTTTGCCGAATGGAACTTGAAACAACGAATTTTTTCGTTTTTTTTTCAATCAAAAATTATCGATTGTTCTGATGTTATTGGTGACATTTTTCTTGATTTTTGATTTGTTTTGGTTTCAAATCTGTATGGAAAACAAAACAAACAAAAAATTTATAAGTACCATAAATATGTTTTAATTATATTTACCCAGACAAAAATGAAGGGGAGGAATAAAGAATGAAGAGGAGGGAGGACGGAAGAAAACAAAAAAAAACATTCGAGGAGGGAGGAAACCATTGATTCTATTGTTCGAATCGAATGTTTTGAAATATGTTTACCTGATGGATCGATTGATCTTTTGATTTTCGTTTGATTTTTTGTTGTTGCTGTTGTTGTTTGATATGTGTAATCATGTTTTGGCTGTAAATCAAACAAGATTTGTTTTTGTTTAATTTTTATCTTCGTCGGTTGTTTGTTCCGATTTTGGAACGTTTTGTTTGTTGTTGTTTGTTTTTGCAAATCTTCTCACTCAACAATATGGCGATGATGATAAGTTTGGCACCTAAAATTAGTATTTCGAAGAAGAAAAAAAATACGATTTTTATCTTAATCTGATGATGATTATCAACAAAAGAAGAAGATAACGAAGAGAAATATAAACGAAATCTTGTGGATCCATAAATAAACAAAAAGGTAATTAATTTTCCATTCAAATGAAAAAAAAACAGAGTGAAAGTGAAAAACAAAACAAAATCTTCACTTTTCAATCAAGAAAAGAAAATAATTCACCGGTTGACAAGATTAGATTAACAAGATTAGATAATATCTTTAGACGATGATGGAAGAAGAAAAACGATTTTTATCACACAACACACACACAAACACAGACAAACAATCGAATAAACAATCGATATCTGATTTGATTAATCGATTGTTTTTTATGCAATATTCGTTCTTTGTAATCGATGATGATGAAATGTTTATTTCCTTCTTCACTATGATGATGATGATAATTGAATTTTTCTCATTATTTTTTCTTCATTTCCAATTTGGAATTTTGTTTTTTCTTTTTTCTTCGTTTGATTTCCTCATTCGATGAATGAATGAATGATGAGATCAAAAAAAGGGGAAAAATTCAATTGTCACCACCATTGGATGATGAAAAGAAATGTTTTTTTTTGTCAATCTTGTAGTTGGTTGGTTGGTTGGTTGATGAGTATCATCAATATGATGATTGTGTGATTATCATATGATTACAATGTGAAAGAAAATTGACAAACACCACACACCTACAATAGAAATGATAATTTCGTCGTCTCTTTTTTCACCTTTTTTTCGTCGAAAAATGTTTGTTTTGTTGTGAAATGTTGATCAAAAAAACACAGATGAAGAAGAAGATCTTTGAAGAAAAAATATTGTTGTAAAAAAATATGAATTTTTTTCGATTCGAATCAATCATGCGCAGTAGTGGCGAAGGTTGTTACGCATCACTATTCGAATCAAGAATCAAGATTCTTTTTTTTGTCAGAAAATCATTATTTCACCACTATGAAATTTTTGAAAAATTCCCTGATTGCACACCTTCAGATAATGATCACACACACCTTACCTTACCTCACTTACATCATCATCATTTGAATCTGTCGAGACAAATCAAAGAAAGCGAAGAAAAAAACAACGAAAAACGAAAATTCATTGTTTGATCGATGAACTTGTTGTTGTTGTTATTGTCTGGATTGATGATGATGATGAACATCAAAAGTTTATTAAACCATCAAACGGATTCAGTCAGTTTTGAACGGGTTATTCACATTAAACACAACAGCTAAACAAATTCCTTTTCATCATCATCAAGTGGTCATCGTCCATTCGATATTCGAGTTTTTCAACCACCACCAGCAACTTGTTGTTGTTGATGTGTCCTCGATGAAATAACACAGAAAAATCAACAAAATCATCGATCATCGATCAATCAATGCAAACAAGACACACACTGGACAAACACTGTAATTGTTGATCCAGAATCATCAAAATGAATCAACTTTAAAAAAATAACAGCCATCGAGCAGCAATAACAACAAAAATGAATGTCGAAATGGCGAAACCCTTATTTTTTACGAAAAAAATTTTCTATTTTTGTTGTTGTTGTTCATTTAACATTGGAACAAACAGAAAAAAAAAACAAAAAACATTCAAATGGAAAACACTATGACACAGATGATATTTTGTTGTTATTTCTCTCTTTTTTTTCCTCAACAACAACAACAAATGGCCATGAAATATGGTCCATTCAAGTGAAAAAAGCGTTGGTTTCTTGTCGATGTGTTTGGCGTCCAGTTGAACAAACTTTATTTGGATTTTTTTTCGTTGTTGTTTGGTTTAATTTTGGAATGATTTTTTCTCTTCCAAAATGTTTTTTATGGTTTTTTTGGGTAAAAATAAATTTTCTCTCTTGAATGACATTTTTCATTCAACAACTACAACAGCAACAAATACGATTATATAATCAACAATGGATGATGATCTAATCATCATCATCAGAATCAGATAGTTTAAAATTAACGTGTGATGCTAAATATATTTTGTTGTAAAAAGACCTCGAAATTAACGAAGCTGACTTAATTAATCCATCAAATAAGGATTAGAGAGATGAAAAGTATTGAAAAAAAAATTGCTTGACATTGACAAACCAAAAATTCAAAGAAATTCAATGAATGAATGAAAAAAAAGTTTTTCAGAAATAATATTTCCAAAAAATTTTCACTGAAAACTTTTTTGTTCGATTTTTTTTTGTTAAGCGCTATTTTTAGCATCATCATCATTATGCTGTGTGTGTGTGTGATTTACAGGTAACATCCGGTATATGTACCCAGGTGGATATGTTTTCAATTGCCCAAAAAAACGAAATTAATTAATTAATTTTGAATGATTCAAAAAAAAAGACCAAAAATAGACGAACGAACTGAAAAAAAACAAATCTTAATGACAAATATATGTTATTAATGATGATGATGATCATTAATGAATTTTCCATCAATGTTTTTTTTCCCATATATTCAGCTAATTATCATTCAAACATAACACGCACTTAAATACGCCCACACACACACACACGCACTTGGATACTCCCACTCACACAAACATATACGCCCACGCACTTAAAAGCAAGATTTTCGGTTGGTCGATTGATTCGCGGAAAATTTTTTTTGGCTATTTTTTGTTTTTTTTTTGGCTGTTTTTTCAAGTTAGTTATTAATTAATTAATTATTTTTTGAATTGGAAATTGCCTGTTTGTTCGATGATGCTTGTGATGTTTTTTTTAAAAATATAATTAGGTTTATGTTTCAATTGGATTTTCAATTTGTTTCTCTTTTTGGTTGTGTTTTCGGAAACATTTTTCCCTTCCCCAACAATATTTAATCAGCTTTACTTTTGTTTTTGTTTTTTGTGTTGAAAAACAACAACAACAACAACAATTTGAATAAAATCCATCATCATCATGGTCAATTGGAATTCAAATTCAATCGATTTTTTTCGAGATTGATGGAAAATTTCTCAAATTTTTCGCACAAATGTTTCAAGTTCGAATCGATTATTTTTGGTTGATTGAAAAACTTAAAATAATTTCAAATGTCCTTGTTAAATGATTGGAAATCTGCAACCAATCAATCAATCAAGGATTATCATCATCATCATCAGTTTTTTTGGCCGAATCATTTTGGAAAATTTTTCCCGAAGAAGAAACCAGATTCATCCGGTTTCCGAGAAAATTTCTTAGAAAAAAAACAGACGAACATTCAAAAAAAAGGTCAAAGCGAAACACTTTTATAATTTAAAAGTTGATTGAAAAAATAACTTCGTGATCCATTCATTCATTCATTCACTTTTTCACACGATTCAAATCAAATTAACTTTTTGACAACAATCAAATTTTCTATTTCAACATCATAAGTGTGTGTATGTGATGTGTAAATAAAGAGTTCATTGGTCATTGATAGAATGAAATGAAATGAAAAAAAAACGTTATTTCAACACCAAAACCAAGGTAATTGACCATCACTACGATTATCATTCAGGCAAGTGTTAAATACATACATTTATTTGGCTGGTGGTCACTGGCCTTATATGATGATCATCAATGAAAAAACAACAAAACAAGAACGATTGGCAAAAAGACCTTTAACAACCTTGACAAACTACCTGAATCTATTGATTTTGATTTTTTTAAAATTGAAATCCAATAAAGGTCATTGAATTTTTTTTTGTTACATTTTGTCGGTGGTCATTTGAAAAAGTAATATACTTCCCCCCGGTTTGGTAAATGAGATAAGATTAGAAAAAAGGTGATTTTCTTGTGTATTACAGCAGAAATTCAAGTTGAATAATCACACATTTTTTTCACAAATCTTGAAGGTTAACGAAAAAATCAAAATTCCTTTCCATTTTAATCGCGTTTTTAATGCAGAAACAGGAATTTTTTTTTCGCTTTCACATAATGTTTTTTTATCAGCTGAAGATATCTACTTAGCTACTTTCTCCACAACAACCACCACTGAAAGATTGAAGATTGAAATGAAATGTAACTTGGCGATAAAAATCAAATCGATCAAAAATGAAATGAATTGATTTTTGTTGTTGTTGTTGTTGCTGCTGCTAGAACTGTTGTTGCTGAAAAATTCTAATTTCGTTTTCGTTTTTAATTTTTTCAATTTTCGTTTTAAAACAGGCTCCACCATTACAAACAAATTCATTTTGGCTGGTGTATGTTTGTTTGTTTGTTTGCTTTAATCCAACCGAAAAAAAAGAAAATTCAGTGAAAATAACTTTGGTTGACATCATCAATAATGTCATCAATCAATTATTATCGATCCAAATTGCTGCTGCTGCTGTCGTTATTATTGATTTTTTTCTGTTCAATCAATCAATTTGTAAATGGTGAAGATGAGATACCGATATCATCGACCACCGCTTCGACTTTGACCACCTCAAATTCCACCACCACTACTGTTGTTTCACCACCGGTGTCAAACGCAACTGATGAACAATTATCACCGACAACGACGACGAAACAAGAAAATTCTACAACCGAAAAACTCAATGAAAATGAAAATGATGAAGGGGGGTTAATCCGGGATGAAAATAAAGGCCGTGAATTTATGCTTGAATTTGATAAACTAATGGAACAATTAAATTATGAAATTGTTGAAGCAAGTTTTAATTTTCATACAAATTTAACTGCTGAAAATCAAGCACATTTGGTAAGTTTCTTGTTAGAGAAATTTCCCTGGTAATCTAATCTAAATCTTACTTTTCTGGAAATTTTCCCATCTTTTTCTTTTGCCAGCTTGAAGTAACAAAAAAATTAAATCGTCAACAAAAAGAAATATGGAAAAAATCAAAACGTTATGATTATCAACAATTTTCAGATCCAATTTTACGTCGGTTATTTGAAAAAATATCCGTACTTGGTATACCAGCATTAGAAGAACAGGATTCGGAAAAATTTACAAAAATATCAACCGAATTAACACGTACATATGATCAGGCATCAATATGTTTAGATGGAAAATGTGGACTGGATTTAGATCCAGATTTATATCAAATTATGGCCAAATCACGTGATCCAGAAAAATTAAAACATGTATGGATTGAATGGCGTAATCAAGCTGGTAGTCCAAATCGACAACGTTATATTGAATATATCCATCTTGGTAATAAAGCTGCAATTGCAAATGGTTTCAAAACATTAGATGATCTTTGGTTATTTCCATGGGAAACCGAAGATTTTAAACAACAAGTTGCCCAGCTATGGGAAGAATTAAAACCATATTATCAAAAAATTCATTCATATGTTCGAATGCGTTTACGACGATTCTATGTTGAAGATCGTAATGATAATGAAACAACAACGACAATAAATTGGCCAACGGATGGTACAATTCCAGCACATTTATTGGGAAATATGTGGTCACAAACATGGGGAAATATTTATGATTTGGTTGTACCATATCCTGGTCGTAAATCATTAGATGTTACGGAAGAAATGCGTGAACAAAATTATACAGCAATGAATATGTTTCATTTGGCTGAAAAATTTTTCAAAGATTTAGGTCTTATACCAATGCCTGAAACATTTTGGAAATATTCAATGTTTACAAAACCATCCGATCGTAAAGTTGCATGTCATGCAACTGCATGGGATTTTTATAACCGTCAGGATTTTCGTGTAAAAATGTGTACATCGGTTACAATGAAAGATTTAATAACCGTACATCATGAAATGGGTCATATACAATATTATTTGCAATATAAAGATCAACCGGTTGCATTTCGTGAAGGTGCAAATCCTGGTTTTCATGAAGCTGTTGGTGATTTACTAGCATTATCAGTATCAACACCAGAACATTTGAAAAAAATTAATCTTTTATCACCGAATGAAACGGTTGATCAAGAAATCCTTCTGAATTATCAATTAAAAATGGCTTTAGATAAATTGGCATTTCTGCCATTCGGTTATCTAATGGATGCTTATCGTTGGGATCTGTTTAGCGGTAAAGTTTCATTGGACGAAATGAATAAACATTGGTGGTGGTATCGTTTGCAATATCAAGGTATTTCACCACCAGTTCGACGTAATGAATCAGATTTTGATCCTGCTGCAAAATATCATATACCAGCTGGTGTTGAATATATCCGGTATTTTGTTTCGTTTATTATACAATTTCAATTTCATCAAACACTTTGTAAAATTGCACAACCTGGTCGGCCATTATATCAATGTGATATTGATGGTAATCATCAGGCTGGTGAACATTTAGCCAAAATGTTACGATTAGGATCTTCGGTACGTTGGCCAGAAGCAATGAAATTGATGACCGGTTCGGAACGAATGTCAGCCGCACCATTAATTGAATATTTTCAACCATTATTTCAATGGTTAGATCAACAAATCGTTAATGAAACATTAGGATGGCAGGTAAATCTGGATAATTATATTTGATTTATAAATGACTAAAATAATTAATTTTTGCGCAAAATACAAAAAAAAATTGAATTTAAAAATTAAAATATAATTTTTTCTCGTTAATTTTTTTTATTAATTTTTGTTTTGTAATTTTATTTTAACACTTTGGCATCATTCAAAAATGGTGTACTAATCATTAATGCTAATGATGTTGATATATTATTCGTTGTTGTCGTCTTCGTCGTATCATCATGATTATTATTGGTAAAATATCTTGCACATTCCATACCTAATTTAACACCTAATTTTCTATCAAATGGTGATGGTTGTGTTGGTGTTTGTATCAAATGCATATCGATTGAATTTAATCGAATACGATCTTGAAATGGTTGAATGATTGTTTGATAAATTGATTGAATTTTCGACCATAACGGATAATGTCTGTGTTGAAAAAACGAAGGGTTGTTTTTGAAAAAATTAACACTTTATTAACCAATAAGGTACTTACATGATAACAAATTTATTTTCATTTGTATTCAATATTGAATCTCTTATTTCGATTGCTTTGGATCGTATTGATTGATCATCTGATTTATTGGTATCTGATTTTTGATTTTTAATCAATGTTTTTGATTTTTCATTTGTCAATGATGGATGTGGATGATGAACAGTTATAGCACCTGTAGCGATAGCAAATAATTCCGGTGATACAAATGTAGCGGATGATATCATATCTAAATTAATTCTCAGCAGAAATAATTGATTAAATGTTCCTTCAGTTGAATAGATAAGATCAGATATTAGACGAATCACTTTGTTCATCATTGAATCACGTCCCAATTTTGACCAAACAATTTCATTATCATTGGAATTTTGATTCTGATCATCAGAATCAACCGATGAAACTGGAATGTAACCAAATTTCAAATCTTGAAGATAGCCGAAACGTTTTCGATAATTATTCAATGTCCGAACATGTTGATATGCTTGATGATCACCAATAAAACAAAGGGATTTTATTCGATTTTTTTGTAAATTTTCAATAATTTTTTCAATATTTTTATCATTAATTTTTATCGATTGATATGAAGGTGATCGAATTTGTGAACCTAAAATTTGTGTACCACTCAGTGAAACTATTCCGGAAACATCCATCCATTGAAATTGATAAAAATTATTTTGTAAAAGTCCTTCCAAACCATTTTTATAACCAAAAACTTGAATATCTTGTGCATAACCATAACGTACTAATGCAAATATTATACCATTTATACCTGATGGTAATGGGAAATTTCGGGAACAAATTATAATTGCCCAGGAAGTTTCCGGTGCAGTCGTTGGTGGTTTCGAATTGATCGATATTTTCAATGATGATGATGATGGTGGTGACATAAGATTACGATAATTTTCCCATGTATTTATAAAATTCGGGCCACGAAATTCCATAACTTTTGGCCAATTATGTTCACGTACTGTACGATTCAAACGGACCATTTCATCAATACAACCAGGTAATGGTCGTTGATTAAGTTGACCATTTTCTAATGTTAATATCATAGCTGTTTTGGTTAGTTCACCATTAACATTATCTTTTTCCTCAATAATCATATCATAAGCTTTAAAACCAGTTGCCATTGACATTAAATGATCGAATGCCGAAGTAAAACCACCACGTTGTAAATGACCAAGAATTATTAATCTTGTTTCAATATCACATTGTTTATTAAGGTAATCTTTTACCTGTATTGAACGTATTGGTTGTCCTTGATTATCACATGCACCTTCTGATATTATCACTATATGATAATATTGTCCATTATTACGTTCATATGTAATACGTGTTGATAATTTTCGTTGCCATTCCTCCGTTGAACGATGTGGATATTCCGGAATGAAAACATATGATGCACAACAACATAAAGCTGCTGATATAGCCAGATAACCACAATTCCGTCCCATAACTTCAACAACCATAGCACGACTATGACTTTTTGCTGTTGTTTTCAACAAATCAACCGCTTCAATAACACGTCCTAATGCTGAATCAGTTCCAATGGTCATCTCCGACCCTAAGAAATCATTATCAATCGATCCAATAATTCCGATCAAATTTAATTGACTATTCAATGATATTTTTGCCGTATCAATATGTTCATTATTTTGATTTTGAACAATAAATTCTCTAACGAATTGTGACCATTCACGACGTAGATAATTTGCACCTGTTAAACTACCATCACCACCAATAACAATCAAATTTTCAATATTTAAACGCAATAGATTAAAAGCCGCTTTTTGACGGCCATCTTGTTGATAAAATTCACGACATCTTGATGAATTGATAATCGTACCAGCTTGATAAATAAATTGTTGTAAAATTTTACGATTTGCTTTTACAATTGTTTTACTGGTTCCATCAATTAGGCCTTGAAATCCATTATAAATAAAATATAATTCTAGGTTATTGTTACCGTTATTTTTATCTAATTTTTTATTATTATTATTCATCGATTTAGTTATCTGATCAATATGACGACATAATAAACCATATAGAACACTATTCATTCCTTGACAATCACCACCACTTGTCATAACGGCTATATTGGATGTTCCTGTTGCTGTTAATGTCGATGCTGATGATATTGATTTTGTTGATGATTTTAATGATTTTTGTGATGATTGCTGTTGATCATTCGGTTGTTGTTGTTGTTTGTTTTGATTATCGACTAATTTTGTTGACATTTTTTCAATCCACAAAAGAATTTTTTGCGTCTAATTTTCGATTTAAATATAATCAATTTTTCGTTTGTTTTCGATTGATTGATTAGATTGAATCGAATTTTGTAAAATTTTTTAAAAAATTCAATTTTCAAATATAGACCAAGTGTCGCCATCTATCAACGACCAATCTAACTATCAAATCGAAAATTTTTTCCCCACTCTCTCTCTTGATTTATCATCAGTCAAAACAGTAATTCCAGAAAAAAAAGAAAAACTGTGAACTCTAATGATGATAACCATGGTTGTTGTTGTTGTTGTTGTTGATGACGACAAACCAGAAACTAGTCAGAAAAACGATGGCGCCATACAATCGAGTGAGAATCCTTCCCCATATACACAGACACACACTATATATTCATCTCGAGGACATCGAAAACATACACACACACACACCACATTCATATATGCAGCTGTATCCTTGGTTAAGAAAAATCATCATTACCACTACGACACTGACGATTATTATCATCAAACAAACAAACAAACAACATCGACAAAAAAAAACAAGGATAAAATTCAATGAAAATAATAATAATAGAAGAACGAAAGAAGAAGAAGAAAACCAGAACAGATTTAAGATCTCTCCGTGTATATTTTGTTTTGTTTTTGTTTTTTCTCCAGTTTGTTTCGGGTTTGATCATCATCAATTTGTTCATCATCGATTCGATCATCGGCAGCAACAAGAAATTTTGACTATATCAAAGATAAAGAAACCGAAACATTCAAGTGATATTTTAGTGATATCTCGTGTTGTTGTTTTTTTTGATGATTTTTTTTGAAATTTTGTTTCAACCAATGATCAAAAGAATCTTCTTGATTTCAACGAAATGGTATATGGTTAATATTTGATGTCAAAGTATGTCCATACATTGAATTTAAACTTAAAAAAAAGAGATTTATCTTTTCTTGGTTACCACTACTACCACTACTACCTATTCCATATATCGGTGTTTTTTTTCTGTTGGTGATCGGTTCGGTTATTCTTTTTCACTGGTTATTTTTCTCAATATAGCCGATTCTGTATTTTTTTTTTACTGGTGAATTCTGCATTGAATTCAGAAGAAAATGCCACATAATAATAATATTTATCTATCATCATTATTGTTTATTATGGTACGGTATATGACAAGTGACAAAATTTCACCGCTATATCCCCTTCACAATTGAATATTCTATGTGTATTTTGAATTCTTTTCAAAAAAAAAGAAAAAAGTTCCAAATATTCTTTAGTGGTTCTCTCGATTCTTTTGTTTTGTTTCTGAAAATATTATTATTGCATTCGGCTATCAACTAACGAGCAACTGAAATTAATTTTGTTAATTCTTTCAGCGTTTTTCACTGTTGATTGATTCTTTTTATTGAATTACAAATGCCAGGTGATTCTTTTTGTTGGTGATGATTACGGTTGTTGTTTTCCATACATGTGCTCTATATATTTTTTTTTACTTCGACAACGATGATGATGATGATGCTAAATAAAAAAAAATCTATTTATAGAATCGTTATTTTTATTTAGAAAAAAATTGATGATCATAAGCTTCATAGGTTGAATGGAATTTCATAGTCTGTATTATTTACAACAAAAAAAAATTCTTGAAATTCTAATGTTCATCATTAATGGTGATGAACGAATTGATTTAAATTCAAAGAAGAAAGAAAATGAAAATACAATCGATATTTTGATTTTCTCATTCAGATTTCAAGCATTTTTTAAAAAAAACACAGGTTTTTCTTGTTTATTTCAGTTTCATTTAACATTTTTTTCCTTGTTAATATTTCCCAATATGTTTTTTTCGCTAATCTTTCTCTCTCTATGACAATAACGCAAAAGGCAAGAGAGAAGTTTGTTTTATCTATGTTTTTTTAAAATACGGTGCTCAGTGTAATGAACTTTTTGTCTTGTTTTGTTTTGTTTATCCATTTTTTTTAATGATTTTGTTTTGATTTTTCATCGGGTTTTATCGAAACGTTCAAAAAAATTAATAATTTTATGACCGATCTATTTGTGTCGATAATAAATAATAGAAAAACGATTAAAAACATCCATCAAACAATAACAACAACATCTACACCTGATAATCATTTACCTGAGCAGATAATCATTTAAGCAGCCACCATCACCAAATAATAATAATAAAAAAATGCCGAAAGTTAATCGAAAATTTCGTAAGTTTTCTTTGTAAAAAATGTTTTCCCATAAAGTTTCTCGATTAATTCTGTTTTTTCCCTCTTTGTTTTGGATCAAAATAGCCAATATGAATCTTATTCTACCATCAGATGATCCACCATTAGTACAACAAGGATTACCACCACCAAATATAAATCGTTCAACAAAAATTCGTATCAATGGTACTACAATTGAAATTGATCCAGAAAATACTAAACCAGTTAAACAATTAGGTCATGGTGCATATGGTTTTGTTGAATTAATTGAACATGAACCATCAGGTATACAATTGGCTGTTAAGGTTGGTTTTGTTTTGTTTCTGGGAACTTTCTCATCAATTTTTTTTGTGCAATAATAATAGCGGATATGTGCATCAAAAGTATCCGATCAGGATCGTTTATTTCGTGATATGGATATATTGGTTAAATCACAGGGCTGTCCACATATAGTGTAAGTAGTGATGATTTCCGGGAAATTTTCTCTAATTTTTTAAAAATTTTTCAGCGAATTTTATGGTGCAATTTATTGGGAAAATAATCTTTGTTTATTTATGGAAATATTGGATGCATCATTAGATAAATTCTATAAATTAGCATATAAATTATTACCGGAAAATTCCCCAAATAATTTAGCAATACCCGAACCAGTATTAGGACGTATTGCATATTCAGTTGTATCGGCATTAAATTTTTTATATGATATGAAAATTATACATCGTGATGTTAAACCATCAAACATTCTCATCAACCGTTCTGGACAGATAAAATTATGTGATTTTGGTATATCAGGTTATCTGGTGGATTCTGTTGCTAAAACATTTGAAGCCGGTTGTAAAGCATATATGGCACCTGAACGTTTGGTTCCAAATCAAAAAGGTTATAATATACGTTCAGATGTATGGAGTTTAGGTTTGTTTTTCTGGTTTTCGGGTTAATTTTAACTAATTTTTTAATAAATTTTGTCAAAAATAGGACTGACATTATTGGAAATAGCAACGGGAAAATTTCCATATCCAACCAATGATCTATTTAAACAGATAAAATCTGTTTATGAAGATGATCCACCAAAATTACCTGAAGGAAAATATTCACAAGAATTTCATTATCTAATTGGTGAATGTTTAAAAAAAGAACATCAAGAAAGGCCAAATTATGAACAATTATTAGAAATGGATTTTTTAAAAACATATCAAAATCATGATATATCAGATTTTACTAAATTTGTTTTAGATTCGGAATTAGTAGAATTATCATCACCAACAACAACAACGCCACCACCTGTAATTGATAAAAATTCATTAAATAAATCCGAAGCAACAATAACCAATGATACAGATAATCAATTGAATAATATGACCATTACGAATGATGATAATAATGATGATGATTCTTGATCCTATGAAGGGAATGAAGTGTTATTATTTGGCAATGAACCTGTCATAGCAATATTACCTGAGGAATTTTTATTTGTATGATTCTTGTTTGGCCATCATCATTTATCCATCGTAAACATACACATCTTTCATCATCGTAATCAGAATCATACACATCTTTCATCATCCATCGATAAATCATCAATCACCATTACTGAAAATCAATCAATTCGAATCGATTGATTCGACCATCATCAAATACATCACACATTACACATTACATCATACATCGATGAACGAAATTTACATGAAAACTTGCAATAAACAATCAGTGCCATCTATTAACGGAATTTATTGAACTGAAAAAACAACGAAAATTCTCCACAAAAAAAACTTTTGTGAAAAATCTGCCTTATTTGAATTTAAATCAAAAATCAAAACATGTGCAATTTCGAAGAAAAAGAAAAAGAAATTTTCAAAATTGCAATCTCTTCCCCCTTTGCCAGGATTTATGGATTGATTTTAACCCTTTGTTTTCCTGCTTTTAAATCAGTCTCAAAAAAATTAGTTCAATGAATGTATTAGTCCATCCTTCCCCTCTATGATCGATCAATCGATCGATCGATCGATTGATTTCGACTAATTAATTTAATTGATAATTTAATTGTATTTTCGTTTCCAATTCTTTGTCATCCATTTCATTTCATTTTTTTTTGTAATTATTTTAATGAATAAATTCAATAAATAAATAAATGAAGAATGTAGAATAATTAAGGGTTAAAAAAAATCAATTATCATCCACCATGAAGTGATCAGGGAGCCACACTATACTTCAATGATAATGAAGTGTTATTTTAAATAAAAAACTACAGCATTCGTTAATAATCTATGGGCGTATTTGGTTCAACAAGGTAAAATTTGGTGAACCTAAAATACCAGAATTCTTAAGGAAAATATTTTGTTTGTTTGCTTGGGGATGTATTTCAGTGGTAGAAAGTCTGCTTCGCAATTTCAGATAATGTTCCATATGGTTACAACCAGAATTATTCATTTATTGAATTTTCTCTGGCCAATGGAAAATGAATCCGATTTTGCAGAAGGTCATGGGTTCGAATCCCATCATCTCCAAAAAAAGAAACAACAATTTTTTTTTTAAATTTTATTATTTTTTTACTTCAAAAAGTATTAATACGCATGCGCTATTCAAAAATAATGATAATTTTCAATGATGATTTCGATGTTGTTTTTCATAATCTTCATATTCACGATGTTTACGTTCGAGAAAATCTTCAATTTTTTTAAGAATTTTTTCAAAAATTCTGACCAAATTCTTATCATCATCATCATCATCGTCATGTGGTAATGGACGTGTTTTACATTGGCCATATTTCTTTTCAAAATCACTACGTAAAATACAAGTCTGTACGGTTACTGTATCATCAAAATATGCACCATCAGGACAATTATATAATGCTAATTGTGTTTGATCATTTTGTTTATAACAAAGATAAAATCGATTACAATCAAATGGATTACGATGACGTTGACCATCAGGATTTGATGGACATTGAATTAATTTACGATAGTCAATTTGTTTTTCATCGATGGTGGATTCGATTTGTCTATGTTCGATAATCATACGCAAAACATTTTCAAATGGATATCGCAATAAAGATTCTTTTTCTTCATCACTAATAAGTTCCAATGGAAATTCTTCATGATGATGATGATGTTTGTCATCTTTGTGATGATGATCATCATGATGTTTATCGTGATCTTTATCATGATCTTTGTGATGATGGTCATCTTGGTGGTGGTCATGATTATCATGGTCATAATTATGATGATGATTGAAAATGTTATGAATTATATCATCGAAAATTTTGCGCCATATATCATAGTCATTATGATGTGGTCGTTTTGTAGTTGGAGGCATTGTTGGGCGTGTTGATGGACGGGTCGGTTTCTCGGTAGTTGGGCGTGTTGATGGGCGGGTCGGTTTCTCAGTAGTTGAGCGTGTTGATGGACGGGTCGGTTTCTCGGTAGTTGAGCGTGTTGATGGGCGGGTCGGTTTCTCAGTAGTTGAGCGTGTTGTTGGACGGGTAGTTTTCTCGGTAGTTGGGCGTGTTGTTGGACGGGTAGTTTTCTCGGTAGTTGGGCGTGTTGTTGGACGGGTAGTTTTCTC